CTCGACTGTTGTGCGTGAATTCGCTGCATTGACGAAGAAACACGAGTGCATGCGGTCCATCAACTTTGCACACCCATCAAAAGTCGAGTACTCTTCAGGTGCGCATGATAATGTTTCTATGCCGATGAACTATTTCTATTCAGAAATGGTTCTTTTTTATTCTGTACCCGGAAACAATTTCTAAGCATTTGAAGGCGTTTGGTAACTGTCCAAAATTTCTATTTCTGGGACAGAAAAGAAAAGAAATACGTTTAGTAACTACACAAAATTTCTTTTTATTAATAATATTTTAAATTGTTTAATATTTTTTTTCTTTTTTTTTCTTTCTATCCTTCCTTCTTTGGCCATGGCCGGTCGCCGGCGCCGGCGACCGGCCACAGGCCAGGGCGTCGCGGCCCTCGCCGCCGCCTTGGCCGCCTGCCTCGCCGTCGGCCTCGCCATGGATCGCGACGGCGAGGGTCCAGCCCTCGCCCTCCTCGCCAAGGGGGACCCTTGCCTCCGCCGGCGACCGGCGACCAGCTACAGCCCAAGAAGAGCAACACAAAAAGAAGAAAACAAAAAAAAGAAAAAGAAAAAAAAAACTGATTCTCAAAATTGTGCCTAGAAACAAGAAGCAACTTTTTTTTACTTCTTGTTTCTCTTCCAAAACTGTTTCTGGGCACAAATTTTTGCAAAAATGTGCTCGGAAACAAAAGGTTTACCAAACGCATTTCTGTTTCCAAACTATTTGTGGGAACAAAAGAACAAAAATTTTTACTGTTTGGCACGTTACCAAACGGGTGAAAGAAAGCTGAAGACCCGTGGACAGGTACAGACCCCGTATCGGGATTGTCGGGTTGGGGGTTCGGGACGAGATCGGCCGAAGAATTCGGGCCAGGCCCGAGTTAACAACGGGCCTTCGATGCCCGTGAAGATCCGACTCAGCCCATTCACAACCCAGATTCAATTTCATTTGTTGTCCCCCGTCTCTCTCTCTCTCTCTCTCTCTCTGAGCCTCCATGTGAAGAGGCATGACGAGCAAACCAAATTGAGCTCTTTCGAATCGCTCACTTGGGTATGGTTTTTCTTCTTCTTCCTTCTCGTTTTCTGGTCCTTGACGACGTTGCTTAGGAGCTTCAAGGCGTGACGGTGCTCGATGAGGTTGCTCGCAACGTGCGGCTTTTCGTGTCTGTGCCTAATTCAGTCGAGACCACTTCCCCTCGTGACAGTTTGCGGTTGCTTTGCATGCGATGATTGTAAGAAAAATCCTCAACTTTTTTGTGTTTTGATTGCTAAAGTGTCTGTGTCTGTGTGTATTTTGTAAAATTCCAATTTTGAGAGAGAGAGAGAGAGAGAGAGAGAGAGAGAGAGAGAGAGAGAGAGAGAGAGAGAGAGAGAGAGAGAGAGAGCGCGCGGTGTTATTGTTGCTTGGTCAGATATTGTGTGCGTTTGGAGCAACCTGGACAAATGTGTCGTGTTTAAATCTACATCTCTTTCATTATAGTTGTTTGGTGGGTGCTTTCCGGTGATTTTCAAATTTCTGACTTTGTGGCAAGTTTTGTTGCTGTGCCTTTTTAATTGAGCCCCTCATATTTTAATGTTGGTCGTTGGTGTGCATAGACCAATGTAAGCTGAAGTAATAGATAATGGCCGAGGCCGTGGCCAATACAATGAGAGGTTGTCCATTTTGCATATTACTTCAGGAACTACGTGTCCAGACTGTGTCTTTTAAGACACAAAAACGATGCAATCCTTTGGGCGAATTGGTTTTTCTCTATGATCTGGGGTTTTATCAGTTCTTCTTGCTAAATGAGTTGCTAGACATTTGTGCCAAGTTAGGATCTGAGAACATTCAGTTTGCTGTATAGGATTCCAATAGCCAGGCTGTGCCTGGAAGAGCATTGTTTGCAAACTATACTTGCAGAGTATACTTAGCAAACTATACATGCAGAGTATACTTGGCAACACTGGAATCTCAGTTGAGCATGCTGCTTAACTATGTGGACGATATAAGTTGCGAGGAATGTTTACTTCTTTCAACCTTCCCTTTTCTTCCTTGGGTTTAAATTGAATTACTCTTGCATTATCATGAACCGCAGTTCCTCCCATGTACGTGCACTTGGCATGTCCATGGAAACATTCCCTCGCACACGGGAATGGGCACGTACCTTTTCCTTTATCTTTCGTCATGTAGTAGAAACTCTATTTATTCAGTGCTCTGAAGATTGTCTTTATCAGTTGGCATGCTTTCGTGTTCCTTCATAACTCGGTCGTTGTTTGCATTGATTATGCTGCTCTTATTCATGTCTCGACAAAGTCTTATTTTCTTATATGTTTCTTCTGTTTGCAGAATCTTCTTTCCTACTACTTTTGAATGAGTGGGGCTATGGAGTTATTAATAGTATCAATGATGCATTTGAAGTGAAAATTTTAACTCTGTGCTGTTGCCACGGCTGGAAGTCAACAACTTTAAACTTTAAGCTAATAATCCCAACTGTGGTGAAGATATGTGGTTGAGCTCATCACATACAGTGCCAAAGTCAAAAGCATACTGGACACCAGACCTCCATAAAGTATTTGTTGATATCTGTCTGGAGCAGGTTAATGGAGGGAACAGGCCAGGGACATATTTTACAAGAGAGGGATGGATGAATATTGTTGAACTATTTCATGAAAGAACCGGAATAAGTTATGATAGGAAGCAGATGAAGAGCCATTGGGATGTGATGAGGGAACAGTGGAAAGTATGGTGCAAGCTAACTGGTACTGGTTTTATGAAATGGGACCGGAGCTCCAACAAGTTTGGAGCTACTGAAAAAGAGTGGGCTCTGTATGTTAAGGTACGAAAATGAATTAACTCTTTTATCCTTACCATTTACTTCGGAAAATGGAGAGATATAAAGACATACATTACTTGATTTGTCCCAGGCAAACCCAGCAGCTGCGCAATTTCAGTTTAAGGAACTCCAGTTTGTAGACAAATTGGAAATCATATTCGATGGAGCAATAAGTAAGACAGATGCAGGACTTCTCACTCCATGTAGGCACAAAGGTGGTTCAGTGACCTCCCCCTTGCAAACAGAAGGTCAAGCCATAACAATGAAGGCGCCTAAAATTGAGGCTGTACATGAACTTGATATAAGCAGTGGGTCAGATGGTGACCTGGATACATACAGCGAAACAAGTCCTGGTAGACAAAACTCGTGCTTACCGGCTCTCAAACCAAAAGCTAAGTGGACACCTGATTGTCACAAGATATTTGTTGATCTCTGCACAGAACAGACATTGAAGGGTAATGAATGTAGGATGTATCTTACCGAGGAAGGCTGGAGACATGTTATCAGATCATTTAACCTCAAGACTGGTCTTTCGCTTGATAAGAAGCAATTGGAGAATCATTGGGACCTAACTAAGCAGCAGTGGAGTATCTGGTGTAAGCTGGTTGGTGACAGTAGGATGAAATGGGATCCAAATACAAAGAGATTTGGTGCGACTGAAGATGATTGGAACAACTATATACAGGTATTCTAATGAGCTCATTTTACTTGTTCTACTTATGTGAAAGTGGAGACACGGGAGAGAGAGAGAGAGAGAGAGAGAGGTTCTGATAGTGCTATGTATCCAATGCAGGAAAACCCAGAATCTGCACAATTTCGGTATAAAGAACTTTATCTGACTGACCAGCTGGAAGTCCTCTTCGGTGGAAGAAGAGACTCCAGAGAGCCAGAACCGCCAAGGAAACATAGGAGGCTAAATGTTAGTTCAATCACCTCAACCGTGCATACTGCAGAGCCAGAAATCGCCAAATCAGAACTGAGAAAGGAGCATTTGAGTGATGCAGTTGAATCAAGGAGCACTGCGACCATGCAGAGGAACGCTGCGAGTCTTGCAACAGGCAGAAACAAACTAAATTATAGTATTGGTGAATGCATCGAGTGTCTTGATGAGATGGACAATGTGGAGCAGGGAAGTGACCTATATTTGTTCGCATTGGAGGTCTTCCTGAAGCGGGAATATAGAGAAATCTTCCTACAGCTGAAGAAGCCCAGCGTGCGGATTGCATGGTTGCAGCGCCTCCAGTCAGTTGATCCATCTATTGACTAAGTGCAACCAAACTCTTGCGTGCTTTTTGTTTTGTGAGAAACAACAGAATCAGCTATTAGAAGTTCAATACATGGCAATTGAAGCGAGCCTCTTGATGTAAATTGCTTGTACTGGTGCAATGTAGACTGAAGGATAAAGGTGGTTTGGGTTTAAGAACTCATTGATTTTTCTCACTAAAGGATGAAGTCAAGAGCGGAATGAGAAGAGAAGTGTACCCTTACAATCGAGGGATTGGGTCATGAGATATCAATCCTGATGTTGTGTGCCTGTCCATCCGGCATGGATCTTGTATTAATTTCGCGCGTAAATCCTGCAGTTATGAAGCAAGTCATGAACTGTATGAGCTGATGGGGTCAGGATCCCCCCTTGCATGGCTTGTGCCTCAGCTAAATTTCTCTATTTTCTGATTGCTTGATCCATTTCTCTTGAATCTTGATCATCTTAAGAAATTTGCAGATATGCGAATCGCATGTACCATTGCAGTTCTAGTGCATTCCTCTTGATTTGTGGCACTTGTCGTGATTAGTTTCGACTATTTACACGCCGGTAGTGAAATTGGTACTCCTGAGTCCTCCCAGCCCCAGTTCAAAGGAATCCAATGATCAAGCATTCAAATTGCATTGGGTTGGGATTCACTGAACGTCCAGTCGAGGGGAATAGGTCTACATACTTTCCAAAAGTGAACCAAAGTAAGCATAGCATATTATGAAGGAATTGCAACAGAGACCGAAGGGCAATTGTTTACGAGACTTGGCCTTGGAATTCAACTTAATTATCTTTATCTTCGAGAAAGGACGAATCTTACCCGTTCAAGGAATGGCTGTCGTGCATACTCTAATTTAATCTACTTTAGTTACTACAACATTATTCACACTTGGCCCAATTCAAGTTGCTGGAATCCTGTAGGAAGCAGCCAGTGAAGGTAGAGCTTCTACTTCTTCCACTAGTTTCGAAAGCAAGCATACAACCCTTTTAGTATAACAATGGCTGAACTGTAGTTGTGCTGTGCTATAGTTGTGCTATGAAGTGCCGTAAGTTATATGTTTGGTAATACACGTTTTAAATTCATGTACAAATTCCCTGACATAAAACCTTCTGCAACCGGTGTAAAAGAAATCATCATGAACAACATCATTTGCCTTCCTTCCCTTTGAATTGCCAAAGAAGGGACGCAAATAGTAGTGGATTCTACCCAGAGATAGAAATGAATAATTGAAGAAGATAGGTGCTTCGCTCTCCTCATATGCTGCGAAGACTAAATTGGATGACTTCAACATCAGCACTCATCTTCCATATATTAACTCTGACAATCGCTGTTTAGGCATGGTTAAGTTGAGTGGATTGAAGCTCGAAGCAACACCGACTTGAAACAATCATCCACCATGGAGCAAAACCAATTCTGCTTCTTTTGGATGTCAATGCGCCGACGAATATTTGTAACAAATTGGGTTTGGAATCTTGAATATTAACTTTCCTGAGAATGGACCTGTTAAAGCATCCATGTGGCTACTAATTACGCCTGCAATTCGGAAACCATCCTCTTCCAATGCTTCCCTTCGCCTGGAAAAGTATGTTCTGCTATCAATTTGCAGTTCGTCGTCGGATCTGCCAGAGGGTAAACTAACTCAGACAAGAAAGATTTCATATTCAATTCAACCTATGTTAAATAAGGGCTAAAAAAACAGTGAGAGAAAATGGCCATGTCACAACCCCAGAGTTCAAGAGCTTGGCAGATCTGCTGAATTTGATCGCTTAATATGTCCATCGTGTCCATTCTTTCTTTGTAAGAGCTTCTTACCTCATAAGCATTTCCACATATGGAAGAGTTTAGATGCAAATTTGTAAGCAAGAACTTTTTAAAGTGGAAACGATTTTCCATGAGACGACATAAACAAAGAAATAACATGGTTCAAAGCAGATATATTAAGCCTAACGCAATCACTAGTGCAAGTATGAACAAGAATCTAAAGTGGCCACATGTTTTTTCTAACATTTTCTCTTTTCTTTGGGGGATGATAAAGGAGAAATTTCACGACACTCCAACTATATATTAAAAGATAACGGCCAACACTAAAAGATGTTCATTATCAAAAGAGTTGTCTCTGAATTCCGAAGTACCTCATAATCAAAGAATACCAACTTCTGAATCCTGCAGAATATATGATCTCCCTGGCAACATTCTGTTCTCTTTGGGATTTTCTAGACAAGAAAACCAAAGTCCACCCACCTGCTTGCAACTCCGTGTACAACTGAAGGAGATAACTTTGCTTTAAATGATTTGCCTCTTCAAAACTCTCACTATCAAAATCGTCAAACCTGTTCCACGAAAAAGAACATGAGAATCAAGGGACTCGATGGAGGAGTGTAAACATTGATGCATTGTTAACTTCCCTTGCCTAGATTGACCTTCAAAAGCTAGTAATCTAAAACTTACAAGGTAGAAGAAGGATGCAACTGCTGCTGGTGTGATGAGAAAGTAGCCGCTGTATAGTGATAACTAGGAAAATGAACTTGCTAAAGACACTAGAAAGAACCAAAAGAGAAAAAAATGAACTATCAGGGTATTATTATCAATCCCTTGGCCCTTTGACATGTGAACAGATTTAATTTGTAGGCACTTTGCAGGGATTAATAGTTAAAAACAGCACAGAAGATAAAGTGACAAGAATTTACCTATTTGTGAAGAGATCAACGTTAAGTGGATGCAGAGACAAAATGTCATCTGCATCCATCAAAACAACATTTAGACCACCATCTACTGCTGTAACAGCACCGAGATAACTCTGAATCACTTCATTTGTGACATTTAATTCTCTAGCATAGAGACCCCCTTTGATGTATTGCTTTGTAAGATCCCCGCAAAAAGGAGGACAGTCATGTGCTTTCAAGCCATTGAGCTCTGCATGCTGAGCAGGTATGCTGCAAATTCTATGATAATCAATTAACTTCTGACTTTGAACAACCCCTGAATTTTTACTTTCGCAAGATTGCAACATCACTGCTAACACAGTCAGCAAGCTGATTAACAAGGTCCCAACTGTTACCAGTGCACCTATGAACATAGTGGCAGCGAAAGATGACACAAAGAATCCTGATTCCACCATATAACTGCTAGTCATCTCTGCATCAAAGAAACCACACAGGAAAATTACTAATTAAACTGTCTGCCACAATTTTTCCTAAAGAGATAATGTTCCAGTCCAACATATAACAGAACAATACACTAATTGCTGAACAATAAGAAGAGTCCCTATCCCATCCCAATTCTTCCGATATGAATATGATGTGTCGATTATTCACATTGATGATTTCTATCAAAATTCCGTAAGAACGTCAGGAAATAAGATTGGAAGACAAAAAAACTTTAACAGATAAATAAAGAAAAGAAGGATTAATCTATCATTTGCTCTAGTGATGCAACTTTTGAATCCATAAAAAATCACATAGGAGCTAAGACACCATTGGCCATTCACATATTGGCATATGCTGAAGATTTGACAGACGGGGACTCTTATATACCGAATTGCAGTAGATGTGATTAAGTTGCTGCATACCAGAACCTCCTCTGCTTGAAAGGCTCCGGATTGAATAGCTTCTTTCCATTCGATGGGTATTATGAGACATAATTTGTACCTCCTTGGTAGCTCCCACCTCAACTACTTCCTCCCAGGGACGTTTCAATCCCTCCCCAGAATAAGAGCAAAGAAGGGTCACCGGGGATTTGGACAAGCAGTGGATAACTTGTGAAATTGGCAGTTGGGGGAATGAATGGAGACATCCTTTTCCTCTATGCTACACAAATAAGCTTGGACATCTTCCATGTACAATAGCTGCTAAGAAGCAATAAAAAGTGTCACAACACTACCTCAAACGGTGCTGACTCAATTTTCCCGGCAAATTTTCAGCAGCGGGAAATCAATCCTTCACTCAGCCTAATTCTCCAGCGCAAATACTCTTTTAAATGACACCCTGAGCTACATAACTGCTAGATACATAACCGCTAGGATAAAGTCTGATTACTCTTTGATAAATTGGTCACGTTTATTCTTAGAGCAAACAGTTACTCAGTTTTTTGCTATTAGGGATGATATTATCTTGCTTTGCTTATTCCAACTCAAGAATGTATTGAATGGAAGATCAAGACATTCTTGCAGAGCCTTCTTGGTCAAATGACAGGACTACTTAAAAAAGGAATCGAGTAAGAACAATCTTGAATAAAATCTTCATACAGCCCCACCACAATCTGCAATACAAAGGCGAACGATCTCAACATAGTCGTCTAAACTACTGGCAAATTGTACTAGAGGAATTAGAGCAGAAGAAGCCCGAGTCGCCAAATAACAGAAGGACATCAAACTATTGCACAGTGTTCACACTGAACACAAACCAGTTACCCTCTGCCTTACATACTAAGAAAAAACCATGGTAATTCTAAATATGAATTACCCTTATCACTGAGAAAATGTTCAAACATGACGCTGCAGCAGTATGAGACGGGAAGTAGCAAAATCTCAAACGGGTCGATACAAGGATCACGAAACTCGCGTAATAAGTTGGAAAACTGATGGAAGAATGAAGAAGAAACGGATCGTAAGTTGTGGGGAACCTGAGAGGGAGGTACCCAGAGGAGGAGGCGGTGATGTTCTCGCTGGAGGCGAGAGATATTTGCCGTGATGGATCCCCTCGTGGATGACTCGACTCGATCTCCATTCTTTCTCGGTGAGTAGGTTCCTCTTTTGCTTTCTTTGGATGACGACGATGACGACACTGACAACTGGACCAGTCAATCATTGTGCTGTGCTACTTGACGAGACGCGACAAACAATCATCACTCATTGCGTGTAAAAAAAAAAACATTGAAAATAAAATACAAATATATTTACAAGATAAGAAAAAGTTGGATTTTTTCGATAAATTTAAGGAATCACCTTGTCGTCATCTTGACTATATTTGAATATGATTTTATCCTCCATTTGATATTGTACAGTTACAATTCATATTAAAATTCACGTGAAAATTTATGTAAATGCACGACGATATTCAAGCCAAAAATGCCATTTATCTCACTTTAAATTTATTTGGATTATATATTTGTCTCATTTTATCTTGAAAATGCTATCATTAAATAAATTAAAAAGGTACAGATCTCAAAAGTAGCTGTGCACCCACATAACATGTGCGTGAGAACTAGTCGCATAAAGGTGTGCTCTCTTATTAGTTAATACAAATTTGACCTAAAAAGTTTCATTTGAGTTTTGTATTGTAAGATAGATATAGATAGATAGTTGGTAATTCTTGTTCTTGATGTTTTTACAATACTTTAGTCTTTTGTAAAATTAATTACTGAGAGAAATGTTCTAACTTTTTATGTAAATTCAAGTAGTGACTAAAAAGGAAAAAAAAAAAAACTTCCCTTTACAATGATTATACAGATATAGATTTGAAACCCATCACCCCCACTAAATACTCAAATTGAAAGTTCAAGACTAGACCTTCAAATTCGAGAAAACTGTATTATAAACAAAAAAGTCTAGTCAAGAATAATCTTTTCGATCGAGGGCTTTCCCCGCCCTAATTCGAGGAACCTTATCTGTCCCTACCGCTCGACTTTTTTTTACCTAGCCTTACACTTTGCATCCTCTTAAATAAAACTATCTTTTTACTTTCCTTCAAAATGTAAAATATGATCTGAATTTCAAAAATTAATGAAAAAATTATGTGTAGACACTCCAAAGGCATAGTACATAGCCTTTTCGACTGCCAAATATAGATATAATTAGCACGAGCCGAAATTTCTCAAATAAGCTCATGTCCGAGCTCCCCGTGAGATAATCTCGAGACAGTACAGTATAACACACATTGCAAAAGGACGCTTCCTTCAAGTGAACCCTTAATCTTTCACACTCAACAAATCCAATTCACTTTATCTTGTTCCATTCCTACTATAACAGATTCCATATGTCCGAACCAAAATATTAACCTACCAACATGTTTATGTGACTTGTAATGGTGCCAATAAACATCCAAGCCGGCATTGTTTTTGCCGAGAGAAGACAATCTCATCCGAGTCGAACACGCCTCGACTGCATCACCCTCAAAATTTCATTTGATGCAATACATGACATATCCTAGCACCGAATACAACCCTGCATTCTAAAATGCAGGAAACAAAATTTTCGCCCAGTGACGAGGTACCTCATGCAGGTCGAGTTGAAAAAGTTGCCGACCAATAAACATAGGACATCTCAAGGCATGGTTAATGCTGTTATAATGCATATTATGCCAACATCTCGAGTGTCCCTCTTTAAAAAATTTCCAGACCGTTCAGTAGATTTACAGCTATGTCTACATTCATGGCCAACTCAGCGGCAGCGCCAATGTAGGTATGTGGAGTCAACTTCAAGAGATTGATTTTTGCTTCCTCGGGTATTTCTAGACCTTCAATGAATTCTGTGATACTTTCTTGTGAAACTGTTCTTCCCCTGGTCAATTCCTTTAATTTCTCGTAAGGCTCTGGGACCCCGAATCGTCTCATGACCTGTGCATATTAAGTATATACATGAGCAAGGCACGAATTTACTAATCGACGTGGAAAGAAAAGGCAAATCACATTGCAAAACCGGAAAAGACTGTAGTTTGGTACAAAATTGGATGAAAATAGAAAGATCTGACGTAATTATGCAAGAATGGAGCAGTGCAGACTGATATCAAATATTATGTATTAGACCACGTTGAAAGATACTGCTTAGGGAACTCCTACATTATCGAAAAAGGCAGTAATTTACTCCACAAAAGAAAAATTAACAGCCTACTCCTTTCTCGAGGCCTTTATCTTTTTCCATGGTTCAGGTAAGAAAATTTTCACAATAAGCCATGTCATTCTATTCAAGAATAAAATCATGAGAATCCCCATGACACCACCATCTCAGGCAAGAAGATAAAAGCATGAATCAGAAAAAGTAAATAGCTTTCATCGACTTAGACGGAACAAAGAAGTAAGATGCATACAGTTTGTATTGGTTCAGCAAGAACCTCCCATGAATGATTCAAGTCCTCGCTCAAGCGTGCCTCGTTAACCTAGAAACAAGAGATATTAAACAGAATAAATCATCCTTGTACAAGCAACTACAGCATTCATGTATTCTTTTTGAAAACTAAAGAGCATATGTTTTGTGACTAAAACTAAAAAAGCCATTCTTTGCATGTAAAAGAAGGTTGCCTATAAAGTCTGAGGAAAAGAATAAGATAGTCGAGATTCAACTTAGAGAGTAATCAAGAGACTGCTTATAGATACACTTATATTGCTTTGGTCGGCAGCTGCTCATCTACATTCACCTTAGGAAATAAGGAAAGAAACAAGGGTAAGGGAAAGGGAAAGCAGCAGTCTAACATCATACTCATGGGATACCTGAAGTTTCCCTATGCCCTGCAGTGCACTTTTATAGGCAAGAAGAGAATGACCCAATCCTTCACCCATGTTCCTCAGTACAGTCGAGTCAGTTAAGTCGCGCTGCAATAGAAGACGAGCCAGAAAGTTTATAATGATCAGCGAAAATGTCTTTTCTTGAGTAAGTGGAGAAAAAAGATTGTTGGTGACAAGCAAGTGAACGATACTTTCTTATAATAGCATCTATTGCTTGAAAGGGCATAGAAAACTGGTCTCACCTGCCAGCGTGATATTGGCAGCTTTGTGCTTAAATGAGATAGACCTCCATTGGCTTTACCAAGATTGCCTTCGCTATTTTCAAAATCAATGGGATTTACTTTATGGGGCATGGTTGAAGACCCAATCTCACCAGCCTTTGTTATCTGTTAAAAAGTATAATTAAGAAGTTAAATGTTTTCTCCGTTCAAATAATTAGAAGAAAAGCAGATGCATCAGAATTCTCACCTGCTTGAAATAGCCTAATGAAATGTAGCCCCAGATATCTCTATCAAAATCAATCAGTATATTATTGAACTGGATAAGTGTATGAAAAAGTTTTGCCATGTAATCATGAGTTTCAATCTGCAATAAGTAGAGGCAACATCGATAAGTTCAAGAATTTAACAACACAAGAAAAGTTTTGCCATATGATCACGAGTTTCTATCTGCAATAAGTAGAAGCAACATCTATGAGTTTAAGGAACAAGTCCAATAATGAGTTTTCTAAGACCCTAGGTAAAAAATATTGTCAAGCCAAAACTTTTGCAACATCAAACATAGTGTGCACAAAAATTTTGACACCAGGATCGTCTTAAATCATCAAGTAATTATACCAAAAATTGTAGGCGTAAGAAAACTTTCCCAAGGCAGCTTTCTTCACCATTGATTTGATAGTAGTAACTTCTCACTCTCTCACTGACCATCGCATCAAAGACAAATAAGGCCAATTGTGGAGATTTTTTTTTCCTACTAGTAGCGTATGCAAGATGAAACCATATTTATATGCCAAAAAGAGCAATGCCAAGATATATGTCCATGAAGGTTAAGGGCTTATAAGAAATATCGATAGAATCCGTCCCCATACAAATTGTATTGTTCCGCATGTCACACACAAAACTATTATTAAAACACATTCAGAATATGCCTATCTGTAAATCTGAAAAGAAATTTATACGTGAACATTCAGAGTTAACCAAGCATCATCATGACTGCCCTGCAAATATGAGTACTGAAACTCTGCATTGAACCTCTGCCATGTCATTATCATTTAACTGATCATCTACAGTTCTGTATGAACTTGTTTATAAGGAATAAAATGTTTACAGTAAAAGCAACCCATTTTAGTTCTGATTTTTTTTTGTTTCTTATGTATTATAGCAACAAATGATCATATTTTCAGATACTCTGGCAATAATATTACTAATTTACAGAACTATAGAATAAAACCTCCACAGTGTACCTGGGTAACATATGGATTAAAACTCAATCCAAGAGACTTCACAAATTCTTCAGCTATATGGGGCCAGTTAATATGAGGATATGCTGCTAGATGAGCATTATAGTTTCCCACTGCACCAGCAAACTTCCCCATAATCTCGACCTGATGTATTTCCTTCCTTTCTCTACTCAACCTGACAGCAAAAACTGCCAATTCCTTCCCCAATGTTGTTGGTGAAGCTGGCTACAAGATAACAAGTACAGATTTAGCAATCTTTCGCGATGGTTAAAATGGAACTCAGGCTATAATTTGAATTATCAGGATACGGTAATCAAATAAGGAACCGTTATCAAGAAAGAAAGACAACAGACAAGCGACTTGGATAATTTCTGGGTCAGAGAATCATAGGAACATTCCACCATGCTAATCATGACATTAAGTTTTTTAAGGGTCCAAGCAGTGCACTTGTCTCTTCATATTTGTAGATCATGTAACTCTGCCACAGCGCTAAAAAAACAACAGTGCCAAGAAGATTCTTGTTATAACTACCCAGCCAAAGCTGACAAATTACCTGACCATGTGTACGAGAAAGCATAGGAATGTGAGCATTATCCTTAGCCACGGCGCACAAAGCCCTGATCAATTTGTCCATGACCGGAAACATGACGTTCTTCATCGATTCTTTCAGCATCAATGCATGAGCGAGATTATTGATGTCCTCAGATGTGCAAGCAAAATGGAAAAACTCAATCACCTGCACAGAGGGAGAGAACAATTGCATCACCTTTACACTTTGCACGAGGATAAACCCAGACAAGTAAAGGAGGAAAAAGACGTAGCAGGTTATCTGAAGAGTGGCTCCAAACCTGCGCTATCTCTGGATGTGATTGACACTTCTGTTTCAAGAAATATTCCACCGCTTTAACATCATGGTTTGTCACTCTCTCTATGTTTTTGATTTCCAATGCATCATCCAAGTTAAAACCATCGATTAGCCCTTGCAAAAAAGACTCAGCTTCTTCACTGAAGCTTGGAACCTCTGTTATTTCAGGGATTTGGGAGAGCTTCAGCAACCATTTAATCTGAAAGGGAGCACTAATTTGAATATTTTCCTCAAAATGCTATCAATCATGAAATAATATAAAAAATAACTAGTGACACCAGAAGGCAACCATTACCAAATTTTTGAGAATACAAATACAAATAAAAAATAACAAGCACAGACTCATTTTTTTCACAGATTAAATACTTTATACCGAGTAGTACATTTGCTCTAAACCAAATGAACTTGAATTCACCAGTTGTTCGTCCTACACTTTTGCAACGTGATTTCCAAAAATCATTTCGAAACATGTACCGCTCAGGAGAAATATCAGACAGATTCCCAGTATGCATTACTGCACACAGAATCGTGGTTTTCAAATATTCAGTATATGTTCGCAAGGGAAAATCAAGCTCAATGGTACAGTTTGGTAGGATTACTGCACAGATATTGGAGCAGTACCATCCAATGCAATTAACCAATTACATCATCAAGCGGATTCAACATAAAACTGCTGAGCAAATTCATATTTGCAGAGTTACAAGTAGAATGGGATAGTACCTCAACAAGAACACGAAAATAGATAAGGCCATATTCACTCATGTAAGGAGCAAGGTCCTTCACTTTACTCCAGTAACGACCGTCCAAAGGTGACAAGGCTGTCAAACTCGAAAGCTCGAAATCGCGTGAACTCTGCTGGCTAGACATCTTGCCTACCTGAAAATAAATAAATAAACATACATATCATATATGTTGAATTCTCAAGTCAATCGTCTCAATGGGTGACAAACCGAGAGATAAATCCTAGCCAAGATTCTCTTTTTTTTCTAGAAGACGCAGATAAAGCACCGCATTAAAGGTCCAAGTTCTATGCCGCGGCCACCACATTTCTACTCCTACTGTCCATGATAGCAAAACAAACGCAAATCCCAAGACAAGGACAGATTTTTCTTCCAAATTATCATCATTTCCCTCTGCATCCTTTGCCTCGCTAACCTAACACAAACCAAACTCGCCTCGACCGAAACTCTTTACCTCGGGATAATCAAAAACAACACACGAATCAAAATACCTTGTCCAACGAAACAGTACGGTCCTTCAGTACAGCTTTGACGGCGCAATTCCTCCGCGAGGCCGAGGTTGGCGAGACCCGGAACGAGGCGCCGAAGGGAAACCGCGATTCGACGATCTCCCTCCGAATTTGCGCCCCCCCAGCTCCGCGCCCGCAAGGCCTCCCACCATTGAAAGCCCTAGAGCAAGGAGCTCCGAATTCCATCGGCAGGCTATAGGGAAGCGAGAGGCTCGGACCTCTCAAAGGTGCGGAACTTCGAGCAGCGGGAGGAGTATCGGTCGAGCTCGAGAAACGAAGGAAGCTGCGGTTCGAGTTCGCGGTCTTTTTTCGACTCTTTCGTGGGTTACGGTTAGAAAAAGATAAAACCCTAATCCAAGGTCGAGCGCGTACGTACGACCGAGTGTCTGATTGGCTGTCTGGCTCCGTACGAGAGGCCCGTCGTTCTGGGCCGAGGTTAATGGGCCGAACGGGGCTCGGCCGGCCCATGGTAAAATCATTTTCAAAATATGTACTTGGTAGAATTTTGTATCCCACCTCAATTAGACATAACCGTGATCATTTTCTAATAATTCCATAGTTAAAAAAAAACGGTATTTTACTGTGGAATCTCGAACCAAACAACCTCTAAATCTATTTACGAGACTACGAACCACGTTACGATTTCGCACAAATATGATTTTCGACCAAGACCAAAGGACTCCAAACATCAAATGAGATTTACTTATTTAGGAAGTTAGCAAAGGGTTGGACGTAGTCCTAGAGCTCGAGCTCCAAGACATGGACAAGGCCAGTAAAAAGGTCTTCACGTCATAACTGTTCACTCAAGTCTCATGCATTGTACATAGGAATTAGAAAAGAACACTAGTTTGGAGGCCGGTGAACAATGAACCTAGAAGTCGGAGTCGCTTTCCGTCAAGCTCCAGCATCGTGGACGCACATTGCATTGTAGCAAGTCGACTGGTGTGACAAAAGAGATAAACTCTTTGCACTTTGCAGGATGTAAAATGATGCTCCCACAAACGGTGCGCGTGCGTGTGCACGTCTACGGGTGCGCATGGCAACGATTTTGTGCCCGGGAACTGATTCTGCTCAGAAATGATTCTTTTTTATTCTGTGCCTGGGAACTGATTCTAAGCATTTGAAGGCGTTTTGTAACGGTCCAAAATTTATATTCCTGAAATAATAAAACAACAGAAATGCTTTTAGTAACGGCATAAAATTTCTTTTTATTAATAATATTTTAATATTTCTTTCTTTTCTTTTTTTCTTCTCCTCCTTCTTGGCCATGGCCGGTAAAATATTTTTAATTAATAATACTTTTATTAAAAATAATTTTTTCATTTTTTTTGGCCATGGCCGGCAAAAAATTTCTTTATTAATAATACTTTTATTAAAAAATAATTTGTTTATTATTTTTGGCCATGGCCGGTAAAATTTTTTTATTAATAATATTTTTTTCTTTTTTTTGGCCATGGCCGGTAAAATATTTTTTTATTAAAATATTTTAAAAAATATTTTTTTATTAAAATATTTTAAAAAATATTTTTATTGAAAATATATTTTTATTTTTTTTACCATGGCCTGGTGGCCGGTAAAATATTTTTTTATTAACATTTTTTTATTAATAATATTTTTTTTCCTTTTTTTTCCATGGCCCGGTCGCCGGCCATGGCCGATAAAATATTTTTTTATTAATAATATATTTTTTTTATGGCCTAGTCGCTGGCCATGGTTGGTAAAATAATTTTTTTTTGTTCATGGTTGGAAAATATTTTTTTATTAAATTATTTTAATCTCGCTAGATACGGCGAAGGTGGCCCTGGCGCCGGACATTAGAAGTTACATTAAAAACCAAGAAAAAGAAGAAGAAAAAAAATTGATTCTCATTTTTGTTCCCAGAATCAAGAAACTACTTTTTTTTTTTATTCTTAATTCTGCTCCAAAACTGATTCAGGGCACAAATTTGCAAGAATTTGTGCCCAGAATAAAAAAATTTAACAAACGGATTTCTGCTCCAAAACTAATTCTGGGAACAAAAGAACAGAAATTTTCACTATTTGGCCAGTTGCCAAACAGGCCCTAAGTCGAAGTAAGGATGCTCAAAAACCTTCATTCTCTATTGACACCACCCGGAAATGACAAACACCTATTTTAATAGGAATCCTGTTTTCAGAATGGATCGAGCGCGTGCACATCTTTTTTCTGATCATTTGTTGGTGGTTGCTCGGGAAAGGGGCGACGTGTGAACTGGTGAAGGCAAGATGTTCTATCCAAGAAGCTTGAGAGCCACGAGCAGCGAGCCTGACCATGATGTTGAAGCAAATATCTAGCACCCTTTCACTCCTCAATAATGTTCTTTTCTGTCAATCAATTAGTGGCTTGGCTATGCAGATTGGTATACGCATCTGTCGGATTGTTATTTTCGATAGGAACGTCCTTTTTCATCAATAGCTTGTAGACTACATGTAAGAGAGGAAACATATGCACCGTGACGCAGAAGGAATGGTGGCAAACTACTATCTGAAGTAGCCTCTCCAGTGCTTTTGATTGAGATAGGTGGAGGGTTACAAGCAGTGAAGGAACCCGTCTGCGAAAAAATGTGATAGGTAATCTACGTTGACAAACAAACAGACAGACATTCTGCACCGTGTTCCTAGAAATAGAGAAAAAGTCGGACACAATGGGAAATTTTGATTTTGGTCTAGCAAGAAAGTGCATCTTTGAGTGACCGCATCAGAAAGTCGCTTAATTTGCCAATTCTGCTTCTGAAGCATGCACATTCACACGAGCACTTTTATGCTTTAAACATATTTCAATACTAACCATGATGCGTTTTTCACGCTTGTTAAAATAATTAAATATTAAATCATGCCTACATCTAACAGCTTAAGCTTTTAGAATAGTTGGCTGTGATCCCACTAAAATCTCACATGGTATCAGAACTGGAGGTCCTGAGTTCAAATCTTTCCGGGCCTCATTTGCCTCTCCAATTAAATATGTCAACGCTTAGTACTAGGCAAAAAGACCGGACTAAGCGTGAGGGGAAGTGTTAGAATAATTAAATATTAAATCACGCATTCATCTAACAGCTTAAACTTTTAGAATAATTGGCTGTGGTCCCACCAAAATCTCACAATACTTATTTTGGTGGCAACAATTTTAATTATAATACCGATAATGATACTGATAGGTATTATTACAGCAGCAACTAGGCATGGCCACGGTTCGGAACCGGCGGTTCCGGTTCGTGGCCATGTGTGAACCAGAACCGGCCGGTTTGTAATTTAAAAATAAAAAAAAATAAATTATGAAATAAAAAAATTATGAATTATAAAATTATGAAATAATGAATTATTCAATATAAATTGTAATCAAAATGTAAATTGTAGGGGTGATTGGTTCTCGGTTCGGTCCGGTTCCGCTCGGAACCGGAAACCGAATCGGTAAGACCGGTCCCTTAATTTTAGAAGTAGGAACCGGACCGGCAAATCATAGAACCGGGAACCGGGAACCAGACCATTAGTCCGGTCCGGTTCTAGGCAGTCCAATGGAACTCTTTGCTCTTAACTAGCAAAGGATCATAGCCACAAAAGGCATACGACTTCACATGTTCATGGCTTGGCTTGGGTTTTATACATAACCCCTTTTATGGTCTCTTCATTCCCATTCGATGTGGGACTCTTGGCATTTGCATGAAGACAAGCCAAGAGTCTCACATTGAAGGTGTTCAAGGCAAGCCGAGAGTCCCACATCGAATGGGAACGAAGAGGCATTAGAATCATTGTGTATAAAACCCAAGCCAAGCCTTGTAATTAGAGTTCAATACATCCAAGTCAAGCATTGTAATTAGATATCAATGTACTTGCAATGCATGGCAATTAGAATTCAAATTGTTTTATAAAAAAAAAATAATGAATTTTTTCGGAACCGGGCCCGTAGGCCACGGGCCGGTTCCGAACCGCAGGCCCGGTCAACGGGCCGGGCCCGGGTTTGACCGGGCCGGTTCCGGGCCAAAACCGGCCCGTGGCCATGCCTAGCAGCAACAAGATCCAAAATTTGTAAATCCCTAAGAAGGTAAGCCTTGGACTTATCCCCCCAGCTTTTGTCATTTTGAGAAGCAGAGACAAGCATCCTCACGCTTCTTGGGATTCCATCCCCATGGCATTTGCCTTTTAAGCAACCTTGTTGGCTTCCACATCTCACCAAGATGTGAGAGATCTCATCAACAGCATACTAGCATATTGCAGATGATCTGAATCTGAAGGTTTTTCTCAAAACTCGCATCAGCTGGAAGTTCCGATAAATTAGCATAGTACAGATACAGCTATTCGCAAGAGAAGAAAGCAGATATTCATGGTTAGATCAAGATTTCATTTTGTTGTTCTCTCTGGTTCTACCCTTCTTTATTCAACTTCCCCCGAGTAAAATTTTTTCTCAAATTGCCCGCAATATCGAGAAAGCCCAGCACAAGAGTCTAGACTAGTTCAACATTCAAATGTCCCAAGTATTGACTAGGTTGAATGTAGAAATACAGATCCTTTTATGAACTTTAGGTGGATGAACACAGCTTTTTGCACGTGATTTATGAATATGTATTCACTTTAGACTCTTGAAAAGCTATCAATTCACTGGATATCTTATCATAATCATACTGTGATACCTACAATCATGGCATATCATTTCATTTTCACCAGTTAATCCTTAGATGGCATGCTTCAGGCACTTGAGGCAACGAACCGAAAATGGCGTGGATCGGTGAGCGGCATCGTCAACGCACCCCTAGAAAAAGTGTGGCCTGTGGTCTCCCAAACAAACAGGTTATCGGAGTGGATGCCGATGGTTGAACGCTGCACCAACCTGGCCGGAGAAGAGGCCATTCCGGGTTATGTTCGGCTGGTCTCGGGCTTCATGTTTCCACAACCGGATGGAGAGAGGTCATGGATCAAGGAAATGCTGGTTTCTATGGACCCCCTCTCGCACACTTATGTGTACAGAATGGAAGCAAGCAATGTGGGATTAGATGGATCTATGAACAAACTAATGCTCATCGATTATGGCGACGATTCGACGCTAGTTCAGTGGTCCTTTGAAATAAACCCAGTGGAAGGAACATGCGAGGAAAACATCATAGATTACCTAGGATTCCTGTATAAATCTTGCATAAATAAGATTGAGGGTGCAATAGAAGCTGCATCTAAAAGATCAGTTTGAAGCAACTCCGTATCTATTCTGCAGTTTATGACCCTTTTCATTTCATGTCAGGACATAATTTGTTGATTATGCTAGAATATCCCAACATTGAACAATGACGAGAATCTGATATTCTGTCTTATAAAGATGAATTTGACCTGAGCAGATAAATTTTCCTCTTGCTCTTGACAAGAACAAAGTTTGGTCTTGACAAATTTCCAGTCTCATTTATTTGAAGATGGAGCTATACAGTGCCACAAAACCCACATCTGGCTGGGTTCAAACGAAAAGAAACGGAGGAAGCGTGCAAACTGATGATTCTTAACGAGTCTTAATTTCTACAACAGGGTTTTGGTCAAGGAAAAGCCTCTTTTCACAAGGTAAAAAACCAAAAAGAAAAGAAAAGGGAAAATAAACCCAGATGACAGGACAAAATCATGGGCTAATGTCAAATTACATGAGGTGAAAATCAGATAGGCATAGCAGAGTAATCATAGAAATAAGACTTGACATGAACGAATGGACCGACAACCACAGTGAACAATAAGAAAAGATAAGAAAGTGGAACCCTCGAGAGGGATGGGCGAGCTGAGCTGTTAGCATTAAGGCCCCATTTGGTTCAGCTTTTCGAATCCGAAAAGCCGAAAGCTAGCATTTGGAATGCTTTGAAATGCTGAAGCCTATTTTTCCCTACCCAAATTGCCCTCACTCAAATTTCAATATTCCGGTTTTGCCCCTGTTACTGTTCATCTTCCTCACCGCGAGGGCGGATCTGGCCGGCAAAGGGCCGGCGAGGGCAGATCTGTCTGGCGAAGGGCCGGCGGGGGGCCGGCGAGGTCGCCCGACCCAGGCGACGGCCGCCTGGTGTCGGGCGACCGCCCAGGCACGCGTCGCCTGGGTCGCGCGACCCAGGCGGCCGTCGCCTAGGTCGCGACCCAAGCCGACGTCGCCTGAGGTCGCGCGACCCAGGCGACGGCGCCTGGGCGGTCGCTCGGCCGGCGCTTCGCCGGCCACCCTCGCCGGTGAAGAAGATGAACAGTATAGGGGCAAAATCGGAATATTAAAAATAAAAGTTGCCAAAGTCCTTTGCAAAATTTTTTTTACCAAACACTATTTAGGCCAAAGTAGCTTTACAAATTTTTTTTATCAAACACCACTTGCATTTTCCCAAGTGACTTTCACCTAAAGGTATTTGCATTCCCCCAAATAACATTTGAAAAGCCGAACCAAACGGGCCCTAAGTCCAAAACTTACATCGTCAGCTTTTCAGTCCATGAAAACTTCGTCTCAACTGTATATTATCTTGCTCCGTGGACGGCAAATGTCTTTGGGGACCCCTCAACTTTCACCAAATACTTTGGGTTTCCTGTACATCTGGAAGTCGAACTCTAAAGCTCCATATCAGGGACTATATTGAACAAATTAAAAGTTCATGGATCAGATTGCACATTGGGCCAAAATTCGGGGACTGTTTATGTCATTTTCCCTCTATATAATTTTCTTCCTTTGCCCCTCCTTCCAAACTCTGCACGGTCTAGACTCACTCTCCTGGCTCAAATATTTACGAATGGAGAAATACTGAATAGACTTATTTTACAGATTGATCTTGTTTTTCTTTCTTTTGTTTTGATAAGAAAAGAGTCTAGCAGTAAATTTTCCTTCTGTTGTGCCCGCTCTTAGTCCCAACAAACATATTCTATGTTCCGTACGAGAGAGTCCCATAGTCCTCCATCATCTAATGGTAACTCCCCTGATTTTCCGCATATTTTCGGCATGAGAGAGAGAGAGAGAGAGAGAGAGAGAGAGAGAGAGAGAGAGAGAGAGAAAGATGGCAAGTATGTGTCGAGAAGGGGAGAGAAACCGATGTGCGGGTTCACATCAAAGATGAAAACGGCACTTTCAACTTTTGTTTGAGAGGTGATAAGCGTTGTGGCTTAAATGCAGGTGTGCACAGAGACAAGACTTCCGAGAGCTTTAAGTAACATGCAAGGAAGCTCCGGCAAGTCCATGGCCGGCATCGATCCTTCCTCTTCATCTCATTCCATCTGCAGGAATGCAAGTGTATAAAACACAAAGCTTATCGCCCCTCAGACAAAAGTTAAAAGTGCCGTTGTCATCTAACCACCCCCCAAAAACGACATCCCATCGCTCCCCTCTCTGACTCTTCTTCCAATTCAGAGCCACCTTTCATAAAAAACTCCTGCAGGTGAATCAGTTGTCCGTTATTCTGTCTCTGCCTGCGTTTATCTTCGAGTTTACTCTACGCACACACGCACAGATCAGAGGGAGAGGAGATGGAGCGGTGGTTCCCGGCGATGCTTATGGTGGCCGTGATGCTTCCGGCGGCTGCCGAGGGGTTGGTCCGTCACTACAAGTTCAGTGTAAGTAACGCATACATGAGCAGTCAAAGGCAGACCGGGTACGTGTCAGGCCATGCATGGGCACTCCAGGCCTTCTATGGCCACACCTGTAAAGGGTGCCCGGTCTCCCCGGTTTTCCTTCCCTCATTTTCCTTTTTAGTTTTTCCTTTCATTTAGAAGAATATGTTACCGACGTGCTTAATTGACATTCCGGAAAAAGGTGAAAAGAATGCTGAAGCGGATCTAAGTTTACTCCCCGGCTGTCGGCCGTGCGGGGGTTCCCTGGGTTACCAAAAAAAAAAAAAAAAAGATCGGAATCGAATAATGTCCGATATGTACGGTTCTTGCCCGTACATTTCCGTTATATGGAATCATTAAAATTCATGTCCGAACTATAAGTTGAACGTATACACGTCGAAAGTATCTTAAAATGATCAAGGAGAGGCTTTTTTTCTCTATTAGTTATGGTTGATCTTCCAAGATCGTTTGATAAAATAATGAGCAACATATCAATCAGCATGATCGATAGGTTACATTAACTATGCAGCATATTCCGGAGCATGGTAATCAAGATATGCATTCAATATGCTGTCATCATATCCAAGTGAACTACCTAAGTTGCAGTGAATAAATTATACTGTTCCTTCCATGGGGTCTTATTTTCCGGAGCTGTTAATTAAAGGAAAGAAGAAGATAATCGATCCATGAGTGGAGATAAGTACAAATGGGAACAAAAAAAAGACTAACTTTGTGAGGTGGTGGGGTGATGAGTGCAGGTGGTAATGAAGAACGTGACGAAGCTGTGTGCGAGCAAGCCCATCGTGACGGTCAACGGCAAGTTCCCTGGGCCTACTCTTTATGCCAGAGAGGACGACACCGTCCTTGTCCGGGTCGTCAACCACGTTTCCTACAACGTCACCATTCACTGGTACCTCACTCAATCATGCGCATTTGAGAATCTGGTTGCATTTCTATGCATTCGAAATGATACGATGATATATTAACTCACGTTTTTTCAACAAATTATGAGTTTTTAAGTTGCTGTAATGTCCATAATCATTGGATAACAGCTCCTCAGATGATTAAAGTTCAGATCTTGACTCCAGTCCCGCGATTATTTTCATTCTAAAAGTTTCATTCCGGTCTTCGAGTGTATTGAAACCTACGCAACGAAAAGAAGCTTCATTTGTAGATTCTTGGTTGTGTTCTGTTAAACCTTCGGACCTTCTAATTGCATTACATTCGCATTTCAAATGTGCTCACCTATCCAAGATGCTGTCATTAATAACTAAAACACTAAATGGATCGTACCCGTAAAACCAACCGATCCAAATCACGTTTCGATATGATTAAATGCGTGTAATTTGTTCAGGCATGGGGTGAGGCAGTTAAGGACGTGCTGGTCAGATGGACCGGCATACATCACACAGTGTCCGATTCGGCCAGGCCAAAGCTATGTCTACAACTTCACACTCACAGGCGAGAGAGGCACTTTGCTCTGGCATGCGCATATCACTTGGCTCAGGGCGACCCTTCACGGCGCCATCGTCATCTTGCCCAAGCGAGGAGTTCCGTACCCCTTCCCAAAGCCTTACAAGGAAAAGGTCATCGTTTTAGGTCTGTCCTAAAAACCTTAATTTAGGCCACTCTCGGCCAGGAATTTCCCTGAGATGGCACTGCTAATTTGGCTGAAAATACGTGTTTGTGTCTTGCAAAAACTCACAGGCGAATGGTGGAAAGCTGATACCGAGCTCGTGCTCAGCCAGACCGAACAATCAGGCCTGCCACCAAATACATCAGATGCACATACCATCAATGGAGATCCGGGGCCTCTCCCTAATTGCTCTTCTCAGGGTACTGAAAATGGGGTATACATTGTCTGATACATCCAGTTTGAACTGAATTGTATCAAACTCGAAATCAGACTTATCATTCGAATAGCCTCTATTGTAGCGAAATTCGGATTGGAATACCACCAAAAGAGCTCATTAACTTAAACCGCAATCAACCAACAGAATACAGGGCTACCATCTTATTTTCGGCTTTCTGAACTTGTCAGGCTATAAACTCCATGTTGAAAGTGGCAAGACCTATCTCCTGCGGATCGTCAACGCTGCCGTGAATGAAGAGGTTTTTTTCAAGATTGCGGGGCACAACCTGACCGTGGTCGAAGTGGATGCATCCTACACCAAACCCTTCAGCATCGACACTATATTTATCGCTCCGGGACAGACCACCAACGCCCTACTAGCTGCCGACCAGAGCAGCGGGAGCTACCTTATGGCCATCTCTCCTTTCATGGACACTGTTGTTGCAGTCGACAATTTGACCACGACCGGAATTATGCAATACAACGGCACCCTCGTCTCTACTCCTACGGTGCAAGTCAGCATGCCTGCCATCAATGCCACCTCGGTCGAATTCAGCTTCATCAACTCGCTCCGGAGCCTCAATTCGAAGCGATACCCCGCGAACGTCCCGTTGACTGTCGATCATTCCCTTCTCTTCACATTGAGTGTCGGAGTGAACCCATGTTCCACGTGTGTCAACGGGAGCAAGCTGATCGCAGCGTTGAACAATGTGAGTTTCGTGATGCCAAGCACCGACATCCTTGAAGCACATTACCACAAGAGAAGAGGGGTTTACACTGACGATTTCCCTGGAAACCCTCCGATGCCATTCAATTACACGGGGACACCTCCTAGTAACATGCAGACGATGAACGGGACACGAGTTTACAAGCTTGCATACAACTCAACAGTTCAGATTGTTCTTCAGGGCACTTCTATAGTAGCACCCGAAAACCACCCTACTCATTTGCACGGTTTCAACATTTTCGGTATCGGGAAAGGCTTGGGGAATTTTGACCCGAATAAGGACCCCGAGAACTTCAATCTGGTCGACCCGGTCGAGAGGAACACGATTGGAGTGTCTACCGGCGGATGGACCGCAATCAGATTCAGAGCAGATAATCCAGGTGGAAAAACCGTACTATTTGTGATTATCTGACAATTCGGTAGTCTTAATTTGATTGGTTAGCACTGGTATTTCTCCTTCTAGACAAGAGCATTAGCTGTCAATTTAGCTGTCTGATTTTATTTTGGTTTAACATTAGGGAAAGAAAATGGTTGTTTTGTGGTTGAAACTAGAGACTAGTCCTTTTCATGAAAAGGAGACTGCATCTCATGTAGTTTCTTGGCATGGGAGGAACTGGGACGTCTTCATTTCAAGTCAATATGACATGTTTATTGTAGAATATGATTGAACTTGTTTCAAGTCATAGACTATATCACAGTGACCCATTTCCCTCTTGAGTCTGATGAATCTATGTCCACCTTTTTTTTCTTCTGGTGATGCCATAAAATTGCAGGTGTTTGGTTTCTGCACTGCCATTTGGAATTGCACACAACATGGGGACTGAAGATGGTGTTCGTAGTAGAAGATGGCGATGGCCCAAACGAGTCCCTTTTGCCTCCACCTGCTGACTTTCCAAAATGTTAAGAAAAACCTGCGTGGGGGGGGGGGGGGGGGAGGGTCTTTTCAATTGGTGGGTTTGAGAATGGACCAGTTGACCAATCAGTAGTTGCCCTATTAGACCAGGAGATTTGGGAATGTCTGAAGAGAGGATTCAGACCTCATGATGAGAGCAGAAAAGAAAAAAAAACAGAGAACGAAAGAGTTCTTCTTGGTTTTAATTTAGTTGGGGTGGGGTGAGGGAGAATTTGTTGTCTTTGAACTAAGTCAAGTGTGTATCTGCAATTAATAGAATCTGCTCGAGCATATTCGTCCTTGTCCCTCAGAGAAATTTAACTCAACATCATATCATTTTCATTAGAGGATTAAAGTCCCTCGACTTCGTGGGAATTCGCGACATCCCAATAGAGAAATTCGAGTGGACAAGAAGCTCTTTCTTATAAAGTTGTCCAGACCCTTTAGTAGCATGTCCTCCACCTGTAAAAATGAAGGGGAGACTGATAAATAGAGTAGAGATTACTCTCTGGAGGAAGATCTCACAATCTCACCAACCAAGAGAAGTCAAAGGGAGTCAAATGGGGAATGAATGTCCAGTTGACAAAAGATGAGAAGTTTTAGTCCAAAGTAGAATTATTCCATTTGGCATGATCGTGCACATTGTCGGTCCAATTAGGCCAAGTGATTCCTTTTTGATCTTGGAATTATACCAAGTGGATACTCATTCCCCAATTTCAAGCATAAATTTCTGGCTATAAAGGATCTAATTCGAACGAGTGATGTGGACCTATGCACATTGGCGAAAAAAAAGGAAGAAATAGTATTAAGACTAGACGTAAAGATATTTACAATTTTTTTTTTATCGGAAGTTAAATTTTCATTTCATACGAAAGAGAAGTACATAATTTCAAGACAAGATGCAAATCCACAAAGCAAGTAAATCTGAAAGGTGAATGAACTTAGCACGGCATGCAGAGACTCGCTCGTTCCACAAAGACGACAAATCTGTCATGGCATCAAATCACTACCGGCGGCCAATCACCGAATCTCGCATGATCATCAGTAATGTATACACGTCAAGAAATCTCTCTCTAATAGTTACGGCTTTGCCAAAAGGCGATGCGCACCTAGACTGGGCGTCCTTAGCACCGCCACCGTATAAATCTAGTTCTAGCTCTAAATCGAGAAAAAAGAGCTGCAAAATAGATATCAATTGATCACAAAATCACTTTCGGGTAAGCCGACCGTTAAAAGCAGCAACAAAGGAGCCTTGAAGACTTGTGGAGCGCTCGACTATCTGGAACAAGCACTCGAGCCAGAGAGCGAGCAGATTTGGAGAGAGCAAATCCTTCCGGGCCACTCGTGCTTCAATCTTCTTCAGAGCTCACTTCTGTGGAGGATGTCAACCGAGTCGTCCACGAAATCAACGCAGAATCTAGTAGATAGAGAGATAGAGAGGGAGAGAGTCTCTCTCAGGGGAGACGCTTTAGAGAAAAAAAGGTTGGGCGGCGGCTGCTTGGATACATACAGTTTCCTATACACATCATTGAATGAAAAGGAAAAGGAAAAACCACAATGATGAGACTCTTTTCATGATGTTATCTTAATTCAATAGTTTATTCTCGCTAATTATCAAGAGATATAAATTATCTCCCTAAAACTATAGAATGATAGGTATCCCCAATAATACATTCAACCGTATCTAAATAATTTAAGATTTTAGAATGACGTACCCTTTAATTTGGTTTATGTGCTCATCGACTTGTAATTCTCGAGTATAACTTTAAAAAAGCATCTCATTAGAGTTACCTATGCACACGATCGTTACGTAAAAGTCATTTGCACTATTTTGTTCTAATTAAAGTATACTCTATCGTTTTGGCCAAGAAAAAAAAGGTACATTTTGTTGTGAGATTTCTTAAACACCTTGTTGATTCATTCGGGTTATGTAATCCTTATGTATCTAAAGATAAGAGTCGTGACTAGTCACATCATTATTTATTTCTTGTGCACGGAGTAGAGATTTATTGCCAAAATTTTACATAAAATTGGAGACGATGAATTAGGGATTTCCTAAGATAACATAAAAAGCAAAATATACAAATGTTTCACACATATATATTAGTGCATTAGGAATCATGAAACTTATCACGAAAGTGTAATGGAGTTCTAAAATTATCAAAAAGTGCAATCCAGTTCTAAAACATGTCGCGAAAGTGTAATCGAGTCTTAAAACTTTCAAATAGTGTATCAACGGAAGGACCTGATCGGACCAATTTGACAATTTTTAGGACTCGATTGTACTTTCCGTAACAACTTCTAGGATTGGATTGCACTTTTTGAAAGCTTTAGGACTCGATCGCACTTTCGTGATAAGTTTTGACATTTTTAGTACACTTACCCTATTAAATAAAGTCGAATTGCGCAATAAGATTCGAGAAAATCGGAATAAAATCATTTTTTTGCCGATCTCAACGAACAACAAAAGAAAAATAAAGAAAAGAGAAAAAGCATCTCCGATCTGCTGTGATGAGTGGGAAGAGTAAAAATCTCCCGATTCTTAACCAAATATGGAAAAAAAAAAAAAAGGGATCGTACGGATCCTGCGCTCGCACGCGCGCGCACCAGTTCAAGAATCCCACTTGGCCTCCCCTGTTCATCGCCACTTTTTCCACACTCATTCAAGAACCCAAGCTCTGCTGCTGAGCTCGTTCGCACTTCGCGCAGACGCTGACCCGTGATCGATTCATGGTCGAATCACAGCGCGAAAAGCCACTGACCCATCTGCTCATATCCATCGTCCGACCTCCGCTTTACCTCTTTCCTTCTCACCAAAGCAACGAAGGGCGAGAGGAGGAGGAGGGAGGAAGGGAGGGAACCCAAAAAAAATCATCCCTTTCCCGCTTCTTTTGCTTTTCTTGTGTCTGATTCTCAGGAATCTCTCTGCCCCTCCCTGTACGCCTTCCTTTTCTTTTTTCAACTGGGGTCTCTCCTCATCGTCCACCATCTTTAATCTTCTGGCTTCTGATTTTCTTTTGGGTCGTTTTGTCTTTTCTTATTTCTTGGGTTGTTCTCTTATTTTTTTATGCTTGGAGTTGCAATTTGAGTGTTACTTTACTGAAATGGTGGGCAAGATCCTGCCTTCACTTCTCCTTACTATATAACTTTCCTGCCCAGGCTCCTCTTGATCATATCTCTCCCTCTTTCCCTCTCTCTCTCCCACTCTCTCTCCCTAGATTCTGCTGGGATTCAGAAAAATTTGGTCTTTCACATGATCTTTTGAGTTAGAATTGGAATTTGAATTTGAATTGTCGAGATCAAGAATAAAGGGAGATTCTTGTTTCCAGTAAGCAACCTTGGGGTCACTTCTTTATAAGCCTGTGGGAACCCTCAAGATCTTGGCATTCTCTCGCTCAATCCCATATCTTATTTTTTGGAAGACAATTTGCGACTAGTATCACGACTAGTGGCAATGGAGACTCTATACCCACGATCCTGTATTTCCAATTCCGCTTGGTTCAGCACCAGCTGGACTAAAGAAGAGAACAAGAGGTTCGAGAGCGCGCTGGCGATACACGATAAGGACACGCCGGATCGGTGGTTCAAGATCGCTGCGATTGTTGGGAAGTCAGTTCTTGATGTGGAGATCAAGTATAGGGAACTAGAAGAGGACGTGTGCGAAATCGAAGCCGGTCGGGACCCGATTCACGGGTACTTGTGCTCGACTTTCGCGCTGGACTCCATCGACGGGAGAGATTTCGATGCGTGTAGGAAGAAATCTTCGGCTGGCCGCGGAGCCGATCACGAAAGAAAGAAGGGAGTGCCTTGGACGCAGGAGGAACACAGGTTCGTTTTATTCTGAATAACGTCTAATTCGTTCGAAAAGGAATTCATGTCGCTGACCACAACCGTGTGTAGTTGTTGTCATCGTATCTAATTGTCTTGAGAACTTTGCCTCTCATGCTGTGATTTTGTGGAACTGGCCGACTGTTTTTTGTTGACATATGTAGTAAGCTGGAAGTTTGCATATTTTTGTTACTGCTGGTGGTTTCATCTTTATGATCTCATGAAAGCATTCTCTTTAGAGTTCTGCTTGATAATTAGCGGTGATGATGATTCTTATTTTGAAACGAATAAGGCGGTTCAGAAGTTTATCAGAAGTATACGGCTGCTGTGTTTATCAATTAGCTGCATTTTGAACATCATCATGACTGATATGACCCTCCCAAAGTTGGTTTTTTATTCAGGCATAGAGAAAGTAGGGAGGATAATGAAGGAACAAAAGGTTTTCGATATAGATTGTTACGGGTTTTTCATTATGCTTGTGTTACTTTTTCACCAAATCTGTAATTTATAGTTGATAGTAACTCGGATGTTTATCGGCAATTAAACCGAGCGAGAAACAGTTCCCTATAGAGATTGTAGGGTATTCTCAGCTTGTGTGTTTGGGGAGTTCTCGTCATGGGAGGTTGCAATTACTTTATGAAGACATTCGCCATGCTTTTCAGCCGCTAATGCTGTCTTTTGAATTTGACATATAAGCTTGATGCTGAAATAACAGGCGGTTTCTGATGGGGCTCCTTAAGTACGGCAAAGGGGATTGGAGAAACATCTCGCGGAACTTTGTGGTGTCAAAGACACCCACTCAAGTCGCAAGCCATGCTCAGAAGTACTTCATGAGACAGCTTTCTGGTGTGAAAGACAAGAGGAGACCAAGTATACATGACATAACTACAGTTAATCTCACAGACCCGGCTTCATCTTCCGAGAATAATAGGGTTTCCTCTTTCGATCAGCCCAATGTGCTTTCCTCGCAACAGAAGCTCATCAGCGCACCTGAGCTGGCCCTTGACCATAGTCTCCCTAACTATGGAGGATTTATGTTTTTTGACTCGAGCCATGGGCATCCATTGATGCCAGATGCGTATGGGTTTGGTCTGAATGGAATGAGATTTCAGGAAAAGCATAATCCGGACTGCGTTTATCCAAGTACAGGATTCTGCAGTTCATTGATTGGAATTCACTCTTCCAGACATCAAATTCAGGGATGACAGGATCGAATGTGATGACTAGTGACCTTGTGTACATTTAGCAGCTTGATGCTTATGTGATAATTATGCACTCATGAATGAAAAGAACAAAAAATGTTGAAGTATGTCTCTCTGAGTTTGTAACTGTGGAATAAAAAAGAGAGATTTGACTTAATTTTGGCCCTCTATCGAGGATTTGAAGTACTATTTTGGGATTGATCTCTTGTAGGGTCCTATGACCGGTTGTTGGGAATGTTGAATGGGATGCTCTGCATTTCCTCGTGCATAAGCATATATTCATTAGATAATTGCACATATGAACGAATGTGATAATTGCAGGGGCGGGAGATGCGTCTAGAATTATGAGGTTGATGGCTTAGATCTCTCATGGTTAAGCTTTATTAGCTTCGAACTTTATTTCCATCTTCCGTGTACAAGATTAAGTTTTCCTTTCTTAATAAGAAGGCAAAGCATTACTTGATTTGCCTGTTGTCTCGACGATGTTTGATCTGTCATCTGAAAGTCAGATGATCGTCCATTTGCTATTTCCAGACGACACAGAACCCAGCTGCAAGGGATTTATGGTACTGACTGAAAGAAGTTTTAAGAGTTTTGAATGGTTAAAATTGTCATGAAGGCCTGGATTGGAACTGTTTTGCTAGTGTGAACGCCTTTGTTGATGTTGGACCGGTGCAAATGCAAAGCCATATCAGATGATCACATTGGCCAAACTTGCTGATTCACAGGTCACTCCTTTTTAAATCCTCAGCATCTCACTGCCCACCTTTTCCTTTCACGCTCTTTTGGCCATCAAATCTAATAGGCACCCGATATGGCCCAACTTGACTGTGCCGTGCCGTCGCTCAGTCGGATCTGACTCTGCATTCCACTTTGCTTGAGCATCACATGCTCCAATCCATCTCGGAATATAGGACGGTCCACGTAAGAAAAAAACAACTACACTACCCACATGATTCTTTTAGGTTACCCTTTTCTTGTCCAATCCACATTTGCTCCTTTTAATTGATACTCCTCCTTGTGCCAATTAAGTCATCAATGGTGGAAAGACTGTTGCATCAGCATGAGTAGTGAGTGCCCTCTGTTTGCAACTTTTTACGTCAGGTCTCTGGATCTATCATGTGCTTTCTTCTGTGATTCTTAATTCTCTGCTTTTTTAAGGTCCCAGTCTGTGGTTTAGAATAATCTCTTTGCATTTCCACAATGTTTGGTATTGCAAATGCTACTCATAGAGGTGGACAAATTCGTGTTGACTTGTGCTTTTATCGTAATATTATCATTATGGTTCCTCTTTCCGAAAGGGGTGACTTCAGAGTTGCATCTTTAAAGTTGGAGCACTGATCACTAGCATTTCTGTAAAAGCACATTAAGGCGATGCAAAGATATCGCAATGGTTAAACTATTCTTGCGATGAAAGCGATCCTTCTTGAACAGCCCACGATTAAGCGATTGATTTTCTAGAGGGTACACTAATCTAGCAGCTCAAAAGTTAGGCGAAATAGGAACTTACCATTCCAAGGCGTGGTCCTTTAATTCCGACAGAGTGAAACTGGGGAAAATCTAACCATAATTGATAAGAGAGAATGAAACTTGGAATTTTAATCAGAAAATTATTACCAGTTCTATCATCGAGTCTCTGTTGAAATCGCCCAAAATGCATTAAAGTTTTCGAGCAATTCAAGCATCAGCCCGCAACACCAAACTGATCTACACCCTCTTCTCCCTTTCCCTCCAAGAGATGACAAATCCCTCAGCTTATTAAATTCATCATGGAATGCCTTTTCCGCAAGTTGTACATTTAAAATGGTTTCCCACCACACTATCCCTTCTTTATTTTAAGCCTACAAGGTCATTTTTCCTTAGTTTACATTGAGAACATATCAGAAAGGAAAGCTATCCTTCATATTCTAATTGTAGATTCTCAAAATCTTCGTGATGGACGTGTGCTAGACATGTTTAAGGGTCTTCATTAGCGGACTCGTTCATTAAGAGGGCAAAGCTATTATTCACCCATCTGTAAAGGGATGGTCATCCTTCAAAACTGGTGACGATCGTGGTCTTTAATATAACAAAACTTTGCCAAGATAGTAACTTATCCACAACTTGCTTATCCATTGGCCACAGTAATGACAAGCATAGTTTCCATTGGAATAGGACCAATACGAAAGGAGTTCATCTCCCCTACCATTCATGGCTTCTCTGCAATCTATTAACATCGGATCGCAGGGGTGGAGGACAAAACTTTTTCACATTAGACAAGATAATGCTATTACCACATGAAGGTCATATTACGTGCCATCAGATTCAGACGGTAAAGAACGAGAAGGCATAGACGGTTTTATGCAGATTAGATCTTCTTAAAGCCTTCTATGTACAAGTTAGCAGGTGCCTTCTACTTATGCAAGGCAGTTTAATGAGTACTGATAATTGCTAAGATTAGACACATAGCTCTCATCAGGAAGGCGAAATCACGACGATGAGTTAGATTACTGAAAACAGTCGAATTTTCAGAAAGGTATGGTTTAGTGTTGCGCATCTAAGATTTTGGAAGGCCTTCAATGGGACTGCCGACTCCCGATTCAAGGTTCACAGATAGGACAAGAGGGAATTTTAGTCCTTACAACTACATTCAATGACCTGCTTTGTCAGTCGCTCTCTGGCATGCGTGAAAGACGAAATTACTTAACAGAGACGAGAGTTCCCAGTTTAAAAATAAACGTCCGTGCGCACGGAATCAGTCCTTCCAAAGAGGACCTGAAGATCCCATAAATAGGTACACTAAAGTGGCAAAGCTTTCTAATTTCTCTACATTTGTGAATTTATGATTATGAGGATCTGATACTGAGTACATCATCCAAAGAACAAGAAGCAAAATGCATATATTCTAACTCACGGACCATGGTTAACGTGAAACGGCATCTGTGAACTTACGGATCCAAGGTACTTGGTTTTGTTCTAGGCATGGACCATAATCCATGCAAGACTCCGGACACTTTGGCTGTTCTGTACAAATTGCCATTGTCCTTTCCTTCTGTTGATTTGGGCGGTATTATCAGTCCATCTGAACTTGCATCAACCTCTCAACTTGTGGCTTTGCATTCAAATGTTCTAGATATGACGACATTCTTAGCGTAATGGGAATGTTTGCTGTGGAAGAGTTCCCAAGGAAACTATGCTGATCTGATCTTACTCCTTAGTATCACGAACAAAAATAAGAAGTTGATTTTACTTCCTACTGCTCATTTTGTACGACAAATAAAGGAGGAATTCTCCACCAGCATGTACTATTATTAATTTGCAACATTCATATTGATTTAGTTACAGTCATAGACACAAAGATAATCAGGTGCCTCTTGGACTATAATACCAATCTCTCTATTGCACGGGTATGCTGGTAATTCATACTGTTTTATGTCCCTACGCTTGCCTGTAGTGCAGTTTCTGCCGTATGGTTCTCAAAAGTTCTATCCGTTAGTATAAAAAAATCATGCCTTTTCTTGGTGACACTGTATGCTCAGGCAAAACACATGTTCTATAATTTGCAGGATTACATCTTGAGAATCGAGATTGAGAGAGCTTCATATCAGCTGAGCTGCAATGGTACCGCAATATTACCTGGGAAGGTGTGGAGACTTCTTAATTCTTGATGAAGGCAGTTAAATGCAACAGTCATGACTGAAATCAGCTTCTTCCCGCTGCCAATTAGTGATATACTAGAAATGTGGGTTACGGATATCATCCTTGTGGAACTATTGGACAATACACTATTGATGCCATTCATCTTGTGTGGTGACCGACCTGCTAGTGACAGCAGCGGCAGAAGGACCTTTAGGATTCTTTCTATAAATAGCATACGTTTTTATGAAGCCACATAAATAACACTCGCAGTACGCTCCAAACTTTCCAAGGCAGAGTAAAGCTTGCTCATGAGCACACTTGCCATCCCCAATCGCCCGCTTACAGATGATAATTGCGCATCTATGAGGACCATCGACAAAAGATTGGACAGAAATGTTCCAGCAGCAACTCGTACTTCGGAAATCGAATTGCTGTCCCCATTCATTCCGTTTGAACATTTGCCGTCAAAGATTACCCAACAGAATCACCTCAAAATAGTTCAAATTCGACTAGCAAAACCGTTCAAAATAAGTCACAACAGTGTTGAAGGAAAACCGTCAACTAGTTGCCCTGTACAAGGGATGGAATTAGATGCAAAACTCTTACAAGGTTACAGAGAACACAATCTTATTGCGACAAAATAAAAGAGAAAAGAAGGGATTCCAACAAACAGAAGACGAGAGGAGAAATTTCTCAGGGAGTGATAAAGTACAGAACCGTATGACAGATGGTCTAGAGCAATTAAAAAGATAAAAGGCATCTTCGGCAAAAGGTTGTATTTACAGCTCTACGAGGTAACCAGCCTTGCTGGATCCAAAGGGATAACGCTGGCAGGACAATCAGTTCTTGGTCCAGATAGAGAGTAATATGCAAGCATATGGGCTGGGTCTTCATTTAGCACGTTTTCTCCAAGCTGATTGGCGACAACCATTCTTCTAGGAGGAATCAACTCGATGTTCCAAAAGGGACGGACCATTGCCAGAATATCTCGACCGGTTTCAGATACTCGATACCCCTGCACCCATACATACCTCAGAGAAGTCAACCGCATCACAGCATCAGCCAGTGCCTGTTCGCTAAAGCAACAACCCCGCATTTCAAGTTTTTGCAAACTCGGGCAGCCTCTGGAGAACTCCCTAAGGCCCTCATCACTCTCTCCCACATATCCAAGAAGCATCCATCTTATGTTTTGGCTATACTGCCCAATGTAACCAAGACCCACATCCGTCAAGCCTCCAGGCCGCAGATAAAGAGCAAACCTTCTTATCTTTTCACATCCCCTTAAAAGAGCCCGGACTCCATTGTCCAGGGGTAAATCAGTTATCTTTTCCTCACGATCAAGTAGAACAAGACGGAAATCACTAAGGTTCTTCGAATGAGCTCCTATACATTCGAGAGATGAGTTTGTGATATCAGATACATAAACAGCCAGGTATTCCAGTTCTAGGCAGCCCTGAGCCAAGGCAATTAATCCTCTTTGCGAAACAAGGCCTCCTTCATCCCCCATACCCTGCTCATCAGCACCTCTTTCAATCCTAAGCCTCTTCAACCTTTTACAACTTCGAGCAAGAACCTCTAGTCCTCCGTCTCCAATGACGTTCCTTGTCTGGCCATAAAGAACAAAGAACATATCAGAATTTCATCCAAATTTGAAACTCATTCAATACTCCACTAAAGTACATTAAGCATGACAATCCTCCCTTCTTCCCATTCTGCACACACACACACACACACACTCCTTAAAAATGTCGTGCCTGAGAACAGTATAAACTTAGATGCTAAGTTAGAACCTGTAACACCAAAACAGTGAGCAGTGACTAAAACACCAATTGCAGATAGTGACCAACCATGTATACGGTGACTTGGTATACAGAAAAGGTTTTCATTGAAACGTTATGACAACCTAAATAGAGTGACAAAAATACCACAACCATCCCCCACTATCTTTTCAGCTACGTTGTACCCCTTAAATTTCAAAACCCACACTTCATCCTCCATTATCAAGACTCTACATTACAACCTGAGATTTCAAAGAAAACCCACCATTTGCAGCTTCTACCTTTTATTAACTTTATAAAGATTCTGGGATGTAAAGTATACATATCTTAGGACATAGGTTGCAAGAGTTTGAAACTAGAGGGTGCAAAGTGTCGATAAGGAAGAATATGAGGAAGATCTTTTGAATCTCCTCTATACATGTCACGAACTCCAAGACTCCCAAAGGTAAAGGTAAAGGTGCATTACTGGAGACTGGAGAGTGAGGCCATGCAAAGATTTATTGTTACAACAGTAATAGATAAAGACAGAAGTTTACCTCAAGAACTTCCAAGATGGGGCATTGCTGAATCAGCAAGCAGAGGTCATCTGTGCTAAGAAATGCATAGAGAAGATCTAACATTCTTAGCCGAGATGCGAATGGGAACACGATATGCATCTCATTTTCTGAAATGTAGGTTAGACCCACACGGCATAGTCTCGCTGGGAACGATAAAGCAGCGTACCTTTCTGGTTCCTCATTATTAAAAAGACCACCACCAAATTCTTCTAAAGCAGCTGCATCTTGAAAGAAACCCAAAAGATCCAGAATTTCGCAATCGCTAATTTTCACGGATGTTAATGATCGACAATTTCTGGCAATAATTTGAAGGTCCTGGACACTAAAGCTGGAGAGCTCTGTCATGTAAAAATTTAAAGTCTCAAGGACACTGTTGTTCAGAGCAAGCTCATGAAGCCACGCACCATCTTTCTCATCGATTGTGCTTTCTTCCAAAAACAAGGTTCTTAAATTCCTGGAATAAAGATGGCATAGCTTGTGAGAAAATGTAAATACATCTTTCCTTTTACATGTGTACCAATCTCGACAAACACACATACAAACACAAAAAAATAAATAATAAGAATAACATGGGTATAGACGACTGTGCTAAAAGCCTCCTTTTTTAATTGCCATATGTAAAGTGCAAACTCAGAAGCATAAATGTTCTTTGTGTAACATGCTCCAGGCAATAAGGACTCAAATAATGCATCACAGATAACAGCAATAATGTCACTTCATACTCGAAAAATTGGAAACAGACAATAGATCTGAGTGAACCCAGAAACCGTGGGACTCGATAGAATAGAAAAGTGTCAAACTAATATATATCTTTTCTCTCTTTTTAAACTCCTCCGCTGGAGATTATACGATGTTAAGTGGCGAAGAATCACATTTTTACACAGACTTCGACTCCATAGCTTCCAAAGAGGGATCCTATGCTTTAGCATAGCCCTGAAGCGTCCTTAAACTAACAATTTAGACAGCTATTTCTCATTGTGCCTCTTATAGCAAATGCGCTCACAGCTCTTTTAAGTGATTTTACATCATGCATCAAGCATCCTTCGACTGGTTGATCTCCCATTGTACTAGTAACCAGGGAGTTAGCCTCCGAGAATAAGACCGTCGTCATCTTTTTTTCCTCTACACAGTACTCACCTCCTCCGAACGAAATTGTTATCGTCCTACATGTCCACATGTTCTCTATACATAAACGTGTTCCTCATTCACACACTTATCATGTCCACATCTCTGATTGCTCGTAAAAGTAGAAGCCACCTTAAAATATATGAATGGACAACCAGTGAATCACGCACGACATGAAAAGGGAAATTTTATGAAGAGAACAAGAAGTCAGGGCAAACGGAATTGACCGAAAATGCATAGGTGAAACTCTTTATCCCATTTATAAGCTTAGAATTGACACAATGGGTCGAATCGTCACAAGAGACAGCTCGCTTGAATTGCGTCTCCCAGCAATTCATAGCTTTTCTATCGCTACTGTCTCTCGTTGTCCTTCTCTCTCCCCTCTCTCTGTCAGTTAAGCTTTTGTCATCCATCTTTTTATCTGCGCAGCCTCAGTTTTACGGTCAATCTTTATGATTTCTTCTACAAACCACCTGTTGAAAAGTAAGATTCCACTCACAAATTACCCCTGCATCTCTAGCATGGAGCAATCAAATTCAATCTTACACGTTAACCAGAATCTCAAGACAGAATATGAACGGATGAAGAATCTGCAGTATGACATATCTCAGATACACTGGGGACTAAGTAAAGCATCGAATAAGGACCATGTGAAGTGCATAAGTATCATCTCTTGAGTAATTCCTTCAGGAAAGACTATTACGGAGTAAGACAAAAGCCACGAAATTACAAGAACATACTTTCATCGCTAACCGAAAGGCGCAAAATTCAATAAGCAAATCGACAGGGTGTACGGCAATTGCAAGTCTTTCGTTACCGTACAAGGGCACAGACGGACAATCAAGTTACCTGCACAAACGCCCCACGTGTCGAAGCCCGTCCGTCGAAAACCCAGAGCACTTGTCGAGCTTGAGCACTTGCAGAACGCGTCCCCGCGACCTCGCGAGCAGCGCCAAGTCCGAATCTGTCACAATCATGCGCCGGAAGTGGAGCGACTTCAAGCAATCGAAGGACTGCGCGATCTCGGTCACCCACGGGGTCACGTAGCCGCCCCAGTCCTCGGGTATCAGATTGAACATGGCGGCCCGGGGCTTCCCCTTCAGCTTGAGCGACTCGAGGTGCCTGAACCTCCTGCGCAGCCGATCGGGGCTGGTGGTGTAGCACAGGGCGATGGTGACGTGCTTCCTCGTCAGGGCGTCAATCTCGTACCAGCGGCGGCAGACGAGGGAGATCGCGTCCCGGTCCTTGGGGTCGTCGACGTACGGCATGACGCAGGTCAGCACGACGTCGGACAGGCCCGGGCTGCTCATCCCCCTCACGTTCCGATCCTCCATCAACTCAAAAAGAGCCCCCCAAAAACAAGAAAGAGAACCCAAAAGAAAACCCTAAACCCGTCGCCGGAGCCGGGAGCGCCGGCTCACTCGTCGGAGCCGGCAGAGAACCCTAATCGGATCGACCGGGAGGAGGAGGAGGAGGAGGAGGCGGCGGCGGCCGGATCCATGGACCCGACCTTCGCGGGACCCGAAAGATCGGCCCACCCCGTCTGGGAGGAGACCCCCGAAGAATCGAGAGCTTCGAAGCGCAGCCGAACACGGGAGGAGCACGGAAAAATCCAACCTTTATGCTCTCGAATCAAGAGAGATAGAGAGAGAGAGAGAGAGAGAGAGAGATGGAATCTGGAGGAGGGATGAAGACGGTGGTGGGAGAGCGTACGGGACTGCGTATCAGGGAGGGAGGGAGGAGGGAGGAGGGAAGAGGGGAGGAGAGGACCAATGGGAAAGTGATGAGAGAGCACGGGGACGCGACTAATAACGACCGGCGGGAGCATCCGACCATCCCCCCCCCCCTTTGGCGTACGCGAGCTTCTAGAGGGAGAGTGGCGAACGGACGGTTGGGATGGAGGGTATAAATTTGCATCAGACGGCGACGACAGTTGGGACAGTTTTGTTGCGAGAAGAGGAGGGAGAGGGAGAGGGAGAGAGGGAGAGAGAATGCGGCTCTCAATCAACCCGAAAAGAATCTGACCCAGAAAAAAATAATAAAAAAATCAAGCCAAAAAGAAGGACCAAAGTTAGAGAGAGAGAGAGAGAGGGACAGGGGGGGTTGAAAAACAATTATTGAGAAAAGCAGGAAAAATTGAATTTCCTTGATTTTTTTTTTTGGTTGTTATGAATAATTTAATTAATTATTATTAATTTTTTTTGGGGGGGGGGGGGGGGAGGGGTTTGTGGTGGGGGGATGTAAGAGAAAGGGAAGGGTGGGAGTGGGGGGGAAACGACAAAAGGGGCACCGGATTTAAAGGGGGGCGCAACCCCAATCAACGTCACGTTTATTTTAGTTGGGACTTCGGGTGGGGGGAGGGGTTCTGAAAGCTCCCCCTTTTGCGATTTACTTAAAATTAACAGATCAATTGATGGATCGATCGATTGACATCAGTTTTTTTTTTTTGGGTTAATTGATTTTGATTAATTAGGATAAATTGGTGGTGGGGAGGGGGGGTGGTGGGGCTGCTGCTATTGCTATTGCTATTGCTGTTGCAGCAGCAGTACTGGCAAAAGCTATTATGAATGTTGTCACGTTGCGCCGGGGATGGGAGGGGGGGGGTCAGTTGGTGTCGGCTCATGATTGGAGCTCTTTTGTTCATCTTCTTGTCGACCCCTGGTTATTTTCCCCCCCCCCCCCCTCCCTCCGTGGGAGGCGGTGGAGGAGGGAGGGAGGATTTCTAACGGTCGTGCGGTGCCCACTTTCCCTTCCCATTTGCCTTCTCTTGCTCTTTCTTCTTTCTTCTTCTTGTGTTTTTTTTTTTTTTAAGGTGTCGCGAGCTTTCTCGAGGCGGTTTTTTTTTTATTTTATTGGGACTTATTGTCGAAATTTTGGGGTGATTATGCCGAGTGAGGATCGAATTTTGAGGCCGGCCCTTTTTTTTTTTTGCGAGACTGGGGAGTTTTTCGGATACCCGAATCCGTAAAGCTTCTCTTGGAACTTTGAGGTGGGTACTTTTTATTTTTTGGGCGTTCTTGAGTAGGAAGTGATGCAAAAGATAGGAATCGGCTAAATATTAAGGCGGACGGTGTCGTGTCTTCGCGTCGTAACTGGGGTCTTGCTCGCATTTGAATCTGATCCGAATCGCACGATAACAGCGCCCGCCAAATAAGAAAAAAGTTTGATCGTAAATTAGACGACGCTACATATTCGACGCCGTAAATGAATTCTCCGGCGGGATGACTTGGTATTTTCCAAACACGCAAGGTCACGGGTTCGAACCCGTTTAGCTGCACTGCTCGCGGCTTACTTTGGAGAAACATGGATCGCGGACTTACGGTACCTTGCTAGGATTGAAGCGATGGAGACATTCCACGGGTGCACCGAGCACACGGCACAAGTCCGATGCATCCCGGCCCTCCGGTTCGGCTGACGCGGGCCCCACGCGAAATCCGCCAACGTCAAGGGTTCGTTCGGATACATTTAAAAGACGAGACTCGATTCCCCCCCCCCCCCCAAAAAAATAAAGAAGATAAGATTTTTTTATTTTTTTATTTTTTGTTTTTGGAAGGAAGGGCAAGATACCTCCTGATGAGAATGAGATTCCGAGGGGCCAATTTCCTCCAATTGCGTCATGAAAATTACAGGGAGATTGGGATTTGGATTTGGATTTGGATTTGGATGTGGATGCGGATGCCGATGCCCATCCATTGTGGGGAAAGCTTTTTTCCATGGTGGTCCAAAGTGAGTCCCAAAAAAAAACCCACAAAATAAAATCGTGTCCGACAACCTGTAAATCCCAATGGCTTTCCTTCCCTTCAAAAGTCAAAGCTCCCTGTTCGCAATATTTTGCTTATCCCCCCTATTTTGCTATTGCTAGGAGCAGATCCAGAAAACAGAACTCCCCTATTTGTCCCCCTGATCCCGTCAAGTTCACCCACAGAAAACAGATTGGGACTGGTCACTCAAAACCACGCTTTGAGATCAAAGCTTTGGGCGGATCACACACGCACCGAACACGTACCTGAATTCCGTGCAACGGCACGTCGGATTCTCGCAAAACCGCTCGCCACACCCGGCGAGTGAAAGGACGGCGGACACGAACACGATGCGTCTCGCGATATCGCGACGGCGATATTACTTGTGGTAAGCGGAAAAAAGAAGAAATGAGCCGCGCCTTTTAAGTAATCCGTCAAGAGAATTAGGCAGGAAAATGGAACTTGAGCCCGTGTTAAGCGGAGGTGACTGGGATGTTCATATATTCGACTTCGATTAAAAGTACGTGTCTATGCATAAGCATCTGTTTCGAAGCTGTTCCCACAAATTTTTTTATTTTTTTTTTCAAACTAAGTTCTACCATAAGCACTTTTCTTTGAGAACGAGCTATAAAGTCCGCAAAACTCGATACTCCGCGATCAATTGAATGGAGATATGACGACGTCATATTTTGAGAGCACCTGAATTTTTCGAAAAAGAATAGTTTTTCGAGACGGGCCGAATCGAGAACGGAAAAGAAGAATCAAATGTCATGAAATTTTCCAGTGATATGGAAGTGGAATATCGTTTCGGATCCCCAAATGGAAAGGAGTCGGTTAACATAGAAATCGTGCGATTTGATGGTGATATTCCGGGGCAGGTGGGTTGCAAGGTCAACCACAAATGTCACACACACACATATTTTACATATACATATACATATACATATACATATATGTTGCTGACTCAGCACACGTCCAATGCCATGATCGATTTCTCCCATCCTGGTCGTGCCTTCCTTGAAAGGGAGATTTAACTTTAATATTCATGGCCCATGTTTCGCGCTTTATACTTAAAATACCACTACAGTATGGAGGTGAAAAACCGAACCCGAACAAGTGAAAAAAAAAGAAGAAGAAGGGATAAGTGCATTGGAAGTCCTAAAACTTGTCATGAAAGTGCAATTGAGTCATAAAACTTGTCAAATTAGTTCAATCAAGTACTTCCATTGATTGCACTTTTTGAAAGTTTTAGGACTCAATTGCACTTTCATGACAAGTTTTAGGACTCGATTACACTTTTATGACAAATTCTAGGACTCGATTGCATTTTCAAGACAAATTCTAGGACTTAATTACACTTTCGTAACAGGTTTTTAGGTTCCAATGCACTTATCCCAAAAAAAGAAGAAGAGGATCTCACGCCGGGGCGGGTGCTCGGCTCGCGATTCCAATCGCCGCCCCCTCCCCCGACAAGCTCGAACCAATCCGAAACGAAACGGGGGGAGACGTGCCGATCCGGTAAGTTGCGAATCGGCCGAGAGAGAGGCCAAGCGAATTTGACTCCATCTCACGGGGTCAAGATAAGATCATTACCACCACCCCCACATGGAAGGCTCCTGATCAGTCGCTGTTGGGTCCAAAAAAGCAAAGTATCTATCTGGCCACCAAAGCCAGAGCAAATGGCAATATACTATTCCAAGTTGAGGGGGTTGGGGAGAAGAAAATTAAGTACGAAACAATGTATGATTGTGTTGGGTGCTACGTCCTCAACCTCTCTTTTGACAAATAAGGCCGGTCACTACTACTCACCACCCCCCACATCCCACTTGCTGCTGTTGCCCGATGCCAACAATGCGCGCATAACAAGGTCTGTTTTTCCAACCTTCGATTGAGTTTTTCCGTAGCTAATTGATGCGGTCCGCCAAAGTGGGATGAACTAAAAGGGACCGTGTAACCAAAAAACATAATGGGCATTTAAATTTTTCCTATATTTTAATTTCGTTTTTTCTTTTTTTCTTTTTTTTGTTGTGTGTGTGGGGGGGGAATCTGCGAAATCCTATCCGAATCGAGTAGGATATATAGTGTGAGGGGAGATTAGAGCGGCATCAAAGATTTGCGGTGCTCTTATTAGATCAAGCTTTTAGGGACGAACGGTGGTAGTAGGGGCTAGGCTGTGTTTAGATAATATCATTAAATACCTTTGATGCCAGACGCGGGGGGGCCTAGGGGGAGCAAAGCTCTGGCAGGGACAATAATGCCTTTGTCTCTCGAATCTCGTTTTAAACATAATGCTGCTTCGGCTTTGCCTCTCTTTGAAGGCAAGGAACGTAATTGGAGACGAGGGTCTGTTGTTGTCGTCAAGATTCCCCGCCCCCCCCCCCCCCCCCCGCTCGTGCTGTGCAGAGTAGTAGTCCCCGTCTGTTCTTTGGGTTCTAGAGTCAGGGTAGGGCCTTGAAGGACCCTTGGTGATATAAATATTGTCGAGGGAAGCGCAACAGAGAGCACAATAGTGTGGTTTTCTTGCCATTAACCTCGGTCAAAGAATTTGAAAGAATTCGAGTTCTCACCGGTGACCCACGTCTGATCTGTCGATGAAACAGGCCTCGATCTGTCGATGAAACGGGCCTATCCGACCGCACGTCGCATTAGTTCTAAGAACTGTAAGATGGGCGCTTGAGTACTTGAGGAAGTTCGTAGGATCGATAAAAACATTGGGTCCTTAGTCCAAGCTTAGTGAAGATTATTGTTGAACTGCGTAGCTATATCGTTCGCATGCAACTGTGCGGAGAAACAACATTTACACCAGAAATCATGGAAATAGGAGGGCTATAAAGAAAAGACAACTCAGATTCACATTTACAACTATCAAAATAACAAAAGTAAGCCCTCAACGTCCACATTTCAAGATACTCAAACTACAGATGTGGATTGACCAAAAAGAAAAAACTACAGATGTTGGAACAGAGCATTGAAAGCACCAAAAACCCCAATTTGGGGGAGCTTATTTCGATTAAAATACGGAAAAACCTGCAGCATATATCTACACTTTCTACGAACAGAAACGAATCGACATCTGAAAACATCGAACATTCATCAATCTGTCTTCCCGGCATTCTCGGAAAGGGAATCGTCGACATCTGCGTTTGATTCACCAAAGCTGCTAGATCCATTCGGTTGAACATCCAAACCGTTGACAATGTCACAACTCCTTGCTGCACTCTCTGCTGCAGATCTACCGGACAGGGAGAACAATCCCATGGCAGCAAAACCTCTGCTCGAAAAAGCATCGACATCCCTAATTCCGCAGTACAGACCCCTGCTTCCAGCAACAACCGCACTTTGCTTCTCATCAGCATTACTCAGTACAACAGGGAACATGCCAATCGACTGCGTAATCTTGGCGCTTGAACCGCTAATCAGAAGGCGCAGAGTTTCTCTCGCACCCTCTTCAACCACCAAACTCGTCTCGGGAATCAATGGACTCACAAGTTTTGGGTTCAGGGGCCCGATAGCAGTTGTAACAGTGGGCCCCGCGCTCACCAGGTAACCTTGTCCTGCAGAACAGACATCAATGACTGGAATGTGAACGATCGGATCGCACATCAAAGGCGTAAAGGTCGGGATTTGTTGAGAACTGGGCTTTGGTAGACAGGCCAACGGGTCTGGAAGAATAGTTGGAAAATCTAGCGGAGGAAGATCTTCCAAGTTTAAAGGCTGTGTCGCCATGAATAAACTGGAAGGAACGGGAGGTAGTAAAGCAGATAAAGGTGGAACTGAATATCCATCTGAAGCAGATGCTGACACCGGAGGCGGAACTGGGTGTTCTAGTGTCGATGCCCCGGGAGGGCACAGACAGTAGTATGGGGAGAAAATGGGTTGACACAGAGAAGGAACTTGAGACGATGTGCTTAAACAGGGTGGGAATGTCAATTTCCCTAGTGATTCCAGGACGTCGGAAGGAGTGAGTGAATTGTTCTCCAGTGAATCTTGAGATTGTATGATGTTGCAAGAACTTGAATTGAAAGTATCAGCAACGATTGGTAAAGCAGCTGACAAGTTGTCAACTGCTGCAAAGTGATTCTCCCCAAGCTTCCTCAACTTCTCCCTTGTACTCCTTGTGGTCAAGTTTTTGGCCAGACCTTCTTTAAACGAACTCGCTCTGGGACTTAGGACTTGATGGCATGAATTAGCTTTTACTACTTGACTGCTGGCATAACGGGGGCGAAGGGATTTAGATGAAGTAAACGATTGCGTATTTTCGCTTGCATTAGGAACATCATTCGCAATCCCATCCGATAGGATTGGCATGCCCGAAGAACTAGCTTGGCTTTTACTTACAGCCGATCCCATTAGATATGCTCGAAGGTGAATCGCAAAGCACTCAAGACGTGACCTATCTATTCCAGTCAATTCAGCAACAGTAGGTCTCTGATTGAGTAACTCCCTCATCTGTGACAGCAAAACAAAGAAATACATATATGATTAGTATCCAAGTTTTCGAAGAAACAATGACCAGTGAAATAAGGCATCCCACAGAAACTTGACCAGACTCAATCTTTTCATTTAGGTGCTACAAATCCACAATACATCAGGATAGGTATTACAACTTGTTATGGTGTGTACAATACTAGAAGGTAATAGCTTTTCCTCAACAAAGCATTTACAAATGCCCCACAACTAATCACTCTTAAGTTCACCATGACTAAGGGAACATCTTTCACTTGCCCTATCCTGCTGGTTGTCAACACATTAATCGAGGGTACCCACGACAATTAAATGCAACTCTTACCTTTCTAAGCAATTCAATTCCCAAGAGCTTTGATTTCTCCGAGCACCAAAAGTAAAATGCATTCCCATCCAGCATTTTGAGAACGAATGATCTACCCGAAGTATCTTCAAATATTTCCTCAATCACAATGGAAGAAGATTCGGTCGAGCCGCTTAAAGTAACTAGCCTCTCTGTCTGACCATTGTCCCCGACAAATGACAAGCGCAAATCAGATGTGGGCAAAAGACTAAGATTTAAGTTCCCCCTGTGTTGATGAAATAGTGAAACAGAAGAAACAGATCGTCAGAAACAGTCCAGCTAGATAAATCTAACAGGGAAAATATCGATGCAAAAAAGCATGGATGCTGAAAAATTGATATATTTCCATTACAAAAGAATCCACCCCATTCATGAAAGTACAATTTAAGTGAGCACAACTCCTCTTACGACAAAACATTATAACTCTTCAATTCGATTTGACTATGCAATGTAACATTCATTAACATGAGCTGGTAAACTTTGTTGCACCTGCCGGACTATTCATTTTTTTCCAGGTGAAAACAAAAAAAAAAACTATTCTCTAGCTGAGAAAGTAACAGGCATATATAACCAAGAAACAATTGAAACTGTTGATTTCTCTGAGACAGGTGAGAAATTAACTAGCTGGTTAAGGAAAGATTACTATAGCAATGTGCAAGTTTGGTATCAACGCCTAATAAGCAAAACTCCGGTAAAAACACTAAATGGGATTATTTATCACCTGTCACATATATAATGGATTTATCTCAAGTTCTTTTTGTTTATGCTGCGTATCTCAATACTTGACTTTGGCTAAATTTCTCAGGTAACTTTAGACCTAAAAGAATCCATCATGTAACTTCTAACTGCATCCTAGTGTGTACAAGCTTATTCTGGCTGCACCCATGATTTAATTCGAGGGCATCTTACAAAAGGTATTTCCTTTGCACGACTTTCAAGCAGCCAAAATAACTCCACAAATTCTAATAATATGTTGAAAGACCAAGCAGTTCCAGAAATGAGCACCATTCGGTGACACAGATATAAACAGCAAGTAACATCTACGTTCAAGGAAATGGATATGTGAATGTGACAAATTCGGAGAGTAATATAAAAAGTCAGTTCACACAACTATTCATTGTCAAACGCAAACAATAACAACCAATTGACTAAAGAGAACTTAATGAGATCAGAATTACAGTATCATGAGACCTACCTAAATGACAAGCATAAGAACAGATATAGTCGCTAACATTTTCTACCTGTTGAATTCAGATCCTATATACATTCAAAAAGCAACAGTCGACACGATAATATAGGAGCATGAAACTACCTTGACTCCCCCTTAATTCAGAGATCATAATAAGATACGCCCACTTCACCTACAAGCCAAAAGACATATTTATTGGGAAGGATGAACATGGTACCAACAAGAAGCTACAACATTAAATCCTCAACTTAAGATTATTTCCAGTGATATCATGGACTGTATGCAAAGTTGATATTATTCAAGTATTATCCACCATTTCTTCGAAAATAATCTCACAAACAACATCCGAGAACTGCTCAATTCGAAGACTCTGATGCTATGACATAATTGTCAAGAGGGTAAATTTCACATTATGAATAAAGCATAGTAGGGTACACAGAAACCACTGTCCATCAGCCAATATTACTGCCACCAATACTATTATCCATATGTATCCAAAAAATTTCCAACAAGAAGAGAATTACATCAGAAAACAAAAAAACTGTTACGGTCCAACATCTGGCTTTTACTACTTCGCACAAACTTACTGGTATATCAACATGTGTCAAATACTTTCATCTAGAATATTTTAAACTGGCAGCCTGCAAAGAAGACTGACAATATGATCTCCTGATAAGGTGCCCACAATTAGCATTAAATAGCTAGTTGTAATAAGAACCGAAAGACAAAACTCCACCGCACAAATTGGCAAGAAAACTAGCAAATTTGAAATAATGAGGATAAGGAACAATAGGAACAGAAAAACAGTAAGCATACTCCTCCTTGAACATTGTAGAAAAATCGTACAAAGAACCGTTATCACAACACAAAACTAACAGATGCTCAATCAAAACACATAATACGCACTCACACTACAAAATGAAAGCTTACAAGAACTACATTCCAGACGAAGGGAACAAGATACAAGACAGAAAATGCACCACTTAAATGTGACAGATCAGAACATAAACAATACAACTCCTAATAAAGCCAATTCTAAGCTTGTTAAACTTCCAGAAATTATAAGCATCCATAAAGCAACAGACCGACGTAAATGAAAATTACTTGATATAACAAACAAAATTCTAAAAGCAAACCGATGAGCACCGCGGATAAAATTTAGTCTACGGCAGAATTATCTATACTACCGGAAAACATTGGCAACTCATCAGCAGAAACCAAAATAAGCTGCTCACAAGCCAACAGACAATTCACATACAAGAATCCAAAAACCGATACAGATCATGACTTCATTTACCTTGTCGATGTGGGGCAAAGAAGAGTCCCTTGCTTGTCTATCTTGCCTACTCGAATCGAAACAAGTGGCATGCAAAAGCATCTCGCCAGTATTCCAACTTCCGCAGGCTCAAAGTGCTGATGATTAGAAACAAAACCAAATCCGATGAGCCAAAATCAAACAATAAACATGAACAAATTATCCATACCATCTCAATTACGATCCACTCATGCAATATCTCACAAGGGACTCTGAACCATCCGTACGAAAATAAATTTGAAAAGAGACTCCCTATCATCAGTAGCACGGTAAAGCGTTTACCCCTCACAGGCCACCAAAATGTAGCCACACATACAACATACGCCGCGATTATCTCGAAATTAATCCTCAGGCAATGAAATAAGCAAAAAACCCTAACGCTACGAGCCAGATAAGACACTTAATCCGGATCGAAACAATAAGTACCTGACTGAGGTGAGCCAACAACCGATCCTCAGCCGCGCTGCTCGACCCACTCGACTTCAACAACGGCTTCAATCTCTCATCCGCGCGGCAGGCCCCAACCACTTGCATATCGAGCACCTGCAGCCACTGCAGAACCCTATCCTCCCGATCGCTCCGCTGCATCAGCAGATCTCCGTCGCCTCCCCCGACGAAGACGTCCGTCAGCCTCTCCGCCATCCCAATCTCCTCCCCGGCTGCCCCCCTCGAGACCCTCGAGCTCGGCCCGGACTCCACCGAGGACGCGTCGATCGACGACGGATCGCCGACCTCGTCGCGGTCCGGTCGCGCCCGGCGGTTCTCGCCGTTCTCTCCATCGCCGGAGCTAGCCATGGCGAATCTCGATCGCACCTTGCCGAATTCAGGCGAACCGCTGGAAGAAACTCGCGACAACGAACCGGAAAACCGCTGATTCCGAGCTCGGAGGCGGCGGAAACTACCGGCGAGGGGCGAGAACAATGCGAGAAGGGGAAGAGGAATATTCGTGGGCTTCGTTTTTGCCCTGGCGATAGCGCAAAGCGAATGAAAGGTCGCGAGAGAAACAGAGGAGGTCGATATATATATGCGCATAAATAAACGAAAGGCATAAATATATATATTAAATAAAATAAAATAGGAGGAGGAAAAATCGGGAAAAAATATAAAAGATGTGACGGACGCGAGAGGCGGTTTATGAACTGGGGATTAGTTTAGAGTTGGTTTGAGGTCCAGGGCATGATTGCGTTACCCGCCACGTCAGCTCGTGTGGGGGGAGGGGGGCCCCACGATCCTCGCTGGGTTCGCGCTGGGTGCGGTCCCACGTGAAACGGCCACACTTCGGGCACGGTGCTAAACTAAACGAGTAGTCTAATTAGTCGGGTGATTAAAAGGAGACCGGACGCTCCCCGTCGTTATCATTCGCAAGTGATTATACACTTAATTGGTTTTCACTAGTTGTGAGCGGTTTTAAATTCCGTACAAAATTTATCTGGAACCCGTTTCCTAATTTTTTTTATCCTGAAACCTGAAAATTACTCTTATCACGGATTTTAGGGTCTCCCAAAATTTCACATGTATATCACCTTTAATGATTACAACTTGTTGCTACGATCAATTAATACGATCAATTAATCACAACTTATATTTATATACACAAAAAATATAAAATATTAACAAAGTAAAAATTACGGTCATAAAATGAAAATCCGGACTAGTAGTTTCAAATTATACATCCAACGTCGAACGCCGTATAATATTGCAAGATCGCACAAAAACATAGATTAAAAAAATATAAAAACTTATTTCAAGTTCAAAATTCCAATTACCTGAAATCTATCTATAAAATTACTTCTTTAATTTTTGAAATCTGAAATTTACGCTACGTATCTTGAAATTTGCAACCGGACGGATTCCCTCGTTGTCAAAAAAACATTCGGATTAAAAAATTAGTTTCCACCAAAAGTATACGAGGTCGGCGTTTTTTTTCAAAAAGAATTAGACGGGATTTTTTTTTCCATTTTCACTCCTTGTCACGTGCGACGCGAAAAGGGCGACGTCGATTTAAAGAAAGGGCAAAAAAAACGAGAGGGAGTCGTTTCGTTTGTGGTGTGGGTGGATAGGGCGGCAGGCAACAACAGGACAAAAGCAAAAGTACAGAAAAATGTGAAATAAAATAGTAAAAAGGAAAAACCATTCATTGGTTCCTCTTTCTTTCCGGGTCGATCGAAGAAAAGTTCAAAAAAAGGAAATTGCGGGGGTGACGATGATGATTGTGAAATCGGTGTCGGTCCCACGGCGCGGGGGTGGTCGGTTTTACGTGGGGCCCAGGAACGTCGCCGTCCCCGAGATGGCAGAAGCGGGCCCCCGGGCCGGGGGGGGGGAACCAAAAAAATATCTGCCCTGCGGGTCCCACACCGTCCGATCGATGACGTTGCCCTAGCGGGCGCTGACGTCATCCGGCCCCGGCCCCTTCATCCCAACCGGGCCGGTTCGGTGGGTGATTCCGCTCGGGGAGATTCGTGAACCGGGCGTTCCGTCGCGCAGAGCCCAGGCCCGGTTCTCGATAGCGAAAGTTTGGACTACGGGAAATTTTTTGTTAAAGCTGCTGCTCCAGCTGAAAAGAGAACGAGATTAAAAATGACGAGGATCGCTCCAATCTTCTCTGATAAGGCAATCCGAAGCGTAAGTGCTGAGAGGATCATGTACTCGATGGCCGGCCATCGGCTTCAGCCGGTACCAGGAAAGTCCCGAGAGGGGCGGAAGGGGCCGTTATCAGGTAATGGCAGCATCATATATGAGGAAATATGCGAAACAAGAATATCAGTTAACCCCATCACCAGATCAAAATGACTGTCAACACGACCTCTCGATCAGTAACACAGATTGGGCAAACACGAACCGATGCCGAAAGCCCATTTCAACAGATCATGGAGACCTTTGGGCAAATGCACCGTGAGACACGATCTCGACAGCATCTCGAGAAGAATCGCCTTTTGGAACTGCAATCATCACATAAGCAAGCATGTCATGGCATCTATCGATGCAGACAACAGAAATGAATGCATCAGACTAAGATGCGGCGCCAGCCCACGCATGATGCGCGGGTTTTCACAGACTGGTGAATGCCCGACATTTAAACACACTGTAGTTGAAAAGTTGAAATCTTCTTCAATTTGATCCAAAAAATTCAGAAGTCAAAATCATTCTGTTAAGTGACAACATTTGGGTTCGACTCAGGGTAATCAAGTAACCAAATTCCTGTCTAAGTTTATCTCCTGTTGAAGTAGGTGATAAGCTACAGGCCTACAAATCATTTGCTCTTCTTTGGCTCTTGGTTGTACTCGGTTATTAGAGCTTCAACGTCTTTCCAGAAGAGACCCTCCACCAGAAACCCGTCCTTGGTGAACCTGAAGCATTAAGAAAACTAGGAAAATCAGCCATGGAATACATCTGATGCAGGAACACCATGAAAGCAAAAGCAATGTTTAGTGCGGTTATGCAAGGGATTGTTAGTGTACGCGCATGAGCAAGCACTGTCTCCAGGCTCCAATAACCAATGGAAAGTGCGTGAGAGGGGCTTTGTGCATTAAGGTGTGTGTGAACATGCATGTCTCTGAGAGAGAGAGAGAGAGAGACCACTGAGTGACGCTCTTAGTTAATTCCACTGGCTTGTTTGCTGAAATTGACTTCGGGTCTGCACTCGCTATGGTAAGTGTGTACAAGTCCGAGAATCTTGGTAGTTTTGAAGACACCACTAGTCCAGTGCTGTTAAAGGAGCCCTACATGGAGTAAAAGAAAACAGTAATTTGCCTCAGATAAATCCCCTCAGCCACCTAGTAATGACTGGATAATCTCAGGATATACAGTTTTCGGTTTCTTCTGGCTAAGTTCACAACTCACAAGGCCTAGCAAAAAAGGAGAACGAAGAATTTCCAGCTGATGCATCAGATATAAGAGGACCTTAAGTTTAAATAAGTCAGAGACACCAAAATTCTGATAATGATGTCTACAACAAACAAAAAGTTCAAATAAGCCAGACGAGCCAAGGCTCCGTGGATTGGAAAATTCATGACATAGTTTGCAGCAAATTCTACTACGTCCATTCAAAGTCTAGCGCCATCTAAAGGCAATGCCCATTTCATACAGTACTCAAACAATTTCAAAACAAATGAATGATTCGCTGACAAACTATCTGGTATCTGATTACCAAAAACGACAGTAAAAGTTGGATTAGCAAATTGAGATACAGAAGAAGATACGACTCTCTAATTTAAAGAAAACCATGGAACACAATAGGCATAGCCAACATGTTTCATCTCTACAACTCACCAAAGAGAAAGTCGCAAGTAAGTATTAATACTGAGAATGGATAGCCAAATGCAAAAAATTTCAAAATGGAATTAAGGAAATAGAAGTCAAATTTAGCATGTCATGGAATATGTGCAGAAAAATAGCCTGCCATAGTAAAAGCAAGAATCTTAAAATATCAATAGGTCAAACCAGACTTGCATTGGCCAAAATATGAAGGTGGGTTTTCCTGACTCTGCATATGTAAAGAAGAGGAGGGATACATACGGTGAAATGATGAAGGTCCATATATCCATCAATAGAGCTCATATATCAAAGCAATATGCCCCTACATCATTCCTTTCAAATGACATTTACCACATTCTGAGTCTTTAATCCCCACATTTTTCATAAAGTAAAAAAGAGAAAAGTCAAATTAGCCAAAACAATCAAACTCTCAACCAATGAAAAGTTTACAGAAAATACAGAAATGTCTTGAATCATATAATATATACTATAGAATCAGACACGGTAAGGAGGGAATAGAAGTTTACACAATTCCAAAACGAATTTTCCAATAACAACAATTTCAAAAGTTTAGAGAAATGTAAAAGTAAATATAGGAAATTTGCCACTATTTAACTTCGAACTAAAATTTCTTTATGTTCAGGAAGTATTGCAATAGGAATACAGAATAAAACTCAATAATTTAAAAAGTTATATGACAAGAAGAAGCACATCCCAAAATATACATCTATTTGTTCAAAAGTTGAGTAAAACTAGAATATAAATATTAAGAAGCATGAAAGGGTTCAAACATGAACAAGATTTCATAAACACTTTCTGAGTAGTAGTAACATTGATCGATGACAATCCTCTCACACAGAATTTTAGGTTTGTTATGTCAGTCAATTAAGTTACTCCCTCATGCATAGCATGTGTTTCAATGCTAGCTAATAAAAAAAATTGGACCTAAATATTCTTCATTGGAAAATTGAAAAGATCTTTCTGTAAAGAAAGAAGGAAAGATACATTAGGAACAAAAAACAAATGATTTGAACCTGAAAAGCTTCATAGCCCTCCTTTCAAATCCTCAAACCATTCGACCAAAAACAAAATCCTCAAACCAAAAAAGTTCCAATTCTCATCCATCATCACCAACAAACTTCTTCAAGGATCTAGAGAGTTAACAGTAACAAGACAACCCTAATTGTGTATCCACACTCACAAGAAAGAAGGAGTACTAAATTGGCTGCCGAGAGTAAAAATATCTTCATATTTCTTTGGAATTAGATTTTTCAAAATCTTAAGGTCAGATAATGCATCCGACATTGAGGACACAACCCAAAATATGTAAAGGCTTTGCATTTGCCAATAGCTAACATAGATGAAAATAGACAAGTATATGCAAGAACCACAATATAAAACTTATAACTTAAAACATGGTCAAGTAATGGGATCGCAGCACAGTAGGGTGAAACAAAAATTAAAATAAAGCAGAATATCTGCAACACCAGTGTATAAGAAGCCATCCATCCTATGAAACAAATAAACTCACCACAGGTGCATAGGTGAACATAATGGCATTCTTCTCCTTGGTGTATATGAGCAGCTGCAGTATGCCATTGAAAACTATATACTTGCCACAATTAAGGATCGCGATCTCACGAAAGAAATAAAATGCAACGATTTCCACGCGAAAAATCTTTTCTCATTCCTGACTTTGAAGAGTATCTTTTCGTATCCCGCAACGCAACCCCCCCACTCGGGCATTTCAGTCTATAAGCCCTTGTCCAATTCAGAAAAAAGAAAAACAGCACAGTCTCACCTTTCCCGCAAAAACGAAGGCAGAGAATTGAGGAAAATCAGCATGATGGTCTTGCCACCCTTCCCAATTATCTACTGAACAAGCGCGAATTAAAAGATCGTACGTTCAAAAATCCGATCTTGGGTGCAGTACCAAAAAAATCCCCCAACAAAAACACTCAATTGTAATCAAATCTGCAATATTCAGTCGACTTTCTCGGGAATCAAACAGACGGAGGACACCAAACGAGGGAGAAAGAACAGCGGCGAGAATAGGAAAGGAAAAAAGAAAGGATATAATCCGATGCAGCCGATCAAGAAGTCCCGGTTCTCGGGGAACTTCTTCTTGTAGAACTGAGCGAAGAGCGCGATGACGATGATGACCGCCCCCATCAACAGCCTCACGTTGCTCATCCGCACGTCCTCCACGTACCCGCGGCCCTTGACGATCTTGAAAAAAAAAAAATCAACACAACAACGACAGCAACAGCAGCAGCAACAAATCATCACCGATTGCGCCGGAAAATCGAGCGACCGAAGACGCCGGATCTGGGGGAAAGCGAAAGTTGGGTATGTGTGGGTCTCGAGATCGTACCTCGGAGGCGGACTCGTCGAGAATGTGCTTGATGGAGTGCTGATCCAGGAGATTCGCCTTCTTCGCGTTCTTGCTCGCGGTTTCGGCTTTGGTTTCCGGCATCTTCGAGCCCGGCGTTCTGCTTTGTTGTCCGAACGGAGAGAGAGGAAGGGGAGGGGTTTTTGGTTACTCGGTACTCGCGACCGCTTCTTCTGTAGTCAGCGGGGGTTTCTACAGTCGGATGAAGAGATATATAACGCATGCGAAATGCGCACCGAACCATTTTGTTTTCTTCTTTTGGGCTTTTTATAAAATTATTAGAATTAATACCACGAAAAACTCCGTATATCTATGATAATTTTATCCCGAACTAATTTTTTGATAATCAAAAATCCCAAATTGATACACCTGTGATAAATTTACCCCGAACTATTTTTTTGACCACCTAAAACCCCATACTGATACACATGTGATAATTTTACCCCGAACTAATTTTTTTACCACAAAAAATCATAAACTGGTATATTTGTGACAAATTTACCCTCCGTTAGTGTCCGTTAAATTGGATTAATATCACGAAAAATCACAAATTGATAAACTTGTGATAAACAAAAGGGTGAAATCCCAAACTGGTACACCCGTCAACTATCACATGTCATCAAACTTAGTAATTAGACGGTAAAATTTAACAGAAACTAACGGAGGATAAAATTGTCACAGGTATGTCAGTTTGGGGTTTTCGTGGTATTAATCCAAATTATTATTCGCGAAAAATGAATCAATTGAAATTATATATGGACCTAAGAAAATAGGTGAGTTGCCCAGCAGCCCGTGAGGGCTCCAACAAGAAGTCCGCTCATTGCGAGGACATAAATCTAACACCTTGCGACACGAGCTAACCATAACCATGTGTTATCTGTGTCCGCATTCCTGAAAAAGTGCCTCTCCTATTGGAGGATTCATGACATGTCAAGTCCTGAAAAGGTTCTTCGCTTTACATCAAATTAAATCACATGCTCCATCGCTTGTGTCATCCCTGAATTCTTTGAGTTTCATTACTCTTCAAATGGGACACTTAACATGTTAGCCACAGAATCGCACATTAGGGCCTGTTTGGTAACCGGCTAAATAATATATGATTCTGTTCTTTTGTTCTCTAGAATAAAGAAAGAACATAAATCCGTATGGTAAATTTTTTGTTCTCGAGAATAGTTTTGGAACAAAATAAAAAAAAAAATTTGATTCTTGCTTTCGGGAATAAGAATAAAAAACAGAAGAGAATTTTTTTCTTCTTCTTCTTTTTTCCTGGCCTGTGGCCGGTGAGGGTGTCGCGGCCCTTGCCGAGGGCCAGACCCTCGTGGCCTGGGCAAGGGCCAAACCCTCGCCGGACCCTCGCCAGATTCGATAAGGGCGGCTCGCGGCCTAGGTGGGGCCACCCTCGTCCAGGCCGCGAGGGTCCAGCCCTCGCATGTGGCCGGCGACCCGGCCATGGGCCAAGGAACGAGAAGAAAAAAAAAGAAAGAACTATTAAAAAAATTCAAAATATTATCAATAAAAAGAAATTTTGGGCAGTTACCATACGTTTTCTAATGCTCAGAAATTATTTTCGAGAATAGAATAAAAAAAATTATTTCTGAGCAGAAATTATTTTCAAGAACGTACTGATTACCAAATGCACCCTTATGGATAAGACTATTGGGATATCGAATCCCATTCATTGCCCTAATATGTTGCTTTTCTTGAACCAGAATTGGAGAACTTACGAGCAACCAGTGAGATTACTCCTTTTCTTATTGGAGTTATTCGTGGAGTGCAATTACCAAGAATATAAATTTCGTTTGTCTTACCAAAAAATGAATATTTAAAAAGTATTTTTCTATAAACGATAACTTGTATCACCGACAAACGAAAATTATTTTAACTGTCTACAAAAATATTGACACATAAATTATTACAATAATAATAACTTTTATCCATTGACTATTTATTTCAAATGATACAAAAAATCATTTTAAAAAAAATATTTTTTAAATTATTTATTTTCCTCGCAACAAACACAGTCAGAATATTCAGATTTTGTTCCCTTCACTTGTCTTCCTTTTTCAAGTTTATCACATGCACTTCAAATTTCTAATTGGCACGTTCCCAATCACGAACGAGGAGGGGTGGAGCGTCCTTCCCAGTAAGAAAAAACATGCAGTCCACCACGGGCTACGTCACCGGGAAGACACCCCCGAACATCAACACGTTCGTACGTGAATGAAAACCGAGAAAAAAAAGAAGAGGAAAAGAAGAGAACGGAAAGTCTGACCAGCCATACTGAGAAAACAAAGGGGAATCGTACATAATTTCCACAATCGGATTGTCCACAGAAGGAATCAATTGTTAGCATCTTGCAAGATACAGATAATAAGACTGCTTTGACACTGGATTATTTTCACATTCCCCCTCCTACTCGTGTGTAATTGATAACTTACCTAAATGAATCGCGGAATGAGCAATGCTGCAACAAAGGGAGAGAGAGAGAGAGAGAGAGAGAGCGAGCGAGCGAGAGAGACACTCGTCATGGAGGTTTTGACCTCAAGGCATCAACAACATCTCCAGCTAGCAGGAACCGAGCACCCCTCACAAGTTCTTCCTTGACCATGAACAACACAGCTGCAGCAAGCACGCTCTGAACAATTTTAGTACTCATTCCTTTGTAAAACCCATAAAGGCCTTCATAGCGTATCATCTTCAAGATGGCATCTGATGTGCCTGTTTTGAAGAAATGAAAAAGTGTGGCATCAGTACACATGGCATGTCACGGAAGGGGAGAAAACAAGAGTGACGGGCATGATAGGATTGAATGATTAAAATCCTTGAGACAAATCATAAAATGCATTACAATATCTGGATCACGCAGATGCACTGACTCGCAATCCCATTAAAGAAAGGAATTTTATAAGAAATATCAGCAAAACACAATAATAACCTTTATAATGATGCCTTCTGTCTCCAGTAGTGGCCTGTTTAGCTTGAAGCCTCGCCTGCAAAGACAAGGGAAATCTATAAGGAAATGAAACAGATAGAGATTTCAAGCTTTTATCCCATCATATTTTGAAGAAATTAACACAGGGTAGTCGAAATTGATTTTGCAGTGTATAAACTTTATCAGCATGCTTATCGCTAAAGAGAAAACAAAAAAAGAAGACAAGCTTTCCTAAGTTTCACTTCTCCTTTGATCTTCAAGCAGCCTTCCTTTCATAATTATTAAATTTCTGTCTGTTAGTCATATTTTCCTGTACCCAAAATCAAAATCTTCCTCCAGTGTATAAAAGCCAGCCAGTCATTTTCAATATGGCTATTCTTTTTCAGCCTTGATCTACATTCCACGTATCTTAAAGACAGCATGGAAACATCAATACTTACTCGTGGTTAAAAAGAAAAGCAGACACATAAATACTTAAATTGCTTAGCCAATGAAAAAGTAGCAAACTCAAATCATGTCTGGAAACATAAAATGTTTCATGAGCTAACAATAAACTGCTTGAAACTTCAGATGCACATTCATTCAGTCCTTTTATAAGCCGACGTAACTAACCTTGACAACTAGAAGAGGATATGTCACAACAGTGGCACCAAGTTTAGCCAAGGCTCCCAGGAGGAAGATCTGGCAAGATGAAATTTTTATTCATTAGGGCTGAGAGAGTGCTTGAAGAAATAAGGTAATACAAAGAAACACAGCTCTTTTATGAGTCACTGTGTTGCTAGAAAGTTGAGATCAAAGTCACCTCCAGAGCAGTTGGAGCACTCTTGCCCTTCAACGCACGTCTCTTGTTTAACTTCTTTAACATAGTTTCGTACAGCATGAACTGAATGGAAGGATTACTTACCTGTATATATCAGAGGGAAAAAATCAATATTACCACCTTTACAAATACAAAAGCCATCTCTCACATACCATTATCAATGTAGGGAATACACCTTTCCAGAAACCCCAAAATCCAGCTTCACCGTACACTTCTTGAATCTGTTCAATGTTAACAAGCAGAAGAAGACGAGTAAGCAGAAGAGAAACTATAGCATAAATCTCCCATCATCAGATAAGGACAGATTCAAATACAGACAGGGTGACATCACCAATTCAATTTCTAGATAAATGAATTCACAAATTTGACAGTAATTCTCTTGGTTGTAAAGTTTCATATGAAATATATGATCATCTTTTGGCAAGATACAACCCAATGGAGGAGAGAGTCCAACATGAGAATGCTGCTGTGCATTAGGTTGCTCTATACACAGTCAAATTATTGAATATATAAACATTTTATACGCATGCAAGGGCACAAGCACACACTACAAAGACCACATTTTCACAGGAAGAGATATTTAGCTGCTTCAAGAGTAGACATTCCATTTTATCCGACCAAATCACTGCATGCCAAGTGTTGAAACAAGGAAATTCATAACCCTTGGTGCATGGTGATTGGCTTGGTAGATAGGATCATCGTGCTCCTGCAAGCTAAAATTTTCTCACACACAGTCCTGTTCCAACTAACACCAATAGCCGTATTCTAGGATTTGATGACAGCAAATTGCCATTTTCCCACAAGGCAACTGTAGAACTTTAACCCCAGTGATGATTTTGGCATTTAATACATGCTCTAAAGATAGAGAAAGCATATGAGCTACTACAGTTTTTTTTTTGGTAAGGTAACATATGAGCTACTATAGTTCGTACACAGAGAAGTTGAAAGGGGAGAGACAGAGAGTGGTACTCATTTTAAGTGACAGATTCTTCTTAGGCCAAAAAGGAGAAGAACCTACCACATGGCCAGTTCCATAAGGAGGAGGCTCTACAGCAGCAAGAATCGCATCATCAGGAGCAACCGTATCCAATTCAGACTTCTTTGAGATTTTCGTGTGAGTCTGCAGGTCCACACAAAGTTTTTTGAAAAAAGGACTGCAAAGCAGCACAAGTCTGTACTCACATGCACAATACAAGCTACATTTACTTCTATTAGTTCAAAGTTCTGAACCACATGACATTAGAAGATAGTACCTCAGACAATCCCTATCCCTGAAAAAAAAGAAAAAAAAAGAGCACTCTCTTGTTGGAATATCCAGCAGCACAATGTAACGGTCCCCAGAATCATTACAAAAATGAGACAAACCAAATGGCTTCATCGCCAAGCACATTTCCCATCAAATGGAAAAAGGATTTTCCAATTAAAAGGCATGTAAGACACGATTTCACAGGAAATTGAGATGAAAAGGATGGTAACTTGGATAGGCATTATGTTATGAAAATTGAAAACTTGACCCAAACATTTTGTGTTTGAGCACGATAGGCATTATGTTATGAAAACTTGATCCAAACATATTGCGTTTGAGCACGAAGGAGCCTTGAGCCAATCTGGACAAACCACTCACCTGCATTCGGGTTACAACTACCCATATGGGGTTTGTTAGCAGGACATTTATGCACCTGCAAAGAGGAGCCGACCAGTTAATTATAAATAATAGCAGCCAAAGTATCAAACAAGCACCCACTACCATACATGTATTCTCGCAACTGGATCATGATTTCCAGAAAAGAAAACAGGGAAAGTTAAAATGACGATGTGGTAAATATACGGCATTCACCCTGAATGTGCTTTGTAGAGGTAATAGATAATACTTGGTAAATTACCCAGATAAAGCTGCCACCATGAGTGATGAGAACATTCCAACTGTTCCATCACCCATCCCTTTCTTCCTTCGTTCAAGTGCAGCAACTTCTGCTTTCTTCCTGAATATTTGATAGAAATAATAGTAAACACCCTGTAGCATGAAAGTTGCAGGTACATAAGAGATCAAAAAACTTTACAAAAGAAAAGAGTTTCACATGCAATAGATTTTCTAAAAGGCCTGTGTAAGATTTTCCCCAAATTAATAAGTCTCCGAGTACAGTTTTGGAAGGGGGGGTGGGGGGGGCTGGGGGGGAGAGAAATCAACTAGTTAAGCTTTTGTTTTAATAAAACAGTAGCAAATATAACAGTTAAGCTCGTCGATGATTTGAAAAAATGATAGTCATGAGTATTGATGTATTTACTGTCCTACAAACTATGAGGGCATATCTCATTATATGACTGTATTTAACTGTCATAAACTTCCGAAAAATGATGGCAGCAAAGAGGGAGAACCTATAAGTTTGCAACTGAAGTTGCTGTATGCAAATACTTAGCAACACAGCTGGTATTTCTTCGATCACATTCTTCGCAGGAGTTGTCTTAAACTTAAAAGAGACGAACTCTAGAAGCCCAGCTACTGCCTATATGCTACCATATTCTTTCCTTGTTTGTTTTTTTAAAATAAAAAAAGAACCCAGTTAACTCAGCTCGAGGCGTCTTGCTAATCTAATCCAACAAGATGAGCAGGCAGCAGATGTTTGAGACATCCACATCTATCCTATTTTACAGTAAAACAAAATATAACTTGGTGGATTTTCTTCATCTTCTTGTTTAATTTTTGCTTTTTCGATTTCCCACTTAAACAGGGTTGATCCTATCTCATACAGAGGAACCTGAAAGCTTGAGGAATTGCCTGTGACAGGCCTACCCAGTTTGCAAAGTACTGATCCAATGAACTTGACCTTGGCACAAACACAGAGGCTTATTGCTTAAACAGGGAAGACTGTCCTTGATTATTAAGACCAATGACACTTACCACCAGATCTCTATGAAGTAAGCGAAGAGTCTACAGAAAATGAATGAAGCAATGGCGCAAACTTCACTTTCATGAGACCACATAGCAAGAGCATTTCAGCAGGCCCAGCACACTTTAGATAGATGCGCCAGCGAATAGCAGCAATGAAAGTCGTGCTACAAACATCTAGGCATAATGCCAAATATTCAGCATTTTCATCACGAGACATCAAAAGCACATTCAAATTTTTACTGCACTAATTCCACTCGGGTTAAGTCTAAGATCCCACATTCTCCCCTTTTCTTCAGTGCACGTGAAACAACAGAAAACCCGTCAGAAATCATACCCACCCATCCTAATTCTCCTGTCAAAACAATGCGCAAAACTCCAGGTCCCTCACGAAGATGTAAAGATACGAGGAGAAGGGAAAGTCGAACAAAGGCGCGAGCGGCTCGTGTTCGACGCCACGGAACAATACCGCGGTAGCTCACCTGAGATGCAGCGGTGCCCACGAGCGACGGCGCTAAGCCTCCATACAACCGTTCCCATCCCTCTTGCTTGATCACCTAAACGGCAAGCGAGCGCAACAAAATCAGCTCAAATGGCACATGGACACGCAACGGAGACCAAAGACCTCCGCTCACGAATCGTTCCGACCAAACGGTTAAAAAACTCCGGTTGACTTCAACTACCGAGCGCGCGTTGACCCGGATCAACACCCCCAAATTCATAGTTTCCCCCACCAGGGAAACGAGCGGGAGACGAAAGCAGGCAAGGCAAGGCAAAGCAAAGCAAAGCGAAGCGCGCACCTGATACATTTGCTCGACGGTCCCGAGCTTCCGCCTCTCCTTCTTCAGATCGCGCTCCGTCTGCTGACGCGTGTTCACCTGGAGACGATCCGGAAACGAGATTTTATTTTTTTTCCTTTTTTAGCAGGAGCACGCGAGGCTCGGAAACGATCGGAGAAAAAACGAAATCGACAGGGGGGGATCGCATGTGATTTTACGGTCTGGAGAGGGTAGGTGATGAGCTGCGCGATAATGCCCCCGCCGGCTCCCGCGAGGCCGTTGATCAGAGCGTCCGACATGGCGGCGGCGGCTGCGGCTGCGGCGGCGGCGGCGGCTGCGGCTGCGGCTGCTCCTCCTCCTCCTCCTTTTTCCCGGGAAAATGATCGGTGGGGGGGGCCTCTCCTTTTTTTTTCTCGGGAAAATGAAGGCAAACGTGTTTTCCGTCTAGAGAGAGAGAGAGAGAGAGAGAGAGAAAAGCGGACTAAGACTATCTGTCAGTTTGGACGTAGCGGAACAAAACGACGCGTCATGTTGTTGGCGCGATGGCGATGGGTATCAGAAGGGGCCACGCCATCCCCGCCCTTGTCCTTTTTCGGGGTTCCGGTGTTTGTTCCGTTCAAGGAAGCGGGATGGGCTCCTCCCAGAAATGACGGATCTGCCCCCCGGATTTGGAATATCCCCCTTTTCTTCTCCTTTTTTTTCTTTTGGGGGGCGTGGGGGGTTTCGAGGAAAAATGAGGAATTTTTGGTGGGAATTAAAGAATTCTTTTAATTAGCGGTGGTTGGTCAAAGGTCAAACCTCCGTTGCTGTTGCTGTCGTTGTTGTCGTCTTCTCAAAGATGGAAACGATGCTTCTTTGGCAACGGGATCTCCTCCATATGACCGTAGTGTAATGAACCATATGAAGGCCTTTTGTCTTTGCCGCCACTCGGAGGCAGTGACTCCTTAGAAACACTTTGTGCGCTCTTGATTGATGCGCGTGAGCTCGATTCATATGGCGCCGTTGGATTGGATGAGTTTCGCGTAAGATTTACTTCGTATCCGATTGAGCTTCTAATTATCTGGAGCATTCGAGAATTCTTTCTAACGTGGAGGGTGTAATATCGTCCTTAGACTTTTAATTCATTCAATGTGATCCTTGAAATATTCCTAAATGTATGATCGAGTCTGTAAACTTCCAATTCCTTCAATCTGGTCCTTCGACTTTACATGGAAAAAAAACCGAGAGTTTTTGTAATTACACTAAACTCCGGATTTTAATTATCTTTTAATCTCAATCCATTTCATAAATCCACAAAAAAAAATATGGCCATCTTTTTTATTACTTTTTTGACCTTTTAGATTAAGTACAATTTAGCTTATGATCTCTATAATATTAAAACAAAATATGATTAGAGTTGTGTCTAGTTGATATTCTTGCTACAACAGTAATCTTTACAAGGACTAAAAAGATAACATTATATTCTTGATTTAGAGAACAAAAGCTACAAAAGCATTTTAGCCTCTTCATATAATGTGCAGATAATCACCGAAGGTTCTCAGCTCATTACGTATTGACAAAAGGCCTAATTCCAAAAAAATGCACAAATTTTAGGTCAAGTGACAATTTTGGCCCGAACTTTTTTTTGTCCCATAAAAAAACACAAACTTTAGATCGAGTGACAATTATAACTCCGACTTTTTTTTGTCTCGTAAAAAAGCACAAACTTTAACTTAAATCTCAAATCTAGCCCCCATTGAGTTGGAACCATTGATTATCCAACTTGACTATTCTACCTCTGTAATAAATCCACGTGACTTTCAGACTATATTTAAAGCACTATTCATTATCTTATTTTTCTGAGCCATGGTTTGAAAAATAATAGTGAAACTGTTCTTCTCCTTTACTTAACCGGCAAATAAAAAATATCTCCAAATTGAATCTCTCATGCCAGATTTCGTCGTTTTGTCGTAATATGAAGCTGTAAACCACCGCCCATCAACAGACGTCATGGACGAGATCCGCCAAGGTTACCACCATAACCTTTTTTCTTAAACAAGAGTGACTTCAGACAAAAAGTCAACGAGGGGCCAAATTTGGGATAAGAGTAAAAGTTAATGGTTTTTTATAAGATAAAAAAAGTTAAGGGCAAAATTGTCACTTGACCTAATGTTGGTGATGTTTTATGAGACAAAACAAAGTTCGGGTTATAATTGTCACTTAACCTAAAATTTATGCTTTTTTTTTTTTGTTAACCCATTGGCAAAATGGTTAGTGGACATCATCATGACCCGAGTAAATCTGGACATATCTAAAGCGGGAAATTTTAAGGTGGGAGTGTAACTGGGTCGCGTTCGATTTGATTTTAACACTGAGATGTCTCAGGCAAAAACCGCTTAACAAGGTTTAACTTGCACCTCCATCAATGATCTCATTACATTCAATTAAACGTCTCCGGAAAACGCGAGCAACAGAAGAAGATGATCAAGGACACTTGACGGTCACCTGGGTTGTTTTGAACTTTGGCACTTGCAGAGTTGTTATCGTTAGTCCACTAAAATGTCACAGGGCATCGCAAAATAATCAAATGACAATTTTTTCAGGACAGTATCTAATTACTTCGTCTCCCGTTCATCCGGTTCTTATCCATCTCAAGAATAGGAGAACAAAACACGCACGGCGCACAGTTCATCGTCCAGAGAAAACTCGCAGTGTTTCTGAGGTTAATTCATCCCTCCATCTAGCTTCCAGATGCAGCAGGTACCGCGACAGGTTTTGAGTCTTCTGCCTTCTCGTGTTCTTTGTTGAGAATCTAAGAACAGGAATAATTAAATATCATCAAAGTGTCCTAGACTGAGGGTATAAATAAACATGATTATCCCATGTAACAAGCAAACTCAAATGCAACTTGTAGAGGAGCTTAGTCAGGTCCACAAATAAGGCACACACAGAATTAAATTAACTGATGTTTAGTAGGACTGCAAAACTGGCCAAGAAAAGTAGGAGAATAAAAGCAACCTCTCAGTACTTGATAATAAGGCAACTGGTCAGGAACTCATCTATATTAAAAGGAAGGGTTAACGTGGGCTTTTCAGCTAAAAGCCTATAACTAATGTTGGTAGGAGAAGACTGGTAGCATCATTACTAGAAGACTGCATAGTCATCCAAACACCGGAAGGAGAATAAGTGCAAATTGGCCATATGACATAAGGAAAAATGGTAGTTCAAAAATATAATTCTCCAAATGAAGGTAGCTGGCATACCTTATTGTTGATCAAATTATGGAGTGCAATCACACTTCGGATGAGGGAAGAGAGATATATAACTAGCATCATATCATTCGTTTTAACTGCAAAAAGAAAATTACCTAGTAAGGATAAAGTGGAAGAGAATAAGCTTAGTAGGAAAAATTAAAAACCCAAGATTTACTTCCATTACCTGCAAAAGCCTTGATTAACTCATTGACATTCAGATTCGGAAGGAGGTTAAAGACATCCTAGAGGATCCACAGAAAAAAAAGGTGTGAGGGCCAAAAATTATGACATTTGACATTCTATAATCAGTTTGCAATCTATAATTTCTAATAAAACCTTTTTAAAGGCCAAGAGAGGACAATCCGACAAAAGCAAAATGGATTGACCAACAACATAACTGTAAGCAGTCAACTAGTTAAATAATCCCAATTAAATGACAAGTTGCCTATCAATTCTGATAATGAATAAGCACAGAACTGAGAATTTTCCGAGGCAGGCCAATAGCCCATCAACCCAACTGCCAATAAAAACAATACTGCTCTCTTTTATTTCCATCTGAAACTATAAGCTTTAAATGAACAAGAAGGACATGGATGCAAAATGAGAACATGCTAGAAAGCTTGCAGCTCTTAATATAGAAATTTTTGTGGGTCGGCAATATTAACTGCCGATACAGCAGAAGCAGAAACGCAGAATCTATTTCACCTCCACTGGAACAAATTCATTTCCCACAAATGGAGTTATTCTTAAGCTATCATCTGTATTAGTTCTTTATTCATCTATTTACATATATGTCAGCATGCATCTTGCAGAAGAGAAATATCCACACACTCTTCATAGATGAGATGACAATAATGAACCTGCAGATGATACAGGATCTCATGATTTAATGGAAGCTTTCCATCGACGACGAGGTCAAGATAGCTTCTTATCTCCTTAAGTCGAGCATCCAATCCCTTCAAGGCTGTGAGCTTTCCAGTGACCTGTACAGGATAAAGAACTCTCTAGTTAAGGAGAACCAGCAACCAAATTGAATCCCTGTACCTTCATTCTACAATTGAAACCCGTCTACATATTATCCAAAAAGTGTTGGGAACTGTATCAAAATAAGAAGAAAAAGACCAAAAAAAAAAGTGTCAGGACATGTTACCTCTGTGGCAAGGGTGCTAATGGTTGTATCCTTTACATCACGTAGCAAGTGCTCCACACCTGTGAATCAGTGAGTCATTGATGCAGTTCACGGTACAGTATGTGACTAGAGCGACGTCTAGGACAAGGATTAACGATGATAATACTAATTCAAGACAGGAACCTTCCCATCTCAAAAACATACCTATTTCCTCAACCTCATGGGCAGCAATTTCTGAAGGAACGTGCACAAACACCTTCTGGCTTTTCTGAGTTGCATTCTGAAAAAAAAAAAAAAAAAAAGAGGCCAAAAAAAGAGCTTAACCCTATAAAATTAAAAGGAAACGGGTCTTGTTATGCCATTAGGAAAGCACACTGAACATAACTTATGACAACAAAAGGCAGCTACAGTGGGAAACTATTTACTCTTACCTCTTTGACTTCTTCAACAGCATAGTATGCCTTTGTTGGTATTCCAAGTTCCTTAGGTTGAACATCAATTATAACCAGCACAGGATTCGGGACATAGCTGAACACAAGATGTAAAACTTGATTAGTAGCAGATGTAGTTGGAGTGATCAACCTCGTGAAATAGAACTACAAACAGATTAGTTTGACTCGATATAAAAGATGCTAGAAGTAACAAGAAAAAGGAGTTTTTGATAAACTTCATCCAAAGAGTACCAGTTACACTCATTCCATTGTTCTATCAAATGCAAACTTTTACCCATGTTCTACCCAAAAGGTAAGTGATCTTCCCTCGTGAAATTTTACAATAAGATTGGGTAGGCCTCTCCCACTACATAACCCAACTGAAACCACTAGGACGGTACAGAATTCAACAACGATGTGCCTCATAATGATAAGAAAAGAAGATAAATGCGATAGAACGTGTGTAACTATCTTCCTTATGACGAACCATCCACCTAAATCGTATATAAAATATAAAACTAGACAACTAAGTCCCTACTGCAGTGATTCAATCTCATGCACAAAACAAGCAGAAAGTCTTACTCATCAAACAATGCGTGGACATTAAGGTCATTTTCTCGCAACTTGGGACCGGTGCTATACCATCCAACAACATGCTCCTTCGCTGAAAAATAATACACAGAACAGGTTACTAGACGATTATCACTTCAAATAGTTGCTGACAGAAAAAAGGGTGACTGCCATATAAGTACCATTTATTCTCTTGAACATGGAAAACATGGCTTCATGGTAGTTGTGATCAAGAAACCAGATGCTTGGATCCTTGTCATCTTCCTCGAAAGGTACTGAAGAACAGAGAAAAAGATAAAACTTATAAACAGTGATCTTCATATGAATCGCATGTCGAGCAGACGGAAGATAAGGTTGTAATATCCACATCACCACCAAACTAAGACAAATGCTAGCTAATAGATTCAAGCGAGCAACAGCGGAATCAATTTTAGAGGAGCACCAGACAATACCATTTCTGCGACGGGTCCCCTCATTAAACAGTAGAAATTCCATCACTCAACACCTGACATCTTTTCTTTTAGTCTTATCGTCACTTTCAGGAACCACCACTGGATAGTTAAAGATACCAGATGGTCCACTTGATGCTCTACATCAAACTCGGCAAACTAATTTATCCTACGAAAACGAAGGTAAACATGTTTGAAGCTTGTTCCAACACAAAGCAACTATCTTCGCAAGCAAAATGCCGGCAACTAACAAAATCGAAGGCTTTAACTGAACTTTTGGACTCTAAAACCAAACTAATCGCTTTACCTTAGCAATTCAACTTAGTGATCAAAACTTAAAGCCAAGTCCCAGAATATCGAGCTACACGCAGAGCAGCAAATTCTCGGAATTTGCTCAATCAAAATTCTACACCTCATTCTTCAAACAGAACCCATTACACTCCCGCCAATTCCCAAGACCCAAATCACGCCATATCAATCACAATCGCGAGGAAACTAACTCTCGCTAAGAATTCCCAAAGCACCCAGATCTAAATCCCGACGGGGCGAAAGCAAGAAGTCTACAACCGAAATCAGGGAAAGCCGGGAAGGAACATTAGCACGAGACCTGCGTAGCTGTTGGTGACGTCGACGGTGCCTTTGAAGGCGGTGCCGAGCAGCACCCCGACGACGCGCCTGCGGGTGTCCTTGGCGACCCGGTTGTAGTTGTCGACGATGCTGAGAAGGACCAGAGGGTGGACTATCACCTTCTCTACCGGCCTCGCCGATATCTGCTGCGTCTTTATCACGTCCATCGCTCGCCCCCGGAGCGCGATCGCCGGAGCCGGAGTTCCTCGAGATGGTTCCCGGCGCGCTTGCTTCTTCCTCGTGCAGGTGCGTCGGTGCAGGGCGTTTGCTTGCGAAGGAGAAAAGGTACGAGGAGGAAGAAGAGAAGCAAACGAAGGCAAAGTTTTAAACAAGGCTCGGCTCGCTTGAGCTCTGCGATTTGAGTGTAATCGGTCTTGGGCTTATTACGTGGGCCTTGTAGGCCCATTAAAATTGCCGGAAATAGATCTCGCCGTTTGGGCTTTGAACTTGGGCCAGATTGGACTTTGGTTTTTCTTTTCATCGATGTGTGTTTTCTTGAAGCTCATAAAAAGGACAAAGAAAGTTTCATTATCGACGACAAAATATGTTTAAACATTTCCGTGCAAGATGAAAAGATTTTTCCTTCATTCATTTATGTAAATCATTCTTAAGAAATTTTTTTCTAAATCATTCATTTTCCGCGAAACAAATGTATAGAATTTTGTGGAACAATTATTTTAAAATTTTAAAATATTTGATGAAAACGTGGTTTAATGTTTAAATATAAATATTATGATATTCACACCCCCCCTTCTCAATCCACATATTTAGATTGGATTGGTAAATAAAAGTAAAGATTTGAACATGAGACCTCGTCCTTCGATATTATGTGAGATTTTATGAAATATTCTAAAAACTTAAACTGATCAATAAAGGCATACTTCGATAGTCAAATATTCTAATATTATCCGCGATGGACGAGTTTTGGATTTATACAGATTTATCCCCATTGAATTATTTTGATTTGTATGGACCATATTCAAAATGCAACCCGCTGTTTTGAGCAATTTTTCTTTTAAAATGATCCAAATTACATTCCGTGAATTTTTGTTGAGGAAAAAAATTTACATTATAACTTTAGCAGATTTTCTCGTTTGCTCTGTTTTTTTTCTTGAGCGTATACCGTATAGGAATACGTCGCTCTTATATGATAAGATCACGTGGGAGTCAAACCTGAGATGCTACACTTTTTTGAGGCGCAAAATCCAACTATTTATCAAAAACTCTCACTCATAAAAGTATCATATAAAAACTTCAGAGAAATTACCAAAAAAATCATAAATTTTTTATACTTATGTCAATTCAGTCATAATCCATTCAATTTGATCAATTTAATTCTAAACTTTTTGACTATTTATCAATTCAATCCTCAAAAAACCTTTTGACAATTTGCCAATTCAATCATTCCTGCATATTTTGGCCGAAAATCGCTGACATGTCAGTCTAGTCAGCATTGACCATCCTATGTGGCACGGCCGATACTGACGTTGATAATTTTTTTTTGCAAAATTTTAAGATTTTTCTATATTTTTAAAATATTTTTCCCTTTTTTTTTTTCCAACGTTGGGTAGGCGAGATCACCAGCCGACGCTCGCTGGCCATGGGCAAGGGCCTCCACGGCCGGCAAGGATCGCAACCCTCACCTAGCCCTCACTAGCTGCGACCATCGCCCAAATTTGGCGAGGGTCGGGGAGGGTGGCCTTCACCTAGGGGAGGCCAGCTTTCGCCTAGGGTCGATGAGGGTCACGATGCCTTTTCCCAGACCAGGCGAGGGTCCGCCGGGCTAACTCAACTTTGGAAAAAAAAAAAAATAATAATAATAATAATTAAAAATTTCAGAAAAAATTATAAAAATTATCGATGTCAATGTAGGCAATACCACGTAGGACAATCGGAACTGACTAGATTGTCATGTCAGCGATTTCCGATCAAAATTGATCAAAAAAACTAAATTGAAAAATCGTCAAAAAGTTTAGAACTAAATTAACAAATTGTTATAATGTTTAGAACTAAATTGGTAAATTATCAAAAGGTTTAGGGCTAAATTGGTTAAATTGAAAGGTTTAAAATTGAATTGGTACAAGTGCAATGGATTAATGACCTTTTTTGATAATTTTTCCCAAAAAACCTCTGATTTTCTCTTTTTATTTAGTGGAATTTTATTTTTTTTTGGTCAAGATTTTTCTTTAGTTGATTAAACACTTGCCTTCACGAGGGATTGGCGCGGTTATGGGGTGCAATCATGGTGGAGACAGCTGTACAATTATTCAAAATCGACCGCACATTCTCAAACTATCTATACGGAAAGTTGGATTATAGATATGAATTTATGACGTGCTGCACCCGTTTTCCACATAAAGTTCCATTGGACAGTGCGTGCAGCGACTTTTTCGTCCGACATTTCGGATTCCTTACACACATACCTCGTACTCAACATTGACCCGATCTGTCTTCGCCTTCACAACCTCGCAAGGCATCAAACTTGCGATTCTTAATCTATAAGTGAATTGGTACGATGAGAATGAGATCTTCAGTATCGGCGTGAAACCTTCCTCACTTCCGTCGCATGCTTGATCACCGGTCACACGAAGAATACCACGTGAAACCCCGCTTCGATGCTATTACACGACACAGCACGGTGTCGTCGTGGTCGGTCTAATTAGTTCCGCTTCATATTATTTTCCATAGCCCGTGCTTCTCTCCTCTGGTTCTGTCAAGTAAAGTTCGATTCCGAGGTCTAAAATCAACAGAGAAAAAATTGTATATTACGGTCAGAACACACTGCCAAAGAAGGCTGACCACGTTCAAAGCCATGTCGTCTTCTGTTTTGGGCTCAAGGACGTGTCGATGCATGAAATTCAAAACTTGGAAGACTGTCTTTTTATAATGGTAAAAGTTGTATCTCCGTCGTGCACTCCGAGAAGACACAATTTCTCGATGAGAGGAGGTGAATCCCAATTTCCAAAGCCTCCCGAAGAGCCCAAAAAAAAACACAATAAAGATTACAGTAGTCCAACAGAGTTAAGCACAGAGAGATAAGAACAACGTTAGAAACGAGCATGCAGAGGAGAACGTCGAAAACCATCGTTTATACTCAAACCCCAGAAAGATCATCACCACACAATTGGTCTTTCCTACTAGAGCACTGCGCAACATGCGTTTCCTGGATCCACTTTCTTTTCCTTCTCTTAGTTCATGATAAACCCTAGCTAGGCCTCCCTAAAGATTACAATCTTTGGTTTCTTTTTCCTTTTCTTTGGTATCTAGAGGAAGCTTAATCTGAGATCTAGTGTTGGATGATCCATCGTTGTCCCGAAACCATGCGCGAAGTCTCGGCACTCGGTTGCACGCAACCTGAGCTTCTCCGGTTCTGCCAACTCGTCGAAGGACTTGAGAGGGAAAAGCTGAAGAGTTTCCATCACCCTTTCGGACTCCACCACATGATGCGGAATGAAATCTGAAATATCGAAAAAAAACAAAAACAAGAAGAAGAGATAAGTAAGGGTTGCAAGAGAAGATCCTCAATTTCCATGCACTAGAGCTTCAAATTTACGGTATCTTCACATGATGATAATATAATAACAGCAACAATGACTAAAGTTGATGATTGTGATGATGATGATGATGAATATCGAGCGATAAGTGGTATTTTCGGGGTGTGTTACTTTGTTTGTTGAGTAAGTAAACGATATTTCAGTTAGAACATTTCTTAGGAAGTTCTTGACAATATCACTACAATGGTGCTGAATAGAAACACGAAAGGTGGATAATGCTCGTGATTTTGGATGATGCTTAGAAGGTGGGTAAAAGTGAGTACGTTTGACAGAAGAAATCTTCTCCTCGCTACGGATGGCCTCCTTCATTTGATCGTCGACCGATACTTTTCGACGCTTTTGCCTTTCCCTAGCTTTGTGGTTCTGAAACCAATAAAACACGTTCTTACTCTCGATCTTGCCATAAAAGCTCAGCTGAGTGGAGATCTTCTGAATCTGGTCAGTGCTCGGAGTCCGAAGTCCGGACCTGAACAGGTCGGTCAGAACTTTAACCTGCTCGGCGGTTGGGTTCCACCGCCCGCACTTTGTACCCCCGCTGCCGCCGTTGCCACCGCCATGACCGCCGCGAACTCCGGCGGCTTTGATGTAAAACCCTGACATTCCTTCTTCCATCGTTTTCAGCCTCAAGGGAATGCTCTCTAGTGATGAAGTTTCTTAGACTGCGAGTCTCTGAACTCAAAAAGAGACTTGTGCTACGTGTGCACTATATAAAGCGGCAAACAGGAGCATTAAATTATATGTGTATTTGGTTCTTTGTAACTAAGCTTTTGTCCTTATCGAATTGGGGATTGAAGTACACCAGAATCAAGCCCTTATTTTATGCCAGTGTGCTTTGAATTTAGGGAACGCGAGAGCTTGAACTATATGAGGATTTTGATGGGCTCACCTTTATTTTCCCTGATTTTTTGTGCACTGGGTAGAGAGAGAGAGAGAGAGAGAGCGCTTATCTAAAGAGAGACGCGCAAAAGCTGCCACCATTCAACGTTTCGGTCTGCGAGCAGACAAGATGGAAGTTCTCCAACCCTTGAATAAATTATTCTCATTCCTTATGTGAATCTGCGCATTATTAAATTGCATAATCTGAGTGATGCTAAGATTAGTTCACAAAACTCATCTTCAAAAGAAGCGACGCATCATATAACTAGGGGTATTTAGAGAAACGGGTCATGTTCAAGCATTCAAAAGAAAATCGCCTCAAAACTTTGTAAAGTCGATTTTGTAAACCGAACTCACTCCATCTCTAGAATTTCTCTATAAAACTTATGTCTTGGAACTGATCTGCATATCTATAGATAGGGTTTGTGCTTTTCAGTAAAGTTGAAATGCCGCTATTGTATATGTACTAATTGCCTAGTTTTGCGGTGTGTTTCATGCCTTTTATTGGACTTATCGAGTCAGTCCAAACTGTAGTGACATAAGAGAAAGCCAAAACCTAGTTTTTTTAAACCTGTTACTGTCTGCTAAAGACCAAAAGGTATAGTTTCGCTCGAAAACTTGTTACCTTAGTAATCTAGAACGAGAGATTGATGGGGTGATGAAAGTCAAAGTTCACATTGTCTGATCTTGCGTGGACGGTTGTGATCTCGACTTCTGACAGAGATACTCCCAGTTAAGTTGACCATCAGTACAGTTCAGTCAAATAATGTGGAGCTAAACCCATCTTTTAAGGGTGTGAATACACAGACAAGAGGACAGCAAAGCCACCAAAAATTTGTATCGTGATTTAAGAAACCACTCACGAGGCTCGTGACCAACCAAAAGAGAAGCAGCAATTTGGCCTTTTCCTTGGTTTTTTCTTCATGATCAGCCAACTGCACGCCCCTGGGCCCTCCTTAACTTTTCTAGGTCTTTCAGCTAATCTCTGCATCTTTCTGGTACACGTTCGGTTCTGAATGAGAATAAGAGTTGCTTGTCATTTTGACTTTTGGGTGCCAACATCGCCATTTTTTTTGAAAAGCAAGTAATCTTGTGACCCTCTCCATTTGCATATTAAGATAACAAATGAGGACAGAAACATATGTTTGATTGTCCTATGAAACTGTTTACAAAGCAACGTGACGAACTCTTAATGAATATCGGAATATGAGCCTCCCACTCACATGTGAGCTTATAGTTCGCCCCTACTTGATTTGAATACTCACTAAGTTTAGTGAAACGATTAACATCTCGAATCTTTTTAATCCTTATATTTAAATATGAAGTTTCTTCTCTCGAAGTTCATTCCAAGAATGCAATCCTAATTTAGCAGGACGTGCATATATGATAACATTTCCCTATAATACAGTTCAGTTCTTTTCTTTTTTGTTCCCTAAAGAAGATTTAACATAAAATCATTGAGGAGTTATTGGGACAGCATGGAATTTCTGGTGAAAACTTCTGGGCATATCGGGAATCAACAATTCAGCTCTGTGAGACTTTACTCGTACCCAAAGGGGATAAGAGACTGTGACCAGAAAACGATCGTGGGAAAACTACAAATTAGATGGTGAAGATTTGGGGAGTCCCAAAGGGCTAAACAACGACGCAAGAAAGAAAGAAATGGGTGTGGACTTGACCAGAGTTGAGTTTCTGCACAAGCAAAATTAAACCTAAGCATCTCTTTTAGCTCGTCCTATTCATTGTCTGCATTATCCTTTGAGCAGTTCGTCCCTGTTTTAATTCTTATTCTTCTATCTCCAGTCAAAACGAATTGATTTCGAGGCCAATTAATTCAAATTTCGGCAAAAAGATAAAAAAGAAATGGCCAATTAAGACAACAATGCCCAAGAATGTTTCATATTATAATGTATCAGCAATTCATTGTTGCTAGTGAATTGTTTGTCTGTAGCATTCAAACCATCGCCAGCTCAACTCCTAGGAGAAGTAGCCAAGTTAACCGGGTCTCGCCGTCTCAGCATGCACGTATTATGCAGCTTATTAACGCTAAAACAAAACCCTAATGAACTACGTATTGATCAGGGCTTGTTTATCTGGAGAACGCGATAGATTATATTAGGGTTTTAAATTCAGACTAGACCCAATAATGGGTTGCGCACACATCGTACTTATTGTATGATATTCCTAATATGAACTAATCACACCAGCTAAAAAAAAGGAGTTAATACCATCAAAAATCGTAAATTATGCCCACTATGATATAAATATCGCAACTTCAAACTTTTTTTGTGTCACTAAAAATCCTAAACTTGTCACTATGACACAAATATCCCAAATTTTTTTTTATGTTATAAAAAACCCCAAATTTATACCGGTGTGATAAATATACCATGGATGAAACTGTAATAGTTGAGAGTATTTGTGTCGCAGTTAGTATAGTTTAGGGTTTTTGGTGATATTTGTCCCCAAAAATTGCATAAATTTCATCCTATTTTTCTGTAAATCTTGATAAGATATTAATCTCACGGTATGTTTAAGCCATAGTAGAGTGAATAAAACCGTTGGAGATGTCCTAGAAATGTAGCGTAGCCATGGTGGTTTGAATGCGAAAAGGAAAGAGAAGAGAAAAGTGATGAAATGGAGTCGGAAAAATAGGGCACGCGTGAGCACGTAGGTCACCCCCTAGAACTCGTCTTTTTCCTTCTTGTCCGGACCACGTTTGTCGGTGTCCCTTTAAACGCGAAAAAGGTGTCGAACAACATAGGTTTTTTTTGACAGCCACAAAAGGGGAAGGGGAAGGGGAAGTGGGGGAGGCACTTGATTAATATTAATGAGCAAAGTGACAGACCAAACCTTAATTATCAGTGACATTCGAGACATCTTTATGCCACCAATCATATGATAAGGCTGTCATGCAATCGACCCCACAGCCACCAGAAAAAGAGGAATTTTTTCCATCACTCCATAATCTTAATGGTTAGCTGAAATGAAGCCACTAGTCTATTCGGTTTTTTTAATGGAGAAAAGCCACAAAAAAAACTCCAAACTATACCCATTGTACCCTAAACTTTTTCTTGTGACATCAGAAACTCAAAATTTGTACTTATGTGACATATTTGCCCTCCGTCAAGATTCCGTTACATGATTTTTCAGTCAAAATAATATCTTTTTTATTTTATTTAAGCCATGTGGGTATCATGTCAATGCTATTTGCTTTCTAGAGTCCATATAGGCAGATTTTTAATTGTTCTCATTGATAGAACTTTGATGGAAGGTAAATGTGTTACACACGTACGAGTTTCGGATTTTTTGTTTCGCAAAAAAGTTTATGATAAATGTGTCGCAGTAGGTATGAATTAGGGTTTTTTTTTATAGCTTTTGCCCTTTTTTAATAGATTAGGACTTTTGTCTAGCGCCTAACTCTTTTGGGCCTGTCTATTAAATAGTAATTGATGTCACATCCGATCTTTCATAATTCACAAATCATGTGAAAATTGACAAAAAGAAAACAGTCATGTAAGTTGCACATAATTTCCTATGTTACCGTTTGAAACTGGGTAATTGATTCTTTGGTCGAAGCTGTGGAGTTTGCTCAATCTGTATACATAAATACACTGATCTCCGACGACATATGAAGGAGCCTAAAAGAAGATGGCATTAGAGAGTGATGTGTCCGAGTTCAATTAAGGGTTCTAAAAATAACCAGTCAGAGACACCATGTATCCTTTTATTTTCCCTTTCTTGTTGCATATACTAATTCTCTCTCGCATAGTGCCCACTACGAACTCACCGGACTTTGCTTCTGTTTTTCACTTTTCCACGCAATCGAAAAACAAAAGATCATGCAAATAAGTAAGCCGAGCTTGAAGGATTAACCTAAGAACGATCGGACCATTCTTGAGGCAATGAAAAAGTGTAGGAGTTCGAGTTCGAGATTCGGACCCAAGGTGAAAAATAAAGTTACACAACTAGATCTTTGCTACCAAAAAAAAAAAGGTCCGTAGATACATTCATCAAATCCTGTCCGATTCGATCAACTTTACTGGAACTTGGAGCACTTGCAATCGAACATGTGAATGCGAAGGTATATTCATGTTGGTGCAGGCCAAACAGTGGAGCCTAGGCGACAAAAAGGAAAGTGCAAAAAGAGGGAAGGACGAAGCACGAAGTTTAGAACTGAGATAAAGAAAAATTAAAAAGAGTGGTTTTGAGAAGTCGCTAAAGTGGGGTGGGTTGAGGAAGGAGTTCAAGGGTCAAAAAGTTGATTAATAAGAAATTGGAGTCCCAATATATAAATTGATATGGGCACTCCATTCCATAGACCTTCTATCAATGTCAATTAAAAATCAGACTTGTATCTTCTTCTTCTTTTTGTTTTTTCCTCCTTTTTGGGTGAACACTGATGGTGGGTGTTAGAGAAATCAACTTCAATAAAAGAGGACCGACAAGCGATAGAAGCGACCGGAACTGGGTTTGGCACTTGGCATTAACAACGGAAAAAGTACCATAAAAAGTGTTAAACCCATTGTATTGGTACTAATTCAATTATAATCATTTCAGTTGAACCAATTTAGTTCTAAACATTTTTACATTGGTACCAATTAAGTTCATCAAGACAATTTAGGCAGAAAATTACTGATGTGGACACCGGCTATCCTACGTGATACAGCTGACACTAATGCGGATATTTTTTTTCTTTTTTTCTTTCCTTTTCTTCTAGAGGCCGCGAGGTCGAACTGAGGACGGAGGCCATGGAGCATGAAAACCCTTAGGGGGACAAGATTGTTGTCAAAGGAAGGAGGCCATACCCCTCTTTGTAAGCTAGGGTTTGCAGGGATCGAGAGGAGGAGCTAGTCAGCAAGGAATGGTGTGGATTCGATGAGTCAAGGAACCGTGTTAGGAGACGGGAATACCTCTCGACTTCTAGCGAGCGCTCACTCCTAGCTGTCGGGAGAGGGCCGCCCTCATTGGATCTAGTGAGGGCTTGGCGGCCCTAGCTTCTCATCTCGTCCAAATGGCCCTCGCTCTCGCCCAGTGGCCGGTGATCGCCGGCATCAATGAAAAAAAGAAAGAAAAATATAATAATAAAATTCAAAAAAATATTAACAAATCATAACTTTTATCCACATAGTACGATCGACATCTATGTCATCAAATTCTGGCCTAAATTAGTCATATGAACTCAATTGGTACAAATGTGAAAAGATTTGAGACTAAATTGGTTCAATTTAAAAGTTTATGATTAAATTTACGTTAATACAATAGATTTATGACTTTTTTGATATTTTTCCCCACTAACAATTATTGAATAACGTTGTGACATCGTCCCAACGCCAGTTATAGAAACTGACCATACTTTTTACACAATTGAGGGGTGTCGGAGTAATTTTTGATATTACGGGGAGTGTCAAGTAATTTCCATCAATTTGGAGGAGTGCACGCCAGATCGTTACCGTAACCTCAAAATTATCTGAATCTTTAAATTTAGGATCTGCTTTCCATTTAAAGCTCACTTTTTTCTCAATGCGTGTCTCCTTTATTTAGGGCAAACAATGAATCGTACGTTGTCATGATCGAGCTGATCCTGTAGCTCAATAAGCAAAGCCATAGGATTGGTGTTGCGGCTATAGGAAAGCGACTCGTCGTTTTGCTTTTGCACCCGTGAAACCATGAAAGAAAGACCATGCGCAATTTGATGTATATCCTTGTTTTTTCTTGAAAAAAAGTTATGATGAACAAGCTCAAATAACATCCCCAGAACAAATCCCAAGATATCCCAGGAAAACATCTCCTCGCACAACCAGTTCTTTCTATCAAACATCTCCAGCTCAAACTGAGTTCAAAACAACAGCACCTTATAGTGTTCCGATATCAATCAACTGGATTACCCCGAGACGCAAATGCCAAAAATACTTGTAAGTAACTCGTGTTGAAATATTGCCCCATGTCGTTTGATAACGGATCGTAAATGCTCTTTATATTCACGTGATTTCCTTGCACCTAATAACTTAAGTTTCTAATAACTCGGACGAGAGAGTTTGTGGCACAAGAGTATTTGGTAATGCAAGCGAAAAGAGTCGTTAAAAATATAGCAGAGTACTCGAGCAAAGGTTAAGAAAAGTCTTCCCCCAGCACTCGCCATTGACAACTTTGGATAATCCAAGCAAACTCTGAGTTCCAGTCTCCACCTGATCTTTGAGCTCCAGCTAAACTCAGACTCTCCTAGGCCTTCTTTAGAGAAAGAGCATTCAAACTCAGTTTCATGGGCTGCTCCCCATGAAATACAAGTGCTATAGACAACAGTTGAGAATGGCAAGCAAGACAGCAAATCGAAACTTGCCCTTATTTGGATTTGTCAAATTATATCTTGAGTTCGAGTTCATGCACGAAACCAGATCAAGTTAGAAGATGTCAGTCGGTTTGTTAAACCAAATCGGTAAGGAAAGAGATACAAAGAATTCTAGTTGGACTAGAATTCCTTATGAAGGGCATATTGAGACGTAGGTTTTTGAGTGAAAGTTTGATACGTTGATTGCTCAACATCTCACCGATTCTCCGGTACAGGTCGTTTGTAATGCAATCCATGCGTGCATCTTGACAGGATTGAACCGGACAATTTCATCTCAGTTAACTCTGATTCTTCCTTCTCTCATCATTCAATTCGGTGCATGCGTGTGGAATCATGGGCACACCCAAAAGGTCATAACTTTTCCTTCATTTTAACAAATCAAACATTGCTTGGGAGGTTGGGGGGATCTAATAATTGAGAACAAGCATGCGTGAAAAAAAGCAAAGATTGCATCATCATATCGAAGCGTCATTTTCCTACTTTTGCATAGACAAGCGCTACAAAACCACACGTACGAAAAAGCCCATCATGTTCATATTCATGGGCCCTCCGCACCACACCATATTCTCTCGGACTAAAAACCAGAGAGAGAAAGAGATTCGAACTTTAGGGCTAAAAAACATTGAAGCGTAAACATAGAAACTTGGACCATAATCTTTAATCATCTCCCAGGACCCGGGACCATCGAACTTTTTCCCATGATGTTCTTTGCTTTCACGGTTAGGAATCATGTCTTGTTTCTCTTTTGTTCAGCTGGATTTGAAGGGGATGGCCCTTATCACCACCTGGTGATACAGAGCCGCGAGCGCCGCCCCGATGAATGGTCCGACCCAGAAGATCCACTGCATCCACCCCAAGCAAAAAGTAGGTGGTTAATGAGAATTGAATCCGCTTGGTCACATGTAGATCTGCATAACTAGATAGGCGCATTTACCTGGTCATCCCAGGCAAGGTCTTTGTTGTAGATGATCGCGGCACCGAGGCTCCGAGCAGGGTTGATGCCAGTTCCTGTTATGGGGATGGTGGCCAAGTGCACCAAGAACACCGCGAACCCGATAGGCAGGGGTGCCAAAATCTGGACGACACGGATCAACGTTAGATCCAACCAAGGTGTAATCGAGCTCACTCGAGTCGGTGTAAGTAGACTAGAATCATTACAATACAGCAGTTAACCCAAGGTCGATCTCCCTTACTGTAGTTTCATCACAGTAACTTCAACGGCAGTAAGTTCATTTATTTTAATGACAATACTTATACGCATAGAAAGAGAACTAGATCATTTGTTCATTCTGGTATGACATCACAGGTGTGGAGCTGATTGCTGATATATGTACGTAAACCAATTGCTCGATCGATTACCGGCGGTTTCAAACAGTAGGCACTCCTACTACTGAGCAGGCGCAAATAGACATCAATCATGATGAACAAGGATGAGAGTGTGTGTGTGTGTGTAAAACTTACAGGAACGTGGGAGTCTCGGGCACTTCGTTTAGCGTCGGTAGCGGAGAAGACGGTGTAGACGAGGACGAAGGTACCGACGATCTCGGCACCGAGGCCGTCGCCCTTGGAGTAGCCGGCACTGACCATATTAGCACCGCCGCCATGCATCTCGTACTGGCTCTTTCCGAACGCTTTGACCACAGCGGCACCACAAATAGCTCCGAGACATTGCATCGCCATGTAGAAGACGGCCCTCGTCAACGATAGCTTCCTCGCCAGGAACAGCCCGAAGGTCACGGCCGGGTTTATGTGGCCTCCTGCACCGATCCCATAAACAAAATCACCTCCGTTACATGATTGGTTTATTGAATGGAATGCGTGAAAGTAGGAGCGAATTCAACTTGGCTTATGAAAGGAAATTGCCAACTGCGACTAAAAACTAGATCCAAAACTCCATTCTGAAGTGTCGAGTGAATAAACGAAGCACATAAAGTTAGGATCCTAGCCCGGTTACCCGAAATGCCGGCGGTGCAGTAGACGAGGGCGAAGATCATGCCGCCGAACGCCCACGCAATCCCTTGAATCCCGACCGACGCGCACTTGGTCGGCGACCTGACCACCCCCATCACCGTCAACACCGTGATGTACAGAAACAGGAATGTGGCCACGAACTCGGCGATCCCGGCCCTGTAGAACGACCAGGAACTGAGCTCGCTCGGCTCGAACAGCGGCGCGGGCGGCGGCTCCCGGTAGTCCTTCCCGTCCTGGGTCTGCGCGGCCGTCCCGATCGGCTGCCTCTCCGCGAACTTGTTGGCACCCACCCTCACATCCTCTTCTCTTCCCTCCATCTTCTCCTTCTCCTTCTCCTTCCCTCTCTCTCTCCCCAAAACACAAGCTGAAACTCACTACTTCTTTGCACAGACCCAAGTGCTTACAGCGAGTATGGTTGATGAAATTGCACGGTTCTTTGCCTTGGATTTTATAGAGCGAACGAACAAGCGAGACCGACTAGCTGGGACAGAGAATTGGCGTCGAGATGCAATTATGTCGTATAATTGCAACCGACCAATCATTTTCTTGGAATTTCATTCGTTCTTCTACTTCGACGACTGAGGCCAAACAAACACGTTTTTCATTGGCCGACGTTTGGACGGGTCTTGGGTGGCGGAACTGTGGCCACACACGTGGCTCGTGCTGCGAGATCTGTCTGCGTCGAAGACCACCGCCCAGTTGCATTAACAGTGCGGACCGTGATCATCACGAGATTTTGTGGTCTGTGTAGTGGATGTGAGCGGCTTCCACTTTGGACTGGTGCGGTCACCCTTCCCAAATGTAATGATTTTTTTTTCAAGCATGGTTCGTCTCTCCGAACGTACTGAATGGTGTTAGTTGGATTGGGAAAATGATATAAATAGTTCATGAATTTTTGAATTAATGTGCAATTTGATTTATGAACTTTTAATTTGTTTAATATAATCCCTGAACTTTAATCCAATATTTAATATGGTCTCTGAACTTTTAATTTGTTCAATTTGGTCCATAAACTTTTGGTACATGTTTAATTCAGTCCCTAAACTATATAAAAATGTTCAATGTAGTCCTTCCATTAATTCAAAAGTTTAGGGATGATGATGAATAAATTAAAAGTTCAGGGACTACATTACACATTGGTTTAAAGTTCAGGGACTACATTGAACAAATTAAAAGTTCATGGACCAAATTGCACATTAGTTCAAAAGTTCATAAACTATTTGTATCATTTTATCCCAGTTTGATTTGAGAAAACTATGTGAATATGATCAAAGTGTCTTCTTGGGGAAGTTTGTGAGGTTTGCTAGCGCCCGGGTGAATTGATGTGGCAGGAGGGAATAATCAAGACTTCAAATTCAAGTGTTTGTTTCTCGAGATTGCAAAGGGGTTATTGATCCAATGATTACATGGGAGCTTGTTGTCGGGTTATACGAGAGATTAAGCGTAAAGAGTCTGTGCATGTCAGAGATTCGATCCAGCGTTTAGTATGATTGATTGACGTGGTTGAATATTGTTAATATGATACAACTTGGAACGATACCCCGGACTTTTGGACGGAATAATATGCCAACATTAAATGATATGTGGTTCATGTGGGGCTCCTCGTTTTTATCACTCGACATGATTATAGCTTGACTCATGGCGAGTATTCACCAAAAAAAAAAATATTTTTATATATTTATATATACAGAGAATTTTTCACCCTTCAAGTGCGTTTGTTTCATAAAAAAAAACTCGAGATTTGTAAGCCATTTTTCGAAAAATGATCGGTTTTATCGTTTACAAAAATAAATGGATGAAAAATACTTTCATCGGCTGTGAAAATAGTCAATCATAAATTGTAATCGATAATGAAAATATTTTTCAGTTAACTAATTTTTCTAAGAAATATAACAAATTATTCTTTAAAATATATTTTCTAAATTTTAAGTTTTTCGTAAAACAAACGCACCATTCACGTCAGCTTATCTATGTCTTGGCAAACGATTAGACCATTAATGCGATGGCCTAAAAGCAAAACCTCTTCTATCATGGCCCAGTCCAAGCCCATTGGAAATGGACTCTACAAAACCCAAGAAGCCACACTTGCGCGGAAATGTGGATCTTGCTTTCGTGCCAGCAGTGAAGACTTCTCCTTCTTCTTTTTTTTCATTTGATACGGTTGTTAAGGTGATTTCCTCAGTTAAAAAAAGGAAAAATTTCAATTTTTAGTCCTCATACTTTCACGCGCTATTTCAATCGAGTCCCTCTACTTTTTAATTTATCTAATCAAGTTATTTTACTCTCACATATATTCTAATCAAATTTCCTCCGGCACCAAATCCGACCAAATTCAGCCGACGCGACAGTTGAATGAGGCCAAAGAGTGGATCGGACATGCGAATGCCCACAGGGATGCGCGTGGGAAAATTTAACTCGGCCGCATCAGTCATGTCTGACCGAGTTTCATGCACGAGAGAGGCTTGATTAGAAAATCTGGTCACGCCTGGTTAGAAAACACCTTGAAGATCCATCGGCGAAAGAGCATAATTTTTCCGTTAAGTCGAACCATCCCGCTATTTCGGGGTGGGGAACATTGGGCATTGAAAGTATAGAAGCCATCGTCATCTGTCTCGTGTCAAGTACCGAAGCAAAGTGGACCACACAAAGAGAATTGAAGCTAACATTCCTCATCGCCTAATCATCTCGAGAAACACAGTTCACTCTTTGTTGATGAATAAGTTTTGGCCCTTCTACACCCGCGAGCTCGCGAGATGGGTTTTATAATGGGAAAGGATTACGTCGGCGCTCACGTAGTTTTCCTAATAATAAATTGTCTTAAGTCTTATTAATTGTTTTGCTCGGGGCAAATAAGAAGAGAAGAAGAAAAAATCTATTGCTCTGATTCGACAGCCCGTCTTTGTCTGGTAATCGAAAATATCACATGCGGGGACTAAACAAACATATGTAGAATTCTATGCTTCACAAACTCCGGAACAATGAAATCATCGCACCCGAAAACTATGCAGAATAGAAATATGTCCATTTTGGTAGTCGTGGTCGGCCATGATTTGGAGAATGACATATATGACTATTCTCCACAGCAAACTGGTTCTTCGATCTCTTCTTAGTCAATGCTCGAATTGATCTTTGAAATTTTGGTTTCGATCGGATTGGTTTTCATGCTCTTTGGATTTGAACTGCTGGGGGGTCCTCTTGGTTGGTCGGGCACTCTAGCTTGACCGTGGAGCTTTTAGCGGATCGGCGAGATTCTAGAGAGAAAGAGAACATCGGCGGCATCGCGAGGTGAGGGAAAGAGTTGGGGGCGGCGGCGCCGGCCCCACCGCCGAGCATGTTTGTCGTTTGCTGAGGTGGGTATGAATTGTACGTGCTGGTCGGTCGCCTTCATGATCAACCCAGAATGGGGAAAACAAAGACGGCCGATGCATGCCCATCCCCTACCTCACCGAACTTGATAAAAGAAAGAAGAAGAAGAAATAGTATAAACAAATCAATTTTTTCTAAAAAATTATAAAAAAATTACCCACATCAACGTTGATCTTCCTAAGTGGCGCTTTCACGTTTCCGATTAAAATTGGCCGGATGGATTTAATTGATAAAACGTGAAAAGATTTAGGATTAATTGATAAAATTAAAAAATTTATCACTGAATTGATAAAAACGCAATAAATTTAAGGTTTTTTTTACGGTTTTCCCCAAAATATTTGACCATTAATGCGATGGCCCAAAGCAAAACCCTTTCTATCGTTAGTCCAAGCCCATTGGAAATGGACTCTACAAAATCCAAGAAGCCATGCTTGCGCGGAAATGTGGATCTTGCTTTTCATACCTGCAACGAAGACTTCTTTTCTCCATTCGACACGGAAACGGTTGTCAAGGTGATTTGCCTAGTTAAAAACAAAAAAAAAGTTTTAATTTTTAGTCCTTATACTTTCGGGCTTTATTTTAATCGAGTCCCTCTATTTTTTAATTTATCTAATCGATTTATTTGACTTTCACATATATTCTAATCAATTTCCTTCGGCACCAAATCGGGCCAAATTCAACTGACACGACTGTTGAATGAGGCCAAAACACAGCGTGGATAAGACATGCGAATGCCCTCGGGGACGTGTGTGGGAAAAGTAAACCGATGCAGACTCCGTCGGAATGAAATATAACCAATGCGAAATGCCTGCATGTTACATCTACATTGCCAAAGCTTCGTTAACGTAGCACAACAATATTGACCAAGGGCCATGTCGGCCGAATCTGGCTGAATTTCATGTATAAGAGAGTCTTCCAATGTGAAATGCCCACGTGTTATGTCTACATCGCCAAAGCTTCGACACCGAGGGCCTTGTCAGCTAGATCCGGCTAAATTTCGTGCACGAGATACTTGATAAGAAAAATTGTGTGGTCATGGTTAGAAAAGAGCTTGAAGATCCATCGGCGAAAAAGCATAAAATCTTTTAAAAGATGAGTACATCAGAAGTCCTAAAACTTGTCAAGAAAGTGCAATTGAATTCCAAAATTTTTCAAAAAGTGCAATCAAGTCCTCAGAAATTCGTCAAACCGGTCCAATCAAATCCTTCCATCGATTACACTTCCTAGAAGTTTTAGAATCCGACTGCACTTTCATGATAAGTTTCAGGACTCGACTGTACTTTCGCGACAGGAATTTTATAGCTCCCGGTGCGCTCATCCCGAATTCAAAACCATCATCTCTCCTCTCTAACTGGGTGCGTCTATACTCTCCCACATGCCGAAGCATGGTGGACCATATAAAGAATTGAAGCTAACATTCCCCCCGTCACGTAATCATCATCTCGGTTCTGTTTTTTTTTGCGAATAAAACACTGCCCTTTTACCCCCGCGAATGCCGCCATCCGGCAAAATGGGGTTCCATAACGGGAAAGTATTACGTCGGCGCTTACGCAGTTTTTCTAATATAAATGTTCTCTTTCCATTAATTGTTTAACTCGGGGGGGGGGCGAAAAAAAAAACACCGAAGAAGAAAAATCCATCGCTCTGGACAGTGAATAGACAGCCCTGTTTGTCTGGTAATTTAAGAATCCCATGCGGGGGGGACTAAACAATTATTTAGGATCCTCTGCTTCACAAAACTCGGGAATAACGAAATCATCGCGTCCGAAAACTATATGCAGAAGAGAAATATGTCCATTTTGGTGGTCCCTCGTGATTGGAAAAAAAAAAATAACACCTCCTCCTTTGCTCCTTACGGGAGAATAAATAATTCGAAAAATATTTTTCAAAAAAATAATTTGATATATCGATTGAAATAATTAATCGATGGAAAAATGTTTTCATTGTCGGGAACATTTTGGTGGACGATGAAAATATTATTTGTTCGTTCATTTTTTTGCAAGCGATACGGGCGACCGTTTTCAGGGAAATATTTCTCAAATCATTCTTTTTTTCGCGAAATAATGGCGCCCTTAGTCTTCGTGCTCCTTGATTTAGTATTAGTAGGTCATTTTTTTTTTATGGTGGGGCTATCCAATTCTGCCGTGGGATTCACATTTACGCGCATAGCAACTTCACTAGATCGATCAAAATTTTAGGAAGAAGAGAGCATTGGCAACAAAGAGAGGGGAGAAAGAGAGTCGGGGGTGGCGGCAGCGTCGTCACCCCGCCCGCACCGCGTGAGGGCGAGCGGCCGGCCCTTGCCGGTGTTGCCCACCGCCGAGCCCATTCGTCGTGTGCCGGGGTGATTGTAGACTATATGTGCTACTTCCTGTATTTTGAGGTACCGATGATTCGTGAATATTTAGATCACTCGATTGTGAATAAAAGAACTAAGACGTGTGCATCAATATTCGTAATTCCAATTGGAATGTACAATGATCAGGTAGATAAGATTTTTCCTTTTCTTAAAACCCTACCGAAAAAGACGTCCCTTCCGACCGAGCATTCCCAAAAAAACGAATTACTTTTCTTTAATTAATTTTCTACTGTGGATTTCAGATTCATGTGTATATAAGCCTTCTATTATTATTATTATTATTATTATATGTCATATGAGAATAATTATTAAAAAAAAAAACGAGAGGAGAGTAAGTACGCCGGTCGCCCTCATGATTGAACAGGAGATACAACAAAGGACGGCCACTGCGTACCCGTTCCCCATCTTTGACCGGTTTTTCAAAACTGATCAGACGGTTGGAAATGACCAAAACCGGCCCGTGCGCTGGTGCGAGCGACATACACCCGAGAGATCCTCCTCTATAAATCAATCAACACGAATTCCTTCCCTCTTCCTCTCTCTCTCTCTCTCTTCCCCATCCTGTTGGTGTTACTGTTGGAGATGCGCCTTCTGACATTGTTGCTTCGGTGAACGCGAGAACGAAACGATTCTCGATCATTCCGACGGTGGTGGTGGCGGCGATGGTGATGATGATGTTCGCGGCTTGATCGTCACCGCCGGTGCCTTCGAACCCTCCGCCGTCGTCCGGCGGCCCTCTTCCGGTCTCCGATTCGAGCGTTGGCCCCGGCCGGCTCGCCGCGAACTGCGAAGGTAGTTCGATCCTCTCCCCGCTGCCTCTAGAGGAGCGTCCGCGGGCGAGGGCAACAGCCGCGAGAGCGAGCGAGTTCGGCCGTCGGGATTGGCTCCGGCAGACCGATGATTTTGGTAGGCTGATTCGGCTCTCCGTGGCGGATCGCGTCTGCCGGTTCTTTTTTTTTCCTTCCTTTCTTTTGATGCGTGCCGCTGAGCTCGTTTCTTTGCTTCCCTGAGGTCGTCGGGTTGCGATGAGAGGGAGCTTGTTCAACCTGAACCGGAGGACGGCGCAGAGATTCAAGCAGCTCGCGATCGCGTCCGTGAAGATCAAGCTGCTCCTCCTGTGCTGCATCGCTTTCGTTCTGGTCCTGCTCGCCGGCTGCGCCTCGGTTTTCCAAGGGGAGGACGCCATCGGTGTTTCCTCCAATCAGTTCTCCGATTCTCGGTCCGTACAGTACTGTTCAGTTCCCTGTTTCTAAGTTTCCGAATTATGTGACTACTTCGATCGCTCCAGATCATTAATTTCAGTTGATTGTTCGCCTGGACAGTCCAATTATCGTTTATCCAAGAAATTTTTTCGCCGGGGAGTTTGTGAAAACCTGCTTATTGGGCATATTCCCTGATTTCTGGTTCTCTTTACGTTACGATTGTGTCCCTTGCTCGTCACTTTTCGCGTGAATATTGGATTATCTGCTGATTTCCTTGTTTTGGTGCTTAGGACACCCGAGGATCCATATTCTCGTTCTCTTTGCAAAAGAACGTGTGTCTCTTGCTCTGCCATTTTTCTCACGAAAGCCGTGTAATGATTTGCGCTTGTGCTTGTAATTGACTCGAGAGTATTGTTCCTCCTGCTGGCTTTTATTTGAATGAATTTGAAATGCTTGCAACTGTGGATTCTCGCATATGTAGAATTAACTATGTGATCTGGACTTAGATTTTGTAGTGTGAGTGAGTGATAATGAATGACATCAATGTCCCAAAAATGCCTTTTACTGGCTGTGGAAGCAGTTTTACCTGAATTAGCGTTGAAGCTCTCATATTACCTCTTTTAGGGAGGAAGTTAAACATATGGGGCAATGAATGGTCGGCTGGCGTTCCTTGCAGTCGAAACGTCATGTCTTATCCATTTGAAGAAAATGGAAATTCTGAAAGTATCTCAATGATTGGATTGTCAGCGAAGGTGTATGTTTATTTATGCGAGAACTAACAGACCGATCTGGTTATTTATGCCGTGGATTTAAAAATTATCGGCAAACATAGTATGTGTAGTCGGAAAATATATTAGATAAAATCATCACTATGACGACTCTCTTGTGTTAACTCTTTCTTTTCCATTCTGCACGAAAAAGAATGGAAGTGAGATCACCTGTGCTCCGGCTATCATAATTTGAGGGTGTGCTGTCGTGGTTGTTCAATTGGATCAACAGTACATATCTTTTAATTCTGCCAAGTTTCTAGTAATTTCTTGTCAAGGAGAACATTTATCTTACTGTGTTCTCTACTTTTACAGGAAAGGATTTGCCCTCCTGATTAACACGTGGAAGAGAAACGATCTTTTGAAACAGTCCATTGCCCACTATGCCAGATGTTCATCGCTGGATTCTATTCATATTGTCTGGAGTGAGCCAGATCCTCCATCAGAGTCTCTTAAGAAATTTTTGAATCATGTCATCCAGTTGAACTCTAAAAGTGATCGGAGAGTCGAACTAAAGTTCGATATCAATAAGGAAGATAGTTTGAACAACAGATTTAAGCCCATTACCGATCTGAAAACAGATGCCGTTTTCTCAATCGACGACGACGTTATATTTCCTTGTTCATCAGTAGAGTTTGCTTTTGATGTTTGGAGAAGTGCACCGGATACAATGGTTGGATTTGTGCCTCGAATTCATTGGATTGATCAGGTAATAGCATTTTCCCTGTAGCTTTCATGCAAATGGACTAATTTATTATTGGAACGTACCTATTCTGCTGGGTCCAGGACTATGGTGTTACACTAATATTTTTTCAGTACATTGGGAACTTGAAAACTATTTCATTTGTTAGTGGAGTTTTCAAAGCTTCCTGGTTGTTGAAGAATATTTCATATGTGAAATAGGTACCGTGGTGCTTAAGGCTGCAAGGAATTTCCTTTCTTTAGCTATGAAGATGAAATCACTGTGGATACTTCCTTTTTCTGTTCTCTGCTACCTAGAGCTTGGGGATCTTAATTAGGAGTAACTTGTCTAATGGAGTGTGGTTTTGGATTCGTGTTTTCCATCTACAATCGCTGGTTGCTATGAGCTTGCTTTTTTGAGTCAGGATCGACTCACATGGAGATTATTTACACCAGTTACACGTTTTCTCTGTTATAAATGTTCTTGCAGAAAGGTAGTGCCGATCGCTATGTCTATGGTGGATGGTGGTCCGTATGGTGGACGGGTACATACAGTATGGTGCTCTCAAAGGCGGCATTTTTTCACAAGAAGTATCTGGATATATATACAAACCAGATGCCAGCATCAATCAGAGAATATGTTTCGAGAAACAGGTAATTATGCATCCCGAGTATGTAGCTCTTATCTGATTTGGTAGGCATTCTGTTCTCTTCTAGTTCCTTCTTTCTGACTCTATCTGTGAATGGGCTCCAGGAACTGTGAAGACATTGCAATGTCATTCCTCGTAGCAAATGTTACCGGTGCTCCTCCTATATGGGTTAAAGGTAATTAGGTTACATATGGCATCTTTATGCAATATCCATTCTTACGCATTATCAGATTGTTGCGCATGACATGGACATAGATGGCATACTGAATAGTTTTAATGCTTTGTGAATTGTTGCGACTGTGGGATGCATCAAATAAGGAACTGATGATTTTTTGCCTAAATTGTCGCCCCTATATCTTAATTTACTCGGGGCTTTTTCAATAAAAACACTGAGGTTTAAGGATGGAAAATAGGTGAGGAAATGCTTATGGCTCTTTTTTTTTTTCAAAGAAGGGAAGTTGGGGAAAGCTTAAATGAGGCAAAGGTGAATTTGGGAATTATGGATGACACAGATGATATTTTTTTTATTTAATTGGCTTGAAGAGATCCTTGTAACCTACCTACTTGGTGGGAGAAGGGTTACTCGTCTTACTATTGACCAAACTTCGCTCAATAAATCCAACTCTGCGGTAGTGTGCAAAAGCATTCTGGGAAAATAAGCTGGATCCAATACATGGTGTTTTCTTTTATGCCATTTGTATAATTTGTTTTGAAACTTTGGAATTTACTGGTATTTAGTGTCAGTATGTTCTGATGGGAAGTTTCAGTATCGTTATGTTAGAATTCTCTTCAGCAGTTCTTTCAAGACATAACATAGCCGGTGTGCCACATGTCCCGTCCTTCTGCTAAGATTTCCTTTGCTTGTTTTGCCATTGCTTCCTGCAGGAAAGATATTTGAGATTGGTTCCACAGGAATTAGTAGTTTGGGAGGTCACAGCGAGAAGAGAACTCAGTGTGTCAACAGGTTTGTGGCAGAATTCAGGCGGATGGCCTTAGTATCGACTACTGTGAAGGCTGTTGACAGCAGGAATATCTGGTTCTGGTGAGGCTATATTTTCTCATACGCCACTGATCGGTATTTCCACGTTTTTTGCTGATTTAGTGACGTTGTTCTGATTCAACCATTTGTTCACTAGGTGTATAATATATGAAATTCGACATAACTTGCCTAGATATTTTTTTGTCATAGAAGCTATCACGCTCTTCAGATATGGGTTGGTGTATGGGATCACGTTAGGAAAGGATGAAGCCTGAGATGGCTTTTCATATATGTAAGGACACTCCATGATTAGTAGTGGAATTGCTGTTTCATTCCGTCTCTCAGACCGGTTATTTATCGATGTGTGCACTTTTTGGCTCAAGAGAAAATTGGTCTGTCGTCCATTATTTGAAGAATTTTTTGTGAAGAAGGGTCTGTCTTTATGTGCACAGCTTCCTGCACCAAACCCGTGTATATATTAGTTATGGATCTAACCCAAATTGTTCCATTTAACTCATTTTGATCCATTTATATGCAATACAAATTCAATGGCCCATACCCAGTCTGTACACAACTCACATTACCAAAATACATAGATATTTAAAAAAACGTTTATGCTACCCGTGTATTGTGTAAAGAATAAAGTTTTTAGTAGTTTTATAAGGTTCTAAATAAGATTTTTGACATGTACGCGACTAATTTTGTTCTTGGTGAATTTTTCAAATATCACGATGAAGTATCCAACATTTCTTAAAATCAATTAGTCATTAAAATATCGACACATAAAATCATATATTATTTTTCACGATTTTCTAAAGCTTTTAATTTTGAAAAATAGAAGATCATAAGTAAAAGATTAAACTAGAAAATAAGTTGCCCCATTCGAAAACTCCCGACCTGAACCTGAAGACAAGTGAAAATGTACTGTAGGTGGGTAAAAGATTAAAAACCCACATTTTATTAGACTTTATTACTCAAACTCGTATCAACTCATTTCGCAAAATTTAGCTGACCCATATATGACCCAACTATGGCCGTCAAATGGGTGGGTAGAGTCGGGTTTGGGTTTGATCGAAAATGGTCTAACTCAAATTGTCTCATTTAACTTATTTTGATCCATTTATACGCAATACAAATTTAATCATCCATATCCGACTCATACTCGACCCGACCCGACCCGATACATTTACTAATATACTTTCATATTTAAATCCGATCTATGAAAATTAGTATCCATATAATTAATTCACTTTAAGCTCTTCGTGTATATATGTTATTTAGATAAAATCAATATTTCAATAATAAGATGCTAAAGAATTGACTTTCGACATTGCATAATTTTCAATTTTTGTATTGATTCACAATGAAAAATAAAAGAAAGTTAATACTTGTTAGTGAATTTATAAAATTACAACAACAAATAACGTGGAGGAATTGAAATTTTGGTTAAATGAAATGTAAGATATTGAAGAAGATGATTTATGCCAACCATGGATTGCAATGACAAGAATTAAGAATATAATATTGCATAAAAATAACAATGCTAAATGCAACCAACGAAAGATATACTCCATTAGTTAACATATGAAACTTACAAGATTAATAAAAATAAAAAAAATAATGGGGAAAAAAAGAAGCCGTCTTGATATTTTTAATAAGGGTGAAGTCAGTCTCACCAAGACTTCTTTGAACTTGGAACAGTTCAAGGAGTCCATTATTTTTTCATAGGGGGTAAGAAAAAAGTCACAAAAATAGGTTCAGTCTGGGTGAGCTGCGAACCCATTTAACACCTTTTTTTTTTTTTGATTTTGCCGTTTTAAACTCATTTATAATCCATTTATTGAATATAACTATGACTTACCCATCAATATGGGTTGATGAATGAGTTTACGATCCATTTTGAAAGGTCTAATGTTAGTCTACCACTTGCCTACAAGCTTCTGTTATCTGCTAATTATGACTAGTTACTTTGGTCAAAACAATCATAAACTGGAATCCTCCTGAGCTCCATGGATTGGCACAATGATTGATCTTTCAAGGAACAGAGCCATCTCGGATGCATCTTGGATAGGTATGGACTAAAATTCCTAGAAAGATGTCCCAGCATTTGATTGCCAGAGGAAGAAAGTGAAAGAGCCATCTTGGGAAATTCTAGCCAAGAATTTTTGGGGTGTCTTGCATGCTATATGGCAACTTGCAAGCATTGGAGTCTCTCTTTCAGACGCTATAAATAGAATAATGCTAGTTATCATAGAATCGGTTTGCAGAGCACTCTGACGGTTTAAATGCTTATCGAAATTTGCCATGTAGCTCAACATGACAATTTTGTTAATCTGTGTCTAGATACTTGCTACTTCTCAAGTGCATTAACCATCGTACATCATGTGTTTCTGATTTTGGAAATAAGGGAGATGACGGATCGCTACGATCACAAGCCGGAACTGCCAAAAGGTCTTAGAAAGAGATTGCACCGTATGTTAGAAAAAGGTGGTTATTCGGTTCTTCAAATCTAATTTTTCTTGCAGTGATTTCGACTGCATACACAAGGTGTGGCTCGCAAGCTTGCCTGATAATAATCTTGCTGTAATTCGAGCTGGTTCCTCTAATGAGAATTTCGCTTTGTTTGTTCGGAAGGTTTTTAGTTAAGAAATCTTCCTCAGATGCGTTGGATCAATAAAAGAATTTGTGCCACTCAGAATGAATCATATTGCGCATGAACGGGCAGATTTGTATGCATCCATAAGAAATAGTCGAGCTTAATCGCATACCAATGTTATAGAGGAGAAGTTACATTATTATGATTTGTCCAAATATTGTTCAATAATCTATGAAGTTTTGTTTTTTTTTTAACTACATATCGAATAAAATACGTTAAGACTGAAAATTTCTTTATGTGAGCATGAGCAGCCCTTGATTGGAGTGGATATTAGTAGAAGGCAGAAGCATGAGTAGGAAGCAGAATATAACCAGAGGATAACCACAGGAAAGAACCCAAGCATGCAAAAGATCCTTCATTATTAACTTAAGATTACATGAAGATGAAATGGCCTGTTGATTTCTTAAGACGGCCATTTCCACTCTCTTCACTTAATTTGTACATCCTAACCATAGACTGAACGGTTTATCCATCCTGTTCAAATTCTTGAAGCCAAAATAACCCATCGAAAAGAAACGTGAGCCAAGGCCTACATTTTCGCAACCGAAATCGGAGATTGATTACCTTATAATGCATCATCTGCTTCCGATAATCTAGTCTTGTCGCCCGAGGAGTAGTTAAGAGGGTAACACGTCTCATCGCCTCCGGAACTCCAGAGAAAGCTCGCGTACTTGGATGCATGATAAGGATTCTCCGGTTCGGCCGCGATTGCTTGCTGGTATCTCTCCTCTGCTTCCCACGCGTCTTTCTTCACCGTCCACAAGAAATCCGCGTACCGACTCAACAATTCAGCATCTGGGGGCTCAACCTGCACAGCGCGCTTAAAGCACTCCTCCGCCCTGCAAAACCCATCGGAAACCCCCACAAAGAATCTAAGTGATGCAATCCTCAATGCGCCAATGTGACACAATCATAAATCACAAGTCACTGGGACATGAAAGTCCAACTCTTCGATCACCAACTATAAAATTTCCCTACCCAGGATAATGATTCAAAGAGGAAGACTGCACTAATGTTTAGAGAACTGAAGTACGCTGCCCTACTTGGAAAGTCATCTTAACCTTAAGCATTTTGAAATGCAAACGTGAACATGCTCAACAAAAGCTCGGATGTACACATAGTTCGTATGTTCGCTATATTATCTTATTCCTATATCCAATAAAGAGATAAAAATTCAGAAGTCATCCAACAAGTTTTTCCTGGTTATCGAGGAAAAGACAAAACCATGCACTATCAATTATTGAGGACACGGGAAAACCATTTGATTATCAAGATGGCCAAGTAATGCTATTCAGACAACAAAACACAAATTTTATACAATGAATTCAGGCAGATTCTTGATCGATAACAAAAAGGTAGTCCAGCAAGCATCGAACGCATTTTGTACCAATTAACAGGTCCAACCCAATTGCATATAAAGCTCACCTGCGGTAGTCCTGGAATACGAGGCAGAGAAAATGCGCATAATTAGAGAGCAGCAGGGGATTGTAAGGATCCTGAGACAAGTAAAGTTGGTACAGAAGATCTGTTCTCCAATATTCGTCGTATGTATCGGTTTCAATTTCCACATACACTGGCGAAAGGAACTTCCCCATCCCTCCAAGATCAAGAATTTCGCCGCCCCTTAATAATGCCTCCATCTTTGCTGCTTCATCCACTATAGAGCTCCACAGATTCACCTCCTCGACGTTCAAAGTTTCGTTCCCTGATGGAGAAACTCGCAATTTCTCGCCAGGAACAATGCCAGGCTTTTCTTCTGCAGCAGAGGATTTATCCAGATGACCATTTCCTCGAATAGTCCCATTTGTCGAACTAAAGTCCGAGTTTCCTTGACCTTTATCCTCCATCAGCAGCAAAGTCTCCGGACATACTCCAGAGGACATATTCGACATGTTGTGAACCACAGAATAAGCGCTGAACTCAGCGGAGAGTATCATCACGTACACCATAAGATTCGGGGCTTGCGAAAACACCTGTTGGAAAATCCACACAAAAGATGAATTTATCTCTCTGTGCACCTTATTAACTATCTCCCCCAAGTCTTCTCTGTAGAGACTCTCCCTCATGTGCATGGCATAGCTCTGAATCTCTGTAATAATAAGCACCATTGAAGCGAAGGCCTTCTCGACTGAAGAGCATTCATATTCCCTTGCTTCGATGGCCCTCATATCCTGTTGCTTCTTTCTCTTTATCATCCTAAGAGACAGGGGAATTTCGATGCTTTTCGCTCTCATTTCGATGCCAATTCTACTGATTTTGTTCCTCTCAGGCCACTCCGGCGGCTTTGGCCAGATACCGAGCAGCAACGGCTCCAGGAAATCCATCTTCAAGCACGACGATCGCATTGAAAAACCCCTATTTCCACTACCTTCCGCCTCCTTGTTCGGAAAATGCCCAGAAACATCTGGCACTGCACAAGCAATGTCCATTGTATCAGTGCAATCCCCATCTCCCCACATGGACACATTGGTTCCCACGGCTAATTCCGAAGTCTGATTAGACACTTCTCTGCCCGAAAACATCTCGGAACTTCCGCAGCAAACCCGTCTGAGCCAGCCATGTCTTGATTTATGGAAGCCAGAAGGAGCTGTTCCGTGCACTAATCTAAAGGGCGCATTAGGATTTCTTCCACTGTTGAGCCCTAACAAGGAAGAAACTGGGACCCTTTTCTGTGAATGAAATAATGAGCAGGGGGTTACAGGGTGTGATGAGTTCAAGCCATTTGGAGCCACCTTCAACCCCATGAAGCCCCCAAATTGCCAAAAAGAAGTTTTCAAGTTATGGAGATGAGAGAAACCTTTCAAGGATGATCAACTGCAGAGAGGATGGATGACAGACCAAACCAAGAACTAATGGTCAATGTCCCAGGAATCCCGTGTATACTGGTGAGTGGGATAGTCTGACTCGGCAATTTCCTTTTTAGAAATGAAGCTTGCCTTTTTTGCATAATCCGCACGATATCAAGCAAAGAAAGAGAGGGTCTAGAAGTTGCCTTTGCTTTCAACTGTAACCAACCTGGAATAGATAAGGCAGAGAGAAACAGCCCTCATTAATCGAGTCAAAAGTCACCACCACCTTTACAAATTTCTTATTCCTATCCTATCCGACATTTGAAAGGGAAGAAGAAAAGATCAAAGAACAGGAAATCTCGAGGCTTTTGTCCAGGATTCAGAAAATGAAGAGCAAAATTCAAAGCCTTACCAAGTTTCTTGGAAATGGATCTCGATGATGATCCATAAAAAAAGAAAGGGAAACACGGAGATATGAACGAAGAACACTCACCAAAAGTCGGTTCAGTCGAAGTGGATAATGTGATCTTGAAGAGGACAAGAACCCGTTTTGCCGTGACTAGACCCTTCTTTTTCTCCTTCCGTTAACCCGGCAAAAGTGGCCTTTCCCATATATTTGTTCTCCCTGTAGAAAAGGTCAAAAACCGCTCCCCCTCCATGTTCAAGCAAGAATATCGCTTCTTCTTCTGCTTTTGCTCCACGTAAATCTACAGGGACAATGGGTTTGTTTCGATACATCGCGGGAGAAAATCGCAGCACTTGCCACCCCCGACAGAGCCCGGCGACTCGACCTCAAATCATTGCCGTAATATCAAAACGCACGAAAAATCGAAAAGCCTTTGGCTTTAAAATTCGTCGGAAAATATCTTGTTACCGACCGCGCAATGCATGGGCGGAAGAGGGTATGTCGGACAGCGACTGCTGCGACGCGTGGCGAGTCTGCAGGGCGGGGGGGAGGGGGAGTCCCACAGTGCAATGAGCCAAACCCATCGCTGCTCTGCCACGCACCCCAACACTTGTCGCACGAACTGGCCACGATTCAGCAGGGCTTTTTAGCCTCTAGGGGGGCGGTAATCACGTGGCCCCGAGCGCTCATGAAAGTGCGTGTTGTTTCGGCAATAAAACTATGCGAAAAGTCCAGTTTTTTGGGTCACTGTTTATGTTTTTGATTGATCACCAACCTTTCCCATCTCTGAGCATATCCGACTCATTTCCCCGTGATCCTTTGCTCTTTCCAGTCGTCGGAATGGAATCAATCGGTAGCCCCCAACCTGAAAACAAGAACCACGAACGTCCTATTTCCAGACTAACAGTGTTAATTGCTGAGCGGCTTCTCGATCTCATGGTCCTTACATGGAATTCAATGAAGGAAAATTTTAAGTAACAGCCTGAAATGAAATCGTTTTTCCGAAAAAAAAGATGTCCAAACAAGTGTCCGAAATGGCTATTTCGTTTCAAATAAAAGCTTAACTCACTTGTCGGCCGGTGAGCACATCGTTTATCCTGGTGGCATTTTTTGTCTAGGGGCATTTCTCTGTTTTTTTATTCTTTCTTCTCTTCAACCTTCATCTTCTTCTTCATCCCACCTCTACACTGGTGCCTGATCTCGCTCACGGCATTGGCCGCTACGTCTCCGAGCAATGATTGTCCTCGAAGCTCAAGCTCGACTCGTCCGATTCGTCCGATTGCACTCGCCCATTTCAGCCCATGTTGTGTCGAGTGCTCATTAAGTGGGCCGGATTTCTTTCTTTCAGTTGCACAAAACGTCACTGTTGCCGCTTGAAGAGCTCCGAAACACCAGTAAATGAAATTTCTCCAGTTCCGGAATGCCAATTCTATTTTATTACATTTGTTCTTTTTTCTGTGGAGCAACCTTCCGATCTGTGGCTATTTACCGAAAGCAAAATAATGAATATGGCCAATTTGCTTAAATAGTCACTTGCATTCTATTATATCCCTACAAATATGAATCTTATTAATCTTTCAATCTAGATAATACTATTGAATCGGCGATCAAATTGGGTTTTCTTTCTATTTTTTCCGCATGCCCGTCAACTTAAGGGAAAATTTCAATCAAGAGTTTGAAGTGGTGTCGTTTTTCCAAAGAGGGCTTAAAATGAACCTTATATCAAATGAGGGATTGAAAATGGCCAAACTTAGTCTGATATAGGGACGGATTTCGCTGGCGGGCCAAATCTTTGCCGATAGCTAGAGCAAGGGCAATTCTCTTAAAGAAATTTATAATTTTATCCAAATCGAAGCTAGGGTTCATGCTGACCAATTGAAAAATGGCCGCCTAAACCCTAAAAATAAAAAAGCCCTAAATTAAATTCACCGATTCATGTTTTCTCCCTTTCCAGCAATCTCAATACACAGTGATATCGTCCAGTACACTCATCAAGTCTTGTTTGTAGTAAACATAGCAAGTTAGGAGCGTTGATTCCATCTGAAGAGTTTACCCAAAAATCCGTCGCCAAATAGTACATTGCTCCTCACCCCTTTCATGTTCATCTTCGTCGCTTACCATAATGTTCGCTTCAATTTTCACGACTTGATGGGTGTACCGGATTTGTGAATTGAGATTGCTAAAGAGGCGAAAAAACATAAATTAGCGAATAATTCGGGGTTTTTTTATTTGAAAGATTTTGGGCATTTTTCAATTGGTGCTAGCACAAACCCTCACATCAATTGAGGTAAAATCAAAAAGCTTTGGACAGAATTATCCGTGTTCTAGCTACCGGAACAAACCAGCCGACTAGTTTGGGCCTTTATTAAAAATTATGCTAAATTATTTCAAACATTTATACGATATAAGATCCATAAGTTAATCATTCTAAGACCTTATATGAAATAAGATCCATTCCCGATATTTTTCTGCCAAAGAAGCTCTAACTTTAGATTTTTATTCAAAATTTTTCGTCAACTTTTACGAGCATTAGCTTCGTCGAGGTTCCTTGGTGTCTCTTTCCCTCGTTATCGGCTAGGTGATTACTAATTTTGTCTTCACACTCACGAATTTGTGTTATACGTTCTAAAGGTTTGTTCACTTGATTTAGCTAGTGACAAACGAGAATTGAACATTCAATTTTTTCTGTACGAATCGTGTCGTGAAAATTTACAAAGATTAATCCCCCAAAATTAAGTCCGAAGAATAAATGTCACGTTCCAAATTGTTTGTTAATGCTCCCTTATGTTCCTTAACTACGTGTCGTCCCCGAGCCGTGCCGGTCCGAACTCCGACCGCCTTTGCCGTCGTCGCCGCCGCCGCCGCTCAGCATCCGCCCCAGAAACGTCTTCGCGGCGTCCAAGCTCGGGAAGTAGGTGTTCTCCAGGAACACCCGGCTCAGCGAGTCCGAGCTCGCCGCCGCCGCCCCCGCCACCCTGTCCCCCCTTGCCTCCAAGCTCCCCATCACCGCCGCCACCACCTGCTTGTACGCGAAGAAGAACCGCTTCGCCGCCGCCTCCACCGCCTGCAGCGCCTGCAGCAGGTGGATCCGCTCCGCCTCCCGCTTCTCCCGGTACAGCCTCATGGCCGCCTCCTGCAGCCGCGGGCCGCCGTTGGGGTCCGCCTCCACGCCGAGGACGCGGGGCACGGTGTGCTTCAGGTCCTTGCACTTGCCGGTGATCTCGACGAGGCCCTTCGACCGGAAGCAGAAGGAGGCCGCCTCGGCCCTGATGGCGAGGTCCTTCTTCAACCTCAGGAAGTCCTCCGGGTCCATCAGGAGGTGGAGGTCCTCGATCTCCGCCAGAAGCTTCCAGAACCTCTCCAGCAAGTAGCAATCGCTCGCGGCTTTCTCGAATCGGTTCGCCTCGATCCTCTCCGAGATCCGTTTCAGGAGCTCGCTCGAAGCGCGGATCCACGATTCGAGGATCTGGTGCGTCGCGTGGAGCGACTGGTTCTCGTGGTTGCTCTCGACCTGATGATCGCCGGAAGCGTTGCGCTTCAGGGAATGCAGCTCGCTCGGCTTGCAGACGTCGTCGTACCGCAAGGCCGGCTTCGCCGTCAGGTTCGGCTCGCCGAGCCCCAGAGTGTACGGGCACCGCCTCATCTCGCACTCGATGGTGTACAGGATCCTCTGCGCCACGTCCTCCGAGGTGTGCCACGTGGCGAGCCGGGGCAGGAGGCTCCCCTCGCTCGCCCGGCTCACCGCCGCCGCCGCGTCCCCCCCCGGGATCCTCCACACCTCGGCCGAGCTGCCGCCCCGCGCCAGCGCGCCGCCGGCCGAGCTCAACTCGACGAGGGGAGCCGCGCCGGCGCCGGCGCGGCCCCCCTCCTCCTCCCCCTCCTCGTCCTCCACGATGGCGGCGACGAGCTGGACCTGGCCGGCGGCGAGGGACTCGAGCCGCCGCCTCCACTCGCGGCGGTTGGCGTACGGCCTCGGGTCGGAGAGCGCCGTGGAGACGAACCGGAAGGTGATCTCGAGGGCCTGCAGGGCGGGCCTGAGCAGGGGCTCGGCCTTCCACCCGGGGAATTCCCGGGCGCCCCAGAGCCGCCTCAGCTCCGGCAGCCGCAGGTACTGCTCGTAGGCGGCGACGGCGTGAGCGGAGGCGGCCGCCAAGCCCGCGGGGCAGCGGAAGGGCGGCGTGGCCGGGAGCAAGAGCGGGAGCTGCTGCTGCTGCTTGTTGCCGTTGCCGTTGCCGTTGCCGTTGCTGTTGCTGCTGTTGCCGTTCATCTTGGTGGGCGAGTTGAGGGACGCGTCGGGTGGGGAGACCGCCTTGGTCTCGCAGTCGAAATCCACCATTTTCTGCGCTTTTGCCCAATGAATCGAACAAGGGAACTCGTCAATGGGCGGCGGGGAGAGAAACGAAGCGAAAGGATCGAGGAACGGCTCAAGTTCTTGTATGTTTTGGGTTGGACTCGAACTATTATGGTTCGAAGGTGTCGGGGGATAGGAGCCGTGGTATATAAGGAAGGGAAGAAGGAGATGGGGAGAAGGAAATGCGTGTGAAATGGAGACGGAGATTGACTAACGGTGGGTGGGCGGGGGGTGGCGGGCATGAGAAACGAGGGGGGTGGCGGGTGGAATTTCGCAAAGTCGCGTCGCGATTTGAACAATGATGATAATAATGGTGATGAAACGAGGGGGATTTGGAATGCGGGTGGGGTGGGGGGTTTGGAATTTGAATTGAATTGAGCTGTTGTTTGTTTTTTTGGGGTGGAGGGGAGGGGAGGAGTAGAATATTGAATGGAGTCGTGCTGGCGGATGAGGCGCATGAAGCTTATCCGAATCTCCACCTAACGTGGTGTACATTGTTGGGGGGGGAGGAAGGTGCCCTGAACGCCCCGCCTTTCCCTTGGAATTTTAGTTTTTTTTGGGTGTGGATTTTGGAATCTATTGGAGATGGACCTTTTCCCGGGTCCTTCCGTATGGTCTCTGCGGTCATAATTTACGCTTCCAGGGGGTGAACATCGGATACGATTCCGTTTGGGAACCGGAATCGAACCAGTTTGGACAGATCGATTTAAGACCGTCTTGAGTAAGCCGATTCGGTTCCCGGTTTCCTGAACCTAAAACCTGCCTATGAGCAGGTTCCAAGGCTGCAAAAGTCTACTCTGCCCGGGAACCGATCTAAATCGGGTCAACCGGTTCGGTTCTCAGGTTGAACCGGTTTTTAAGCCTTTTTTTTTTATAAAAAAAATTGGTCTATAATATGAACAAACAATATAACCACTTGACACATACATATATTGCATGCTTTATTTTTTATTACACAAATTTGATTTCTCTAAAAAAAAAATAAAAAATTGATGGACAATTGCTGGTTCTTGGTTCTAAGTCGACCCAATGTTCAATATGGATAGGTTTGATTCGGGAAAAGTGTCAAAAAAGTCCTAAACCTTTTCATTAGTGCCAATTTAGTCTTAAACCTTTTGCATTGGTGCCAATTTAGTCCTAAACCTTTTTTTGTGCCAATTAAGTCCTAAACCTTTTAAATTAGTGCAAATTCAGTCCTAAACCTTTTATTTTTGTGCCAATTTAGTCCTTCCGGTCAATTTTGACAGGAATTTGCCGACGTGGACGCCGCCGGCCGGCGGCCGGTCACCGGCGCCGACGTGGACAACTTTAATAATATTTTTTTGAATTTTTATTTTTTTTCTTTTTTTTTCACTGTTTTTTTTTGTCCCCCCTCCGGCGACCGGCCAGAGGCCGGCGAGCTCGACCTCGCCGGCCACTGGCGAGGGCGGCGGCCTCACCTGGCGAGGGCTAGCCTCGTCTTGGTCGGGCGAGGCTCGAGCCCTCGCCGGAGGCCGCGGCGAGGGCGAGCCTCGCCATGGTCGGGCGAGGCCCGATGTTGCCGGATCTGGCGAGGTCGAGCCTCGCCCAGCGACCTCGCCAGATCCGGCGAGGTCGGGCCTCGCCCGACCATGGCGAGGCTCGAGCCCTCGCCGGAGGCCACGGCCTCCAACGGAAAATTCACTAATGAATTGACCGGAAAATTCACGTCGGCAAATTCCGGTCAAAATTGACCGGAAAGACTAAATTGGCACAAAAACAAACGGTTTAGGACTGAATTGGCACCAATTTAAAAGGTTTAGGACTTAATTGGCACCAAAAAAAGGTTTAGGACTAAATTGGCACAAATGCAAAAGGTTTAAGACTGAATTGACACCAAAAAAAGGTTTAGGACTAAATCGGCACTAATGCAAAAGGTTTAGGACTTTTTTGGCACCTTTTCCGGTTTGATTCCATGTTCCAAAAACTGGGGGTCACGGAATTGATTCACGGTTCTAGGTTGACCCGTTCGGAAAGATCTCATAATTTGCCCAGCGTTTTAGTCTACGGAAAAAAAAAAAAAAGAAGAAGCAAAGAACTTCTCTTTTTAGCCTTTGGATAAATCTCGTCTCATCAAAGCCCCATGGCATTGTAGTATCCAAACTCGAAAGTCGTCAGGGATATGGACGATCAATTTCTTTTTCTCTTCCTTAACAAGGGGAAAATCCTAAATTTCTATAGGACGGATTTAGAGAGACGCTAATGGACTGTAGCGTAACGTTTTTGCCCTATTCATTTGGAAGCATAATAGAAAGGTTTTGCAGGCGGAGGCTGATGGATGGATGATGTGGTTGCGGGAATGACCTGGAACAGTGGCAGGTTCGATGACCTGGACTTGCTTTATCGGAGATGGGAGATGGCAACTTATCCACCGCCGCCACCAATCGCGGCGGAGATTGGTCTTGGTCTAGGTTTCTCAGACCCCTTTTCGGTTGCGTTTGGCATCCAACGAAGGTCCTCCTCCTTGTTTTTTCTTCTACTTTCTTTATTGTTTGATTCTCTGTGCCTCCAATGTACGGATTGCTCTTATCCGATTCGGGTTGCGTTTGTGTACGTATATGCTTTGCCTAAGCTCCAACGTCTACGAAGCGGATCGTCTAATCCGACGAGAGGAGTCCCGACTTTGTATTTATCTCCACAGCGGCTATTGGGTATTTTGTGAATGGTGAGGTCCGAGGGATATGCCGAAGCGATTCGCAGTGTACATGAGAAAATTATCCAAAAAATCTTTAATTTATTGCATTTTTATCAATTTAGTCACAAACCTTTTAATTGTGTCAATTGAATCTTAAACATTTTCGCGTTTTGTCAATTGAGTAGGGGTGAGCATGGCCCGAGTGGGCAGTTCACACCTTGAAACTGGAAACTGCCTACTAAAGATTGGTTCCGAAAAATTGAAATCGGGAACCGCTCGTTAGTTCCTGAATGGATCTATGGAATCGGTTCTTAATTTCTACAAAATTGCATTCATCAATTAATATCTTCTTGATGTCTAGAATGTTTTTGAGAAGAAGCCGAGAAGGAGGAGGTCCCTCTATTACTTGCCTATGAAGCTTTGATTTGAGCCCCCTAGGTCCCCATACGAAAACTCCATACGTATGTATCAGGACGAGCCTGAGCAAGCCCTGAATCAATGTCGCATGAAAAGAATACAGACGCAAAGATCGCGATCAATCCAAAAATCAGTGTCTTCACCATCACTATGGAAGCAGACATTGTTGGTTCTTCAACTCCCGTCGTTCCTTGTCTTTTCTTGTTTCAGTTTGGCGATTCTACTTCCTCTCGTCGCTTCACATAGAAAAATCGAAGGAAAGAATTGCTCTCACTGCACATTCTCCATTATGTTCTATTACTTAAAACATCTATTCACCAATGCAACCGATCCAGTCCGGGTGGGCAAGTGGGCGGTTCCACGCCTAGAATCAGGAACTGGACTAGTACTCACCGGTTCTTCTAAGTTGGAAACGGGAACCGGACCGGTCCCTAGTTGTGGCCGGAAATTGCTGACGTGCCATGTCACGTTATCGCCGGCCACCGTACCGTCTGTGTCATGTAGGACGGTCATGGTATACGTTAGCGATTTTCAACCAAAATTAGACGGGTGAACTCAATTGGCAAAACGTGAAAAGTTTTAGTACTCAATTGACAACGATTAAAATGTTCAAAACTGAATTGGCGTAGATTGGTAATATGACCCAAATGACCCACTGAGCTAGCAACCCTATATTTCTCATCCTCTCTTCAAATTCTTGCAAGAATCCAAAGAGAATCCCAACGGACCGCAACAATGCGTTTTGGATAAAAGCTCCATCTTTTGTCCCTTTCACACGCCCGGTTCTTATCTTCTCCTCGCGGTATTTGCACCAAGAAAAGCTCCCATCCTCGCGTTCTCCTCGCCAAATGCTCGACGCGTCCGGTTCGCGGTACATCGCGTAGCGTGGAAACGCGAAGAGGAAATTCCAGGTCGGCACTCGGCAGCAGCTTTTGGCTCGCCAGCCAAGCCAGCCCCAATCACACGTCCCTCCCCCTCCCCACGTGACGCGCCGCCCGATCCCGACACACGTCGTGCCCAACCACTTGCTCCAGCTAACCACGTACCCTCCCCTCCCGTCGTATTCATGAGGATCAGCCGCGTGGCGAAACGGTTGGATCGCAACCGGTCTTTCTTTAGTTTTTTTTGGGAGCCCCACGTTAAGGTACGACGCGACCACGAATCGGTCGATCCAACGGCGGAAAACGGACGGTCGACTCCTCGCGCGTCGTGGGTCGCCGGATACGCTTCGATTTTCCCATGCCTATCCATAAGGGGGGGGGGGGGGGGGGGGTGGTGGCGGGGGTGCTTTCGTTGGTAGTGTTTTAGTTGACTTTGAAGGGAGAGCTGTTGTGTGGGCTAGGGAGGAAGCATGTTTTGAGGGCATAACATAATTTATATACGAGGGGCATGTGCAATGGATAAGGAAGAAGTAGGTTTATTTAAGAAATACACATTACTAGAAAAAGAGAATGTCTTTTCAAGAAACCTAACAGGAGTCTCTTGTTTTTTTTCTCTTTTTTTTTTTAAGAATGATGCATGTGTATACACGTTTAATCCTTCGTCGAGGTCTTAGAGCCGACCCGAGAACTGATGTCAGCGAGATTAGATTATCTTAATAAGCACACTGTAATATGATACTATTGTCTGAAGAGTAGAAGGCGTGCGGGATGACACGAATGTTACCGATTTGCTCCCCTAATTCAAGCCGGAAGCGAAAGATAGGGTCAGAGACGAGGACCCGAGACCGGAACGAAGCATGGATTGGATACGAATATCTAAAATGAAAACTCCATGTCGACTCGTGTTACTTGCCCTCGTGGGATATTGCGATTGGGTTCATTCGTGATTAGAAGGACGCAGGGATTATCTAAATTGACTTACCAATCGCTAAAATAAAAAGCATGCGACCGACTTTTGTTAGTATTTCAATATTGCCCGTTTGTTTAAACAAGCACGTCACGCTTAAGAAGTCAGTTTGCTCGCTCGCATTACGTTGCTACCGGTTTCCTCTTGAAATGCAGGCACATTTGGGCACAGAAGAATTTGAATAAGGTTTTGTTAAAAACTAGTTAGATCGACCTTCTCACGTCCATCCTGTTTAGCCCCACAGTATCTTTATAAGGTTCCTCCCTCTCTTTCTACCACGTTTACCATTTATCGAATAGCACGCGGGCATTCGATGGAATATATATTTAGCAATCTCGAATTACATTCTCAAGGTGCCCTTCAATAGATGAAGTGTTGTAAGGCTCATCTCCATTGTAAGACCTTAATATGGATTCAATGCATCGAACTATATTAACTATATTAACTGAAGTTATGTTAATCATCTCGTTCTTTGTCATTTCATAATTTAACATGATGGCCATTTTAAAAGGCCTAGCCGATGAGTGCGTCGAACGCTATTTTACCATACATAGGAAATGGATATTTGCATGTTCAACACATTGATTGTACATAATACGAGATGCACGGTATTTTGGAAGTAATAAAGTTTCTTTATTTGAATGTTAAACAATCGTTCTCGGGGAAGTTTGTTTCCAAAAATCCATCATGTAAAGTTAAGGCGAGACAAACTTCACTTTCGGCTTCGGCTTGATAAATATATACGGGCTCCAACTTGTGCCCATCAAATTCAAGGGCCGAGTGCATGCGCCTAAGAGCCTCTCGATGCCATGCAAAGCCGTAACCGGCGCTAGAAGATACACACACAAAGCACAACATCGAAAAGACTTGCTCATACGAGGCACTACATCTCCGTTTCCTGCGAAACTATTTCACTTAAATGAATACCATGCGACTTGTGTCAACAGGTATTCCTAATGGACAAACATCTACTGCCAATTAGTATTGCTGAAGGATATAGTCTTTAAGAGTGTTTGCTCTTTCTAAACTAAACACATCTAAATGGGAAAAATCTCCATTCAACTCTAGGGATCATAGACCGATCGATATAGAAGTAATGATATGATGCATTTTCATGCATCGATTCTTCGACCTTGCCACTTTCTTCCGTGATGTGGATAGCGATGCCCGTGGACGACTAGACGGAGACATGGGAGTCAGCTCTACAGTTGGGCCTCAATGAATCCATGATTATCTGTGGAATGTGTCCACTACCAACTTCCTAGCCCATATCATCGGCAAAACAGGCAACCGTCTGCTCATCCGAAGACACTCAACCTCGCACAGAAGTTTCGACAAAGGATTCAATCCATTGATTTTATCATCCATGCCCCAAAATTGCTATAGTTATATGTTGTGTCAGGAAATATATTTGATCTAGAAAGAGGAATTTCAGCAATCGAGATAAATGACATTGACGTTTGAACCCTAAAACACAATTTCAAGGCAATAAAATGCTAAGTATTCAAACAGGAAAATCAACTAAAGGCAGAGCAATCCTGGTGACAAAGACATAATCAAAATGTTGTGACACCTAACATGTAGCTAAAGGTGTATCATACTGAGGAAACAAACTAATCGAACAAGCCGAAACCCATGTCATCATCGGACTCTTCTGCGGGTTCTTCCTTCTTCTCTTCCTCCTTGGCGGCAGCAGCTGGAGCAGCACCAGAGGCAGCAGCAGCAACTGGAGCCGCAGCGACAGCAAACTTGCTAGGATCCTGAAATCAAAAAACAAATTCTTTAGTTAAATAAGTTCATTAAAAAAACTACAAAACACTAGGGAACATTTAGGACCAAAAACTCTACACTAAAAGAAGTAGTATCACAAACCTTGAGGAACTCCTTCACTTCGTCAGCATGTGGGTACGAATACTCGGTCTCAACAGCAACAGCCAAAACATTCTTGTAGGCATTGATGAACATGTGAGGTGCAGCAGCAAGGGTTGGGTATGAGATGGCAAGCGCGAGAGATGTGACCATAGAGACACCAAGGGCGAACTTCTCCATGAGGTCATCCTCGGTAAGGTCGAGCACCTCAGGGCTGAAGACGGACCCACTGTCGTAAACACTTTGCACAATGAGACCGTACGAGAAGGGCCTTATCCCGAGCTTAGCAAGAAGGGCGGCCTCAGAAGAGCCGACCTTGTCACCCTTCTTGATAAGCTCAACAGGGGTGATAATTTCCACAGTACCCTTGTTAATCTTGGTCGGAATGTTGAGCACCTGAATTTACGATAAGGACAAATAAGCTGCTGCTGCCAGAAGATGAAAAAAAATGTCATTGCCGTGAAAGAAAGGCTCATATTACCTGGAAGAAAGAAGTCTGAGAAGGGTCGAGCCCAGTGTTGCCAGGCGGGACAATGACATCAATTGGAGCAACCAAACCCACACGAGCAGGAGCTCCAACCTGTCAAAGCAGAGTTGATTGCAAGACATTAAAGAGAAAATTCGAGATTAGCCCACAAATTGACATGAACCCAGTATATGAAAAATGGTAAACTCGAACAGATTGTTAGACAGTTAATAGGAAAACTTGAATTTATCCATTCCCTCCCAGTCAGATGTCACCCTAACTATCCAAAATGTTGAGATCAAGTCTCTATTGTCATTTTGTTTTCGAGCCATCAGCTCAAGTCTATTGCTAGACAGGAAAGAGAAACCCTCAATTATAGTCATTCCCAGTCACACACCACTGCAAGTCTACTGAACCCGCAATGCAATTGAGGTTTGATCAATTTGGCTTCTATTAAACAATATGGGCAGCCGCCAGACAGACAAAGTGGAACATTTTGCAATTACACTTGCTACGGCAAATCTTATTCAATCCAGTGATTCCAATAGAAACACTCCATCACCATGAAATAGCTGCGACATAGAAACTAACACAGCAGGAAAGTACGTACTCTTTCGATAGATTATCCAGTTCCCAAATTATGGCACATAACCATGAAGTAACACACTAATTGAAGTAAATTTAACGAGATCAAGAGCATCAGAGAGCCGCACCTTGTACTTGGCAACCTCTTCGCTGACTTCCTTCAAGTCACCCTTGGTGAAAATCAAGCCCACATTTCCCTAATCACAACGAACCATAAAAAAATCAATCCTTTGCACAGTCTAACACAAAACCCATGTTCCTCAACTTCTTCACTCTCATCTCTCTTCCTCATAGAACCTCCCTCTTACTACCCTTCAGAACCATGCCGCATGAATCAGAAGAGACCATTTCAAACGAGAAGCAACATGTACCTGGAGAAGCGGGATGAGGTTCAGGAAGGCATTGTTGCCGGTGTTCTCGGCATGGATCCTGATGGACCTCTTCATCATCGTGTTCTTCCCCATGAGCACGATCGAGTCGCCCCTCAGACCCCTCCTGATGTTCTGGAGCTGGTTCGAGCCGACGTTGTCCGCGGCCACGATCAGGATCTGGCTGTACTCGTCCAGGAGGTTGCACAGCTTCGAGTCGTACGCGATCTTCTTGTCCGCCTTCGATAGTTTCCCCATCACTTCTTATGGAGCTTCCTTCCTAACGTTGATACAAGCCGAAAAGGAACAGAGGGAAAAGGAAATGCGAGACAAAACTGAGGGCCAAGACGAAGCGGGAGGGCTCTGTCAAGGCGGACAGCGACGATCTGCCGTCACTTTAACCTCGGTGGCTATGGAGAATGAGCGGTGGTTTTCGGTGGAGCTCGAAAGTAAACCCTAGCGCTCTGCCGCTCACAGCGTTTGCGAGGGTTTATATACGGGGAGACGAAGGAAGAAGAAGGGGTTGCTGATTCTTGACCTAGATCGGACGGTTCATGTTCTCCCGCTGTTTTGCATCTGACGGCTCTAAAGTGATACGTTGTTTGGGCCGGTCCTGATTTGGGCTTTAATAGGACTCCAAACCCGATCCAAAAAGAGAAAATGACGTAATGGTCCCGAACTGTGATCCAATGTGTAACGTGATCTCTGAACTTTAGCACAAAGTGCAATGTGATCCCTGAACTTTTAATTTGTTCAATATGGTCCTTATACTTTTGGTATATGTACAATTTAGTCCATGAACTAGTACAACATTGAACATTTTCATATAGTTCAGAGACTATATTAAACACGTACCAAAAGTTTAGGGACCACAAAGAACAAATTAAATGTTCAAGGACCACATTACAAATTAAAATTTCAGTTACCGCATTGCATAAAGTTCAGGTATCACATTGCATAGTGCATATTAGACAAAAGTTCATGAACCATTTATGTCACTGTACCATCAGAAAATATATAAATATAAGAACCGCGGTTCGATTTAGCCTAAAAGAGTCTAACCGAACCGGTCCGGCCCACAGAATGCGGACCACACGGATCAATCGAACCGAACCGATCCAAACCGCAAACCGTTTTCCCTCGCCCATACGTGCGCTCCCCGAGGCACCCAGCTCATGTCAGCTGCCCGCAATTTTTCCCCCTGGCGAACACACCAAGCCATGTAGAGATCCGTCCAGATTCCGGCGAAAATCCGATCCACTTCCCATGGCGTCCTCCTCCTACAGGGACCGGACGTCGGAGTTCCGCTCCCTCACCGAAACCCTCCAGAAGATCGGCGGAGCCCCCGCCGCCGTCAATCCGCCGGAGGCCCGCGCCGGCGCGCCGAGCGATGCGTCCCCGGCCTCCGCCAGATCCGAGTTCAACAAGAGAGCCGCTCGGATCGGGCTGGGCATCAGCGAGACCTCGCAGAAGATCGCCAGGCTCGCCAAATGTACGTGGCCGCCTCGCTTGCTTCGGCATCGTTCGCGCCTTTTCTCCCTTTCGTTGCTGCTTCGACCGCGTTTGGGATGTTGTTTCGATCGGTCTTGTGGAAACTTAGATGCTATCCGTGCGATTAATGGACGGTTTTGGATCGCGAGAGGTTCTGTCCATGCCAAATCGTACGTTTCGGTGTTAGTTAGCATTGTTTGTGTGTTGGTGTTGTTTAGGTGTTGTGGTTCTGATCGATTTTGCTGTGAAAGTGGTGTTTATAGCTTGATTGAGATCGATAGAGTTTAGTTGGGAGAGTGAATCGGTAGGTCCTGATCCGCTCCACTGCACAAGATTTCTCAGTTCAAAAGCTACATGATTACTTGGGATGTTACGATATCGAATATATTTCCTGGATGATGATCGATACACATTGTAATTCATGTGACTTGAGATAGATTTATAGTCAAATGGCAAATACCACACTACATCTGTCATAGTTGTTGCTTCTTTTTTGTCTCTATGGATGATGGCGCGTCACTGAAATAAATCTGTCGACATCCCAATCGCAAGCAGTCTGGTATTACCCTCTAATGATTCATGAGCTGGTTACAAGATCCAGTTTATAGATTGCTCGATATTCAGGATTCCCGATGTTGAACAAGCAACTAGGATGTTCTTACTATGCTTTGAAGTGAGAGTGTTGGACCTTTTCTATTTTCTTCTTCTGGTAATGTGTTAGCATCACATCTGCATTTGATGATGCTAATTTAGATGATCTTGCAACTGTAAACATATATATACACTCTATCCGGAGTTCGCAAGAAGATAAAGTCATTTAAGATCAGACTTATGCTGTAATATTCTTGTGATAAATTAATATCATTGTTATGAGTTCCTGATTTTTCTTCTTGTTAGCGGTCAGTTCTGAGTGGAAGTCTTCTGCAACTGTGTTGGTTTTTCCCCCTTTTGGTTGCTGAAATTACTTATTGCAAACTCAGAAGTCGTCATTATAGTGAATCTGGATAAATTTAGAGTTGTGGTGTTTATGCTAAGCGGTGGTTTTGTTCGACGATTTTGTCAAATGCAGTGGCAAAAAGGTCATCTATGTTTGATGACCCCACAGTCGAAATACAACAACTGACTTCATTGATTAAGGATGACATCACAGCACTAAACATCGCCCTTCAAGATTTGCAGACCCTTCAAAATATTGAAATGAGTGGCGGCAACTATTCAGAAGATAGAGCTGTCCATTCAACCACTGTTTGTGATGACCTGAAAAGCAAACTTATGGGAACTACAAAACACCTCCAGGATGTTTTGAAAACAAGAACTCAGGTTCGCTATTAATTTGAGCAGGTCTTCATGTTTAACTTGATGTGGTTCAGCTCTCCTTCCATGTTCTCATACACAGTTTTCTGTATCAGAATATCAAGGCTCATGAAAACCGGAGACAGATGTTCTCTGCCAATGCATCAAGAGAAAACCATTTTAAGCAGCATACTAAGCCTGTGACTGAGCCTCCTCCTTGGTCAAGTGCATCCAATGAATCTGGAAGTCCACCCCAAGCAGCGTGAGTATTTGTTCGGATTCTTTGGAACCTTGGTTGGCTTGACCACATGTAAATGAGATTGTGCAGTAACAATTAACTCTAGCAAGGAGATTAAGTAAGAGCGCGCAATATGCGTAGACGGTGGAACATCAAGGAGATTAAACTTAACTCTTGCAAAGGGATTTATCCATTTTTTATGTCTTGCCCATAAGTTACGTCCCTTGAGAATTTTCTTTTCGATATTCCTAGATTGCATGATGTTTTAATGTCTTGTAAATTATGCAACATACAACACTTGTTGAAAAACTGGTGGCATAGAGGTTGGACTGGTTATGTTTATTAGATTTGCGAAGAATGGAACACTAGATCCTATTATGCAACAGCATTTTAGTTTTTCCTATATTTAGAATCTCTTCAGCATCAATAATTTGTTTTTCCTTGGTACGGTTACTATATATAAGTTGTCAATACTGTGCATCTTTCCCACATTCTTTACATCTGTAAAAATTGCTTCACCATCTAATTATTGGTATTAAATTTTCTCTCTCCATCTATTTGGCCTCACCTCTGCCTCTTCACGACTGCTCAGATTGCCTTCAAATGGATCTCAAGTTGGCAACCAATTGAGGTATGTCTCACATCATCTTACAAGCTAACCTGTGGCTTCGTCAATACTTTCTTCAAAGAAGAGAAAGCAATACTTTTAGCATGGTTCGGTGAAAACACTCTGCAATATTTTATATATTGATTCATTATATAGTAGTTGGCATTATATGATGCCGTGGCTACAATGTAAAACAATGAAACTCTGAAAACGTTTCCGTTGACATTAGTACCTTTTCAAAGTCTTATCCAATCTCCGGCAGGTTGTGTAGTTAGATGCAAACAAATTTCGGAGCATATGCAATGAGAGGAACAGATCTACTGTTAGATGGAATGTAGAAGACTACATGAGAAAACTTTAGGCCAACATTTAAACACAAATTGCTACCCCAGCCCACTCTGCCTTATGGTGAAATATTGAGAGTGCATTGCTCTCTTGATATAATGTAGCCAGTATCGATTTAAAGAGAGCTGGACTTGATTTTTAGCTGTATCAGATGCTACCTGAAGAACTTCATCTTTGAATGGATTGACATTGGATGGTTGGATTGCAGCCCTCCCAACTTCAATCTACTTAGTAATATATATCTTATGCCATATACTCACTGTCAAAAAGACTGCAGAAGGTGGTTTTGCATAGTGAACTAGACTTTGCATCGCTACTTGGTGCGACAAAAGTTCCTTAATTTTCTGCATATGCACCGTGCACACCAGCAGTAAAGTGATGATTACTAGATAATCACGCAATTATTAGTTGTGCCGAGCGAAACTGTTCTCTAACTCTCTCTCTCACTCTCTCTCTCTCTCTCTCTCTCTCTCTCTCTCTCTCTCTCTCTCTCTCTCTCTATATATATATATATATATATTATCTGAACTTTTCATGTTGATTAACAACTTTTTGCTGCTCAGACGGAGATTAGCAGTGGATAATAGTCCATCCGACTCCATGGAGATGTCCATGTTGCAGCAGGTGGTTCCTCAGCAAGAAAACTATTCTCAAAGTCGTGCAACTGCTCTTCACAACGTGGAATCCACAATATCTGAACTAGGCGGCATATTTACGCATTTGGCTTCGATGGTTGCACAGCAAGGCGAAGTGGCTATTAGGTTTGCCCCTTCTCTATAACAATCATACTCTGTATGCTGCCCTAAATCAATACAAAATAGGAAACGAGTAGAAGCCATGAGGGATGATTAATAGTGCATTTTGGAGCTTGTCTTCTTGCAAGTCATTTTGTTGAACTTACAATGTGAACTCTTTCATGATGGTCCCCTTCAACGGTGCAAGCAGGATTGACGACAATATGGAGGAGTCCTTGGTGAATGTAGAAGGAGCTCGCAGCGCTTTGTTGAGGCATCTCAATCAAATATCATCCAATAGGTGGCTCATGATAAAGATATTTGCCATCTTGATATTTTTCCTGATGATTTTCATCTTCTTAATTGCTTGAATGTTGGTATAGAAATGTAAGTCAATGATGTATATATACATGCTCTCACTTTCAGCCATCTACATTGATTCTTTTTCCATAGATACATTACTGTGAGCATCAATTGGAATATCGTGTCAACCGGTTGCTCTAGAAAGCTGGTTCCATTTTATTTCCATTGCATATTAAGACCGAAATTCTATATCAAAGTAAACAGCACCTGTTATTGAAAATCATCGACGACCGATGCGGCTAGCTTTTGTGTCACCGTGTGCAGTTTTCTCATCATCTCGATGGTGTCGGTCTTGTTCATTTTGAGAAACTTACGTTTTAACAGGAGTCGTGGGATCCTTCATACAGTCCTGTAGGGGATGTGAAGGCAGAGACGTTGGCGAAAAGCAAACGGTTTTAGAGAAATAGTTGGTAAAAGGCTTGTACCTAACATATTTTATTTTCGTAAGAAAGCCAAAAGAAGCTTTCGATGATTTCAACGTTTATCCTCGTGAAAAGTTTAATGGGACTCTTCTTATTATGAGCACTACTGCCGTTTCTGGAAAATATTTCTCGAAAGTGTGACATTTTTAGAAAATATTTTCTAGAAAGTCATTTACAATATTTTCCGGTATTTGGCTGAAGTCTGAAAATAAACTAAAAAATATTTTTCGCTGTTTGATATGGAAAATTTAATTTGATTTTCCCCCGTGCACTATTTTTAATAATTTTTTTGTTTGTTTTTTTTCTTTTAAAAAAAATTCAAAATTTTAATTATTGTTAATTTATTTATTTTTCTTTTTCCTTCTTCTTTGGCGATTGGCCACAGGTGAGCTCGAGCTCGAGCTCGAGCTCGCAGGCCTTGGGAGAGGCTCCACCTCGCCGGGCGGGCGAGCTCGACCTCGCTAAAGGTCAGTGAGGTCGAGCCTCGCCACAGGCCAGCAAGGCTGAGGCGAGCTCGCTTGATTCCGGTGAGCTCGAGCCTCACCGGCCACTAATCTATTATGAGTTGATTAGAGGTCAAGGAAAATGTGGTGGGAGCTTATCTTTCTTCCACGAGCCATAATTTGATGGTTTAGGAACTTGATTACCCTAGATATTAACTCTTTTATGGACAAGTTTTCATGCAATCTCTCTCATCGTTTTTCTTATATTTTTCTCAGAACATGTTAATCTAAATTATCATGAAAGGATACTCATATAACAAATCAAAACAATACATTAATCAAATAAAGGACAACGATGTCATCACAAATAAATTGTGGTAAGCAAATCCCGAGCCGTATCGGGCAAAAATTTAACATTTCTTTTCTATTAAGCCTTGGGACAAGATTCCATGAATTATGCATAGTATTAAACGTGCGATAAACCAAGACTAAGGAATGCATATTTTCTAAGCTTGATGATGACAATGAGATATAAAACCAAATAATACAAAACTAAGCTCAAATTAAACTAAACCAAATAATACAAAACTAAGCTCGAATTAAACTAAGTCTTAAGATGCAATTTTTATCTATATGCACTTTCGATTTTTTTTCTTTTTTCATTTATCACTTTTTTTTGTCTTTTTCATTTCCCTTCATGACAAATACGATTTGAAATCTAAACTATACTAAATGCATGCCATGAGAAAAGAAATCAAACACGAAGCTAGAATTTACTTTAAAATGTGATACGAACACTGAAATGACATGCAAACGGTGCGAACACTAAAATGCCATGCAAACGGTGCAAACACGTAAAGGCCACGACGACTCGGGACCGTTCGAGGCCTTTTGAACCAACAACATCACGAACGCCGTCTGTCCAGCACTCACACAAACTGGACAACGGGCACTAAAACTACATCAGACTCATAATCAGTGTTAAAAAAATAAGAAAATCTGCCCAGTGCATCTACGAGCCATGGAGACCTCAGCATATGGAATTCACACACAGAGAGTATAAAACAGAAAAGAATGGTTGGGGTGATTTTCATCTCTCGCATCATTGAAAAGAAAATTGGTTCAAGTGATCGGTTCAATGGTGGACCTAAGTATGGTGATTTCCACCTCTCGTGTCATGCCGTGTTATATAGTGTCGAAGATATGTTCGAACATTAAGTCGACCAAGAAAGATAGTCGTTGTGTACTTTAGAGTAGTGGTCGGACTTGTTTTTTAAGTTGGATTATCTAAATGCATAATTTTTTTTTAAGATCTCATAAATCGAAGGTCGGTTGGAGGAAATTTCTGTTGAAGAGACTGCCAAAACTAAGCTCCTTGAAAATTGAACTTGGTCTATTAGGCTTTTACGTGGAATCAAAATCTCGGGCCCTATTTGGTTAAAGGAAAGTCGTCGGTTTTTCGTTTTCAATTTCCAAGATCAGTGTGTTTGGAAAATATTCTCATAAATTGTTTTCATTTGAATCCAAGGGATTTTTAGGGTGCGCATGGTAATGATTATGTACTCGAAAACTGATTCTGCTTAGAAGTGATTCTTTTTGATTCCGTGCCCGAAAACAATTTTGAAGCATTTGAAGGCGTTTGGTAACTGCCCAAAATTTTTATTCTTAGAAAAGAAAAAGAACAGAAATACATTTGGTAACTATACAATTTTTTTTATTAATAATATTTTGAATTTTTTAATATTTCTTTCTTTTTTTTTTCTTTCTTTTTTCTTTCGTTCCCTTCCCTTCCTTGGCCATTGCCGGTTGCCGGCGCCTGCGACCGACCACAGGCTAGGGCCGGCGAGGGAGTCGCGGCCCTCACCGGTCGCGACGGCGAGGTCGGCATCGCCAGATCTGGGCGAGGTCGAGCCTCGCCCAGCCAAGGCGAGGCCAACCTTGCCATCACAACCCATCTCCCTCGCCTGGGTCACGACGGCGAGGTCGGCCTCACCTTGGCTGGGTGAGGTTCGACTTCGCCCAGATCTGGTGAGGCCGACCTCGCCATCGCGACCTATCTCCCTCGCCTAGGTCGCGATAACGAGATCGGCCTCGCCATGGCTAGGCGAGGCCTCGTTGTCGCGGCTGCGAGCCACTCTCGCCGGCCCTGGCCTGTGGCCGGTTGCCAGCGGCAGGAGAAGAACAACAAACCAATAAGAATCAGAAATGGAAAAATTGCTCCTAGAATCAAGAAGCTACTTTTTTTTGCTTCTTGATTCTGTTCCAAAACTGATTGTGGGAACAATTTTTTGCAAATTTGTGCCTAGGCACAAAAAATTTAACAAACGGATTTCTGTTCCCAAACTGATTCTGGAAACAAAAGAATAGAAATTTTCACTATTTGGCAACTTGCCAAACGGGCCCCTAGCCTGACTTTTTAAAGACTTTAGAAACAACTTATTAGTTGGTCTCAAACCAAAACACGGGGGAGTGGTGGTGGACTCAAGTCAATCGGCCACTAATCTGTCTGCTTTTTGCAAACCACTAATCTGCCCGAGGTTGATTATCAGGATAATAGTTAAAAGATGCCATGTCGTTTTCTTGCAAGGAAGGGTGGGATCCTTGGAAACTGAACGTGGTCTACTAGGCTTACATGGAATCAAAATCTCGGGTCCTGTTTGGTTAAAGAAAAGTCGCCGGTTTTTCATTTTCAATTATCAAGATAAGTGTGTTTAGTAAAAATTCTCAGTTAGTGTTTTCATCTGATCCAGGGGAAGGTGTTTTCTCATTTTTAGCTCGACTCTTTGATAACTTTGGAAAACTTATTAGTTGGTCTCAAACCAAAACACGGGGGGAGTGGTGGTGGACTCAAGTCAATCTGCTACTGATTAGTCTACTTTATGCAAACCTCTAATCTGCCCGAGGTTGATTATCAGGATATTAGTTAAAAGATGCCATGTCATTTTCTTGCAAAGAAGAATGGGATCCTTGAAAACTAAACGTGGTCTACTAGACTTACGTGGAATCAAAATCTCGGGCCATGTTTGGTAATAGAAAAGTCGTCGGTTTTTTGTTTTCGATTTCCAAGATCAGTGTGTTCGGTAAAAGTTCATAAGAATTGTTTTCATTTGAATCCAAGAGAAGGCGTTTTTCTCATTTTTAGTCTGACTTTATGAAAATTTTGGAAACAACTTATCAGTTGGTCTCAAACCAAAGCGCGGGGGAATAGCGGAGGACTCAAAGTCAATTTGCCACTAATCTGTCTACTTTATGCAAACCACTAATCTGCCAGAGGTTGATTATCAGGACATTAGTTAAAAGATGCCATGTCATTTTGTCTCCTTTTTCTTCATGGCCCTTTTACTTTAATGATGATGACCAGAAAGAAGTCTAGCGAAGGGAAGAAAAAATCAACCAAACAGAAAAGGACGCTCAATTTTCCAGATCGTGTTTTACAACCACAAGCAGCCGGTGAGGGTTGCAGCAGAACGCTAAGAGGAATAAATGGCTACCTATTTTGCAGATTAATCATGAATGTAATCAATAAATCTGAGTGCTTAGCACCCGACTTGTCCACTCGCTTTTGCCAAGTCGATGCAGATAAATGACTTTTGAAATCAAAACAAGTGCCTCTCTCTCTGTCTCTCTCAAAATCCTGACCCTCTATAAATCTATTGCCGATTAGGTGGCTAAACCACACCTGAATTGTGATGCATCCTATCACTCATCCCTTCTTAATCTCCCTACACAACAGTTCAGTCCACTACTGCTTTGAGTTATGCAACTCGTGGGCTTTTAGTTCTGCGAACTCACAATTTCGTTCGCTTCATTTTTGCGATTGCCATTGCATCCATCGTGCTTTCCACGAGTCGAGTCTCCCTCGGCGTCAAATTTGAATGACCGATAGCAAATTTGAAATGCCTTTAGTAAGTGAACTACTGGGGACTTTTTAGTCCGATCAACCGTTGGTAAGTGATGAATGAAATGATCATTTTATAATCCTCAATTCCAATAGTAGATTACTCGTTGTTCTTAAATTTTGTAAGCTGTCCCCTTCATTTGTTAATAAGTTACCAACACAATAATTTTACCACCATAAAAAATTATGAATGGACTATTGATGCTTTTAAATTCCCAGTGGAATAATTTCAGTGGCAAATTAATTAGTCTGCTGATAACTTACTACCTTAAAAAGCATATCCATGTATTGTATATATGTCATTAATTTCAATGTTAACTTGTTATTTACACCACTAGATTTATTTTTGAGTGGTAAATGTATAAAACAATTTTAATAATTTATTATTACATGATAGGAGTAAGCCGCCCATCGATCGTAAATTACATGTGAGTACTTGAACAACAAATTACCAGTTGTATGAATTTACCAGTAGGATTTAGATTTTACTAACAGTGTTACCCTATCGTCTATATAACAGAACATTGCATTGTTCCGTCGTTCTCGAGCGGAAACTTAGAAACGTCATCTTCTGTTTAAAACAAGACCAAAATGCTTCATTAAGCCAGGCTAAATAAAGATGAGAGCAACGTATGGAAAATTACATGAGACAAACACAAAATTCGGTGTGAGCAGTATTCTTACTGTTGATGAAAAGTCAATACTTATGTTAATCTGCAGTCTTTGTTCAAAAAATAAGTTTAGAGCATTGGGAAAAATTAAATTGATTTGCGAAGTTCGTGTATTTGTTTGTATGACGGACTTCTATTATTGTTTGAATACGGCTCGCTTGTTTAAATGCCTAATCATAATTCAAGTTGTAGCAGTTGACTGGTGTACCAATTTGGAGTTTTATCACTCTGTTTGTCATATGTTTATCAATTTGTGATAATCCAATTTAACGGATTGTCATATGTGTATCAATTTGGGGTTTTTCGTGATAAAAAATTTAATTTGGGGTAAAATTATCACAAGTGTAACAGTCGGGGTTTTTCGTGATAAAAAATTTAATTTGTGGTAAAATTATCACATGTGTATCAGTTTAGGATTTTTCGTGATATTAACCTTTTCCATTTTTGGATTGCTTTTGCACTTTGCGATAGGATGAGGAGGAATCATTAACATGACATCAAGAGGTTCTCGCTGTCTCTGCTCAAACCCTCAGATAAACCTAAATCGTATGCACTTCAATGAGTGACCCATCTTCACGTTGCCCCCGGGTGGAAGTTCGATCCAGTCAGAATGGCAGTGTCAAAATCAAAATGGAACATAGACATTATGAAAATGCTCATAGGCAAGAGACTCTTGGGTGATACTCCATGTCGAACTTCACCTCTCGAGAGCTGGAATTCAAGCGAATGCACCCTTCTTCCTCCTACCCCGAAGATGGCTCTTTTCTGTGCTAGGACAGGGAATGCAAATCCACACTACTCTACAAAGAAAAATAATAAGTTCTTATAACCTTTTCTATTTGTCTTGAGATGCGCATCTTGTCGATCAGATGGGGAATCATAGATGCAATCATACCGGATTAGCCTCGCTCATTCAGACTATAATTCCATTTAGGGATATTGACCTACATAATCCATGAACTTTGACTCAACGTGTAATGTGGTCCATGAACTTTTAATTTGTTCAATGTTGTGGTCCCTAAATTTTTGGTACATGTTCAATTTAGTCTCCGAACTATATGAAAATGTTGAATGTTATCCTTCAAGTAATTTAAGTTCAAGGACAATATCTAAAGTTTTCATATAATTGAGGAACTAAATTGAACACGTATCAAAAGTCCAGAGACTATATTGGATTAATTGAAAGTTCAGGGACGACATAGCACATTTGGCTGAAGTTCATGGACCTAGTCATGGCCACGGGCCAGTTTCGGCCCGGAATCGGACCGGAACCGGCCCGGTCAAACCCGGGCCCCGCCCATTGACCGGGCTCGCGGTTTGGAACCGGAACCGGGCCCGTAGGGCATGGGCCCGGTTCCGGTTCAAAAAAAAAAAAAAAGAAGAAGCTGCAGATCTGGCGAGGGTTCGACCTCGCCGGCGTCGGGCGAGGCCGGCCTCGCCAGTTGCAGGCGAGGTCGAGCCTCGCCAGATCTGGCGAGGGTTCGACCTTGCCGGCGTCGGGCGAGGCCGGCGTCGGGCAAGGCCCGCCTCGCCGTTGCAGGCGAGGTCGGCCTCGCCCGACGCCGACGAGGTCGAGCCCTCGCTCGATCCGGCAAGGCCGGCCTCGCCCCCCAGCGAGGCCGGCCCTCGCCCGACGCCGGCAAGGGCGGCCTCGCCTGAGGCCGGCGACCTCCGCCGGCGCCGGCTATGGCCGGCGGAGGAAGAAAAGAAAAAAAAAAGAAAAGGAAAAGAAAAAGAAAAAAAACAGAAAAGAAAAATTATGAACCGGCCCGGAACCAGTTCCGAACCGACCGGTTCCGAACCTGAACCGGAACCGGAACCGGCCTGGAACCGTCCGGTTCATACTTGGCCACGAACCGGAATCGCCGGTTCCGAACCGGAACCTGTCGGTTCCTAACCGTGGCCATGACTACATGGACCACACTGAATAAATTAAAAGTTCATAAATCACAATGCAAAATGGACTAAACTTCAGGGATTATTTGTGCCATTGTCCCTTTCATTTACCTCCGAACTTATTGTAAAATAATCAAGAGGGTAATTAAAAAATAAGAAGAAAAAGATCAGGGAGAGAGAGAGAGGGACCTTATTGAGAAGGAGGCCCCTCCATCCACTAATTGCATCGATTTCTCAAATTGCATACGAAAGTATACAATCAAAATCTCACCTTTATAATCATTATGGTAGCTCGCCAAAATTCCAATCCTTAAAATCTCAGAACTCCATGAACATACCTCTATAATCATGGTAATAATCAATTATAGAAGGTAGACTTCTCCTGCTGTTACTTCCATACCTTGCTCTTTGTATAAGCCAAGGACCGAAAAGTTTTCAATGTCAACTTTCTTTCTTACTTGCTTGAACCGTGCTTCTCATAATAACACGTCACTGTAGACATAATACTCAAAATCATGATACAGCTGAAAGTTTCGTAAATATCGCACACCATTTGAACTGAAATTCGTTACTAACATAGAAATAAAGATCTTTGACGATCCTCTCTATTTTTGTGCTCTTAAAACTTCTTTAAATTGTAGGATGCAACCATAGCCGGACGTGACAGTCTAGCAATAGGTGAAAAGAAGAAAGAAGATCAATTCGTGGAATATTTTACTCCGATCTAGATCTGGGCTTCGGAGATTCATCCATTGATTGAATAAGCCAAGAGACTGCAGAGTAACATGCTGAGAAAGGGGCCAAAAAAAAAAATAATCTTCGAGACATTTTCCAAGAACAGAGCATACTACAGAAGTTACGAAAGTCCATGCAACTGTTACCACCCAAAAAAATGAAAGAATACTGAGAGAGAGAGAGAGAGAGAGAGAGAGAGAGAGAGAGAGAGAGAGACAGAGGAAAGAGGAAAGAGGGAGATTTCTTTCCTGCTTCAGTCCTCTTTTTCTCTGGTCCAACAACGACCGACACGTTCCTATATATACAGCAATGCTCATGCTCTTTTGCACGTAAAGGAATCCCCTGTTTTCCCCCTGTTTAGGGTGCTCTTCTTGTCAGATCTCGGGCCTCCGTCTTCAGAACACTTCTCTCGGTTTTTGGGAGTTCGGGATTTCTTGTCAAACACCAAACCTACCTTTTCTGGACTAGAAACAAATTTATTTGCCTCCTATTTTAAATCTTATCCTCCCTGAATTGGAAATTTTGGACGATATACTTCCTCTGTTTTCTTGAGAAAGAGTGGCAAGCCTTTTAAGGGCATTGACTACGTTAGGAGCTGTACACATCTGTCAGACAGAGAGATCATTATGCTACCCATTTAAACATATGTGCGAAGAACAGACCAACGGACGCGTTTGAGTTTTGGGTCTGCTCTCTGTTTCTCTCTCACATGCGCCGGCTCTTTTGAATTTTCTTTTTGACACAGGCTCTTTTGATTACAGGCCTGCATTTTATCTTCTCGTTGGTCTGTGTCATTCACTGGTTTGTTTTTGCGTCTTCAGAGGCTTGATTTGGCCGTGGGACAAAGAGGAGAAAATGTTGTCTCAGAAGCAAGCCGAAGAAGCGATGGTCTCTAGCTTCACCGACGCTGGACAGAGAGACAGAGTTGAAGAAGAAGAAAAGGAGCAAACAGATGACTCCAAGTTTGGCCTCAAAAACCTCCTCTGGCATGGCGGGTCTGCGTATGATGCTTGGTTCAGCTGTGCCTCCAATCAGGTAGACTTAATTCTTGTGCCCAACAACCATTTTCTTGGACATGTGATGACTTCTGCAGTGATCTCGCCTCAAATTGAAGACCTGCCTTTTGTTCACAAGTCAAAAAGTTTGATCAATTTTGATACGACTCTCATCCATTCTGTTTTTCTCGCTTGGGACATTACGCAGGTGGCGCAGGTGCTGTTGACACTGCCCTATTCGTTCTCTCAGCTTGGGATGCTTTCCGGGATAGTTCTGCAGATTTTCTATGGAATCCTGGGGAGCTGGACGGCTTATCTCATCAGTGTGCTCTACGTCGAGTACCGAACCAGGAAAGAGAAAGAGAATCACAGCTTCAAGAACCATGTCATTCAGGTCCATCTCTATTCAAGAATTGCCACGCACCAAACAAAGAGCATGTTTCCTCATTCATCTAATTAAAATCGCTGAACTGGGTGAATCTCGAAATTGATTTGCCTTTGTTTTTTGGTTCAGTGGTTCGAGGTACTGGATGGTTTGCTTGGTACCTACTGGAAAGCCATCGGGCTGGCTTCTAACTGCACTTTCCTCCTCTTTGGATCAGTCATCCAGCTCATAGCCTGCGCAAGGTTGGTCATTTCATTATCAGTTGGCGATTTCTTTTCGCTCAATTGAGACGACAACTAAGTCAATCTGTATGTTTTACTGTCTTTTTCGTTCATATGTATGGTCTTGGGGGTTCATTACATTACAGCAACATATACTATATCAACGACCGGTTGGACAAGAGGACATGGACGTACATATTCGGAGCATGCTGCGCGACCACCGTGTTCATCCCCTCCTTCCGCAACTATCGGATTTGGTCCTTCCTCGGCCTTGGCATGACCACCTACACCGCTTGGTACTTGACCGCCGCGGCCATCGCTCACGGCCAGGTAATTATAGCGTCTCATCTCTCTCTTGCTCTTCTCCGAGCTTCTGAATTCGATCCTCTTTCGGGCCTGTTAAATGAATTTCATTTCTTTGATTTTTGATATAAATACCAATTGAAAAAATGATGCAGGTTGAGGGTGTGATCCACTCTGGACCGACCAAGCTGGTCCTGTATTTCACCGGCGCCACCAATATCCTCTACACTTTTGGCGGACACGCCGTCACCGTGTGAGTTCCTCCTCCGTCTCATGCTCATTCAATGTATGTGTTTGTGCTTGATTTCTTCTAAGTAACTACACAATCACAATTTGAATGTAAGTTCATGTGATTAAACTCAAAAGGAGCAGTACTTGATTGATCATTGATAGTGAATGTAGCAGAATACTTCAATCACTCGGGTTGAATTGTCTTATAAGACCGAATGGCGATGATAATCGTCGACAAGCTTTCCTTTTCTTCATGAAACTAAACGACTAAGTATAAAATCGTAACAGCGAAATAATGGACGCAATGTGGAAGCCGAGAAAGTTCAAGTACATATATCTGCTGGCCACACTGTACGTGTTCACTCTCACGATTCCATCGGCGGCAGCGGTGTACTGGGCCTTTGGCGACCAGCTCTTGACCCATGCCAACGCCTTCTCTCTCCTCCCTCACTCTGGGTGGCGCGATGCTGCTGTCATTTTGATGCTCATCCACCAGGTTCCTGTCTATTATATATTTTCACATACGTACATGTATATATTCGGTATTATAGATGAGTTTCCATTGAATCCTTTGACAAAGATCTTGATGCGTGATTTTGTTGGCATCCCAGTTCATAACATTTGGGTTCGCGTGCACTCCGCTCTACTTTGTGTGGGAGAAGGTGATAGGGATGCACCACACGAAGAGCATATTCTTGAGGGCGCTCGCCCGGCTGCCGGTGGTGATCCCCATCTGGTTCCTGGCCATCATTTTCCCCTTCTTTGGGCCGATCAACTCCGCCGTGGGCGCCCTCTTGGTCAGCTTCACTGTCTACATCATCCCCGCCGCTGCCCACATGGTCACTTACCGGTCGGCCTCTGCCCGGCAGGTCAGTGATGATATGCTACGAATTGTCCTTGCTTAAGGCAGTACAACTACATATATTGCTAATCGAAAGTCCAGTTTTTTTCTTTTATTTGACATGTATCGAATTCGCACATGCAGAACGCCGCCGAGAAGCCCCCATTTTTCCTGCCGAGCTGGACTGGCATGTACGTGGTGAACGCATTCGTGGTGGGTTGGGTCCTGGTGGTCGGGTTCGGGTTCGGAGGATGGGCGAGCATGACCAACTTCGTCAAGCAAGTGGACACGTTTGGGCTCTTTGCTAAATGTTACCAGTGCAAGCCCCCTTCCCCATCACACCATTGACCTCACAATGCAACATGTAATTGGCTTTGCTGATACTAAAACTGGCTGCTGCGAAAATGAAATGGGAATAAATTCTTAAGAGTCCGCAAAAAGCAAGTTGACTTGACCCAGTAATGCAAACTTGCTGGCATCTGAGCTGGTTTATCAGAAATTTCCCCTTTTCTGAATTGCAGCATTGAATTTGATATGTTTGGGGAAATCTCCTTTAATGGAATCCGCTTTCACATGGTTTTACACAGAGGGGAAGATGGAAATTTTGCCATGTGTGGGGAGGCACATGAATACAAAATGATCTTGCAATGTCTGGAATTCTTTCACTTGAAATTGCGGTTTGACTGAACTGGTTCTTCTTCTTCTTCTTCACATGATCACACGCCTCTCCAGTGTCAGTCAAGTTGGATTGTGTGTGTGTGTGTGTGTTTTGATAGTGGTTGACATGTCAAGTTGTAGATTTGTAGTGAAGAAGGTGACTCTGGTTGGTTGGTTTGTAATTTTCCATTCCATTTTGTTTTTTTTTTAATCTTTGTTACGTTTTATCAAATTTTATCAGGAAATATACATTTATTCTCAGATAATAATAATAGAAAAAAATTACAAAAAATCCTTAGCTATACTCGTTATGACACATTTACTCCAAACTTTTTTTGTGACACAAAAAACCTCAAACTCGTGCCAATATGATGCATTGAGAGCGTGACACATCTATTCCAAACTTTCTTTTGTGACATGTCGCACTGATATATGTTTAGGGTTTTTGGTATGATAAAAAATAATTTGGGGTAAATGTGTCACACAGGTATAAGTTTGGGGTTTTTTATATCACAAAAAAAGTTTAAGGTAAATATGTCATAATTGGCATAATTTTGGATTTTTTGTGACTTTTTTCCAATAATTAAATGATTTGGGTAGCAATTGCTTATGAGATGGATGGATCATATTCTTCGGGACTTCTTAAGCAACTAAAAAATATTATGTCTCTTCGTTGAAAAGTTTACAAGCGTAGTTCTCAATTTTACTTTCCATGTTGACACCTTAGCATTTCAAAATATATAATTACCGTCCTTATTATGAATATTGAATTTCAAGTTGCATCTCTACATCGTACTCTTTTTTTCCTTTTAATTTTATCTTGTACATGTCGACCTTTTGTATGCCGGAGTTTTATTGCGAGTAAGTGAAAATGAACAAGTCCAAAAGCTAAAATAAGGAGAAATTAACAAATACAAATTTTCGCACGAGACAAGAATTTCAGCCGTTGAAATAAAATCATTGGCGCAAAATATAGCATTGTTGTAATATCCAATATGTACGTGCATATCTTAATTTCTCGGCTTCACTTGTCGAAACACTTATTTTTCCCTTTCAATTCAGGTCTGTTTAGTCAAAAGTGAAAATTTTCTTTTCCCTTAACAGCATAGAACATATTCAAATATAAAAAAATAACGACAAAAATTATATGCGAATTGATGTATTAATATTTGTAAATGATGAAAATTTCAGGATTTTTCACTAATAAAAAAATGAAAATGTATTTTTCGTATAATTTAAATAAGATAAGAAATAAAAATTTAAACTGATTGTTTATTCGAGCGGGCTTCAAATGTTAAAATAAGGGACAATTATTCAAATGGTCTATGAAATTTGCCTTAACGTATGTGTTAAATGTGGTCCCTAAACTTTAACCAATATTCAATGTGATCCCTAAACTTTTAATTTGTTCAATACGATGTTTGAACTTTTAATAAATGCTCAATCAAGTACCTGAATTATAATATCCCTGAATTCAATCCAGTCCCTGAATTATTTAATCAGGGATTAAATTGAATATGTATCAAAAAGTTCAAGGACCACATTGAATAAATTATAAATTCAATGATCATATTATTTATTAAGTTAAAATTCATGGATCACGTTGAATAAATTAAATGTTCATGTATCACGTCACTTTGAGGCAAAGTTGAGGGCAAAGTTAAGGGATTATTTTAGTCATTTTTTCATAAAATAATTGAGAAAGAAGAAAATGAAAAAGGTGGCTGCAAACTTGCATTCTCTCTCTCTCTATCTCTCTTCCACTTTTTCCATTTCGACCGCCTTGCGTATTTTCCCGTGTGTTTTCCGGGAAAATTTTCACGGGGAGGGACTCCATTGGAGAGATGCCTCGCGGACGCTCAAGACAGGTCTCTCCTCCTCCCTTTTTTCCCGCATTTTCTCACCCTTTCTCTCTCTCTCTCTCTCTATCTCTTCCGGGCCTTCTCGCTTTCCGCCGGGTCATCGCCGATTCGATCTTCCGTGCTCCTTCGTCGCGCTTCCCCGGTCTCTTCTCCCGGGACCCACCATTTTCTTTTCCTCCTTTCTCTCTCAAGACGATCCTTTTACGACGTCGAGCTTCGTCGAGCTTCGCACGGGCTCTGTCTTGCCGTCGAAGGAACCGGCGTTCCGCGTCCAACTTGTTGCTAAACAAGCTTTCGTCTCCCATTGGGTCGTTCGCGTATTTAATGTTGTTAATGGGTTTTTTTTTTTATTCTTTTTTTTCGGTTCGTTTGGCTTTCGTCGCTTACGATGATGCTTATTCGCAGAAGCAGAGAAATGCACGAAACACGCGGATGGACGCAGCCCTCGACGCCATGCGTCAGTACGGCTTTCCGGAGAGGATGGTTCGCGAGACTGTTCGGGAGCTACTCAAAGTTGGTTTCCTCTCTTTTTCTTTTATCTTTTTTGGCTTGTCCTCCTACATCGTCTTCCTCGGTTTTATGTATGACGTGAATGACGAACCATGTTGGTGGGCTTGTGTTCTGATCTACGTCCTGGCTTCTTGTACCTGTTCTGACGACAACTTGTTCTTACTTTTTTCCTTTTCGTCCTACCAGGTTTATACAGGGGAATGGCACTTCATTGAGGTTGATGCGTATATGGCGCTCATCGAAGCTCTTCTGGAGAAGCAGAATCAATGGGAGACTAAGGAGGTCAGTTTACCTTTTGGCCTTGAAAAGCTTAATATTCTCTTTTTTCTCTATAATCTGGCGTTCCCGTTTTGCCTTTCTGTCTACTTTTGTTCGAGCTCTCGTGGAAAACTACTAGTTTGCCTAGAAGTCGCTCCTTTGCTGAATGGACTGGAGATGGAACGGTGAAAATGATGTGAAGATAGTTTTCGAATTGCATCTCGGGTCTGTGCCGATGGGCTAAAAGGTTTTCCAATTTGCCAAGACTATTATATAAATGTTTTGCTGTTGTCGGGGTCTGGTGCAAAGAAATGTGTCTTTCATCTCATATTGATTTCCTTGGAAAGATAATTGTGGATTTAAGTTGAACTGTTACAATAGCGAAAATTAGTTAGGAAGTTTGTAGAGGGCATTGGGCCATATTACCCACAAACTTCAATATGTCGGAGGCCTAACTTTTGCTGAACAAGAATTCGATAGTAAATAATAGTCTAGGAATTGTTTTGGCGAATAATAGGATTGTGCACGACTGCTGTTTCAAAATGCCTCAGAAGATGAATTTTATAACTAAAAGGAGCAATCAGTATTGATTCAAGACTTTGATGATGCCTTGTTTGTTGTCTTAATCCATCGTTGAGATAATTCTCTTGAGACTGTAGGAGCTAAGATTCTGGAGGGTGATTGATGAGTATGTGATTCTTGTGCCTGCAATGGATGATATGATAGTCTGAGGACCATAATTTCTAGACCCTTATAACATCTTTCTTGTATGTACCGATAAAAGAAATAAATAAATAGCTCTGATGAGCAAACTCGTTAAAAACTGATTACTCTGCAGAAGTGAAGTGATACTCGGTAGGCTTCTTTGCGATTTTAACTGAGTGTAGCATATTTATATGGTACTTGGCACGCAAGGGGAACAAAAAGAATTTGTAGTCCTAGATTTTTATTGATTGGAAATGTGATGCGGTAAGATAGGAATCTGAATTCTTTGCAAATTACATCACTAATGTGTGTGCATGTGCAAAAAGATTTTTCTAGTATTCCTTTGAGATACAGTTACCCTTATTGGACATAACTTTACAAATGGAAACTGTTTCATCCCTGAAATTGTTGGGAGTGTCATTTTCAATCAAACTATTCTGCAGCTATAGAAGAACAAAATTTTCTTGCTGGTTCCATTTGCCTTCAGTTTCGGCATTCCATCAAATTCTTCTGTTTCTCTTCTACTTGGAGTCTCTAATTAAACATACATTGTTTGTGCTAAAAGAGTTGATTAGCAACAGAAACATAGATGTCCATGCAAAGGATGTACAATGTTTTCTTTTCAATCGAGCACACTGCTAACACTTGTTCCACTTCCTTTTCTTTTTTGAAGGTCGAAGCTTCAACAAGCAGTAGAAAAGATGGAGACACCTCCACAATGCTAGTAGTTGGGCCCTCTAGTGGAGTAGTGTCGTCTGAACATGAAGCTGAAGCTGCTATGAGTGATACTGAGGCCACTGAAGCTTTTTCACAAGTGGATGAGGCTCTCCCGCTAACTTCTGCTGTGCCGACTCTTCAAAGTGGTAGCTCTCTTTTCCTTTCTTTTCCGGAGGCTTGGGTTTTTCTGGAATTCCATTGCATGGTACCCTTAGTTTGCTAGATTTTGAGTGATTTCTTCTGCTTTGATCTGGATGAAACTTGATCTTGTATATGCCACATAAGAGGATCTACATAAAAATCTTGTTGTTCTCTGTGACGTAGGAAGTTGAATATAGTCTCTGTATTCAGTGTGCTTGGAGATAAAAATTTAGCTACTGAAGCAATGTTTTCCATTCTCCTAAGAGTTAAAAATGCAGCGGGTTTCGGTGGAGTGGATCAGATTTAGGAATGTTCTTGGAGGTAAAGCTACACGGTCAGATTTTCGCTTGCCTAAAATGAGGACGCTTAAGCGCTAAAAATTTAGTGAACTGGAATTTAGCATGTATCATGAATTTCTTGTAGGCGCTGATTACTAGAGCTGGTTTTCTTTTGGTTGCATGGGTTCTTGCCTACAAACTTAGAAGGCAGAGTTTATGGGTTGTCAAAATGCCTACATCAATTTTCTTGGCGAAAAATCTATTTACATAGAGATAAATGCAGGCCTTGTGTTTGGCATGACTATGAGCTGGGGAAGGAACTGGATACTCATTTGCGGTTTGATATGCGGCACCCACTTTGCCCTCTTGTTGACTGTGTGCCTCTCGAATTTATTAACTGCTTTATTACCTCTGCCAAGCCAAAGTTTCTAATGCAATTTGTGGTATTGAATGGCTATGGCCTCCCGCTCGATGTGATCAAATGTCAGATGTCCAAGCTGCTGTTTGTGGGATTTTATTCTAAAATCTCTTGATAGAATCATTTGGATTAAAGTTTCTAATGCTAAATTCTTAATTAGTAGTGCTTTGTAGGCAGTCATCGCAAAGTACTTTGGCAGAAGCTAATTTGGTTGAATATGCTTGTATTCGGGAGAATTTTTCTAATGCTTGGGTATAAGTTCCCAATCGTCCTTCAACTAAAGGATTGATTAGTAAGACAGCTTCCTTTATTTATGCACTAATTGTTCTCTCTGTGGAGATGATAGAGATGGGTTGGACCGAATCTTACTCAATGTTCAGTCGCTGCTGCTATCTGGCCTAATACTTTCAATGTTCATCGAGCTGTTGAAACGTGGAATTATAAGGTAGGTTGGGCTATCAGGAATTGCAAATGAAAGACGCTACAGGCTTGGGTTTACAAGCCGACATCAGTGTGGCTACTTGTGTCTTGTGTGGAGGGCTCAACATGTTCAGTTTAATGCTCCTAACGTTGCTGTAACTGTTGATAGAGTGTCTTCAAGCAAATCAGGAATGATGTTTGACGTAATCCTTTAGCTGCTGACATTAAATTTCACACTTCTTTTACATTTCTATTTCTTTTTCTACGATGCCAGATTGTCCTCCAGGATTTGAAGGATACAGAAGAGGCTGCGAAGACGTCAGGCGCGATCATGACTCTAACGGTGTTCACCTAAGGAGCCGTAGATGCTACCACGGTTGGATTGGCGGCGAAGAAGAGGCGGAGATAATGCAACTAACACCGCCCTTGCTGCCCGAATACTTAACAGAATTCATCAGCAGGATGGAGAAGCAAAGGCCGCAGGGCCAGCGCAAGAGAAGGTGGGATGTGAGGCCGGAGGATTTGTAGTCCTCTCCCTCTCTCTGTCTGTATCTGTCTGTCTCTCTCTGGACAGAACATCCATACATGGAGAGGAGAGTAGCTATGGTCACGAATTGGTACAGGTCAAATTCTCTTGATACTTCACTATATGTGTATGCAGAAAGAAATGAGAGGATCAAATCCCTCTTGCTCATAGAATTTCGCGATAGCAATTCTGTAATCGAGTTACTAACTTTATCGGTAAGTGCCGGAGCCATAACTGAACCACCCCGTATCATTTTCATTACAAAGTTTGCACATATCAGATGTTGGAAAGCAACCTGGTAATCCAGTAATGGTAAATATTGAACAGGTATTCTCCAGGTTCCCCATCTTCAGCATAACAGCTCTGTGGCGTGTAGGAAGCGAAGAGGCTACTTTGGCTGTTGAAATTGAGCACAGTAAGCTCTGACCGTGTACCTAAAGTGGAGCACTGGTTTGTACTTACGGAACTTGCGGTCCACGTTGAAACGAAGATATCGAGTAATTACAAAACGTCACGTTATCATTTGACATAATTCAAACGTTTTTTTTTTGCGACCACCGTCCTATTTGAATCCACTTAAAAAAACAGGGATTGAATGCAGATCGTGTCGTGGGGATGATCATACGAGTCCGACGTGAATTGACCGTTCATATCAATCTGTCTAGGCCCAAAAAGGAACTATTTTCACACTTTTTCAATTTTTTTGGTTAAAATTTCTTGGTAGGGTACGAGCATGGCTTTTCAAAATGTGCTTAGAGTGGGATTCTTGAACTTTCAATCACGTGCTGCACACCACCAACGCGATTCCGCACCGGATTTTGGTGGCAGGGCTCTTTCGTTTCCTTTCTGCATCATAGTACGCCCTCACATCAAACTTTCAATCGTCCCAGGCGATGCAATTATTTGTATCACGTAACATCGCTCAAGCTCGGCACCCACGTTCGCACATGTCGCGGCCTTACACTTTTACGATATCACAAACATCTCTATTGAAGAGGAAACGATAAGAAACGACTACAACCGAGCGATAAGACATTCCGATTTACTCGGACGGTCTATTATATGGAAGTTATAATCTCGTCCTTAATTACAACACAATCCCTTCGAGCCGACATGACTGGGCAACATGTTAAATGATGATCGCGCGATGGTTAGTCCATCCAGTACGGTGACGGATCGCCCTCTAAGACATAAAATTTGGAAAAAGTGTAAAAAAGTCATAAACTTTTTGCATTGCTGCCAATTTAGTTTTAAACTTTTTTTTGTGCCAATTCAGTTCTAAACCTTTTGCATTTGTGCCAATTCAGTCATAAAGCTTTTTTTGTGCCAATTCAGTCCTAAATCTTTTACATTGGTGTCAATTCAGTCCTAAACCTTTTACATTGGTGCCAATTTAGTCTTAAACCTTTTTTTGGTGCCAATTCAGTCATAAACCTTTTGCATTGGTGCCGATTCAGTCCTTCAACACTTGAATAGCTATTAACCGGAAGGACTGAATTGACATCAATGCAAAAGGTTTAGGACTGAATTGGAACAAATGTAAAAGGTTTAGGATTGAATTGGCACCAAAAAAAGGTTTAAGACTAAATTGACACAAATGCAAAGGTTTATGACTTTTTTTGACACTTTTCTCCATAAAATTCCATAATGGTACTGAGTTTAACTGCGCATGTAATTTAAGATGTAGATTTCATACGAGGCTGAAACACCGATAACCTTCTCCAATTAAGGGAGGTTGGTGAACATTACGAGATCGGTACATACTTAGAAGATGGGATCAGGGGCAATGATATTAAATGGAAAGATCGGATACTTTCCTAAATTCTAAGCTATCTGCCCAAAGACATCAACTTAATTATTACCAAAAAGGGTAAAATGAGGAAAACTCATAAGGCGAAAAGTAAAAAAGGGCAGTTCATTTTCCATTTAAAGGCGGTCTGCCTCAGCCATTCAGTTGTCTTCATAAGCGCGCCATTTGTTGTCCATCACTCGTACACTCTCTGCAGCTCGGACCACCCTCTCTCTGTCTCTCTCTGACTCTCTCTCTCTCCCGAGCAGCGACCGGAAAAAAGCTCGGAACCGGCGACCGCCGCCCACCGGACCCCGGCTACCGGCGCCCCCCGCTCCCCGCACCGCAATGCAAACCCTAGCGTACTCCCGGAGCCTGGTCCCGGCGAGCCGCCGGCTGTCCCCGGCGCCGGCCCCCGGCGCGCGCGGCCGCGGCTGGGGCTCGTGCTCGACGCCGGGCTTCCGCACGTTCAAGTGCCTGTCTATTTCGAGTCCTCCGTTAGGTGACGTTATTACGGTCCTTCGCCATTTGCTTTCGGTTTTCGTTTCGATGCTTGAGGGGAGGAATCGAGATGAAGTTTCGCGGGTTTGGACGATTCGTTCTGCTCTGATTAGGACTGACCGGCGAGTTGATCCCGTAGCGGAGGAACGATATCCCGGATATGCTGGATGGATGTGATTATCCACATTCGGCGAACATGCATTTGCTATGAACTTCGACATCGGCATTTGTCGTTAGAGCTAGCTCCTTTTTGATGTTGTAGCTGTCTTGATTGAGTTACGAGTGAATGTTCGAAACTACATAGGTTGAGCGGACTAGAATTGATGCCTGCGTTTTGAATTTGTGTAATCTTCTGAGTCCTAGTAGAGCAGAAGTTAATTGGCATCTATCTTGAGATTTTTCTTGTGGTTGGATTCTCCAGCTGATGATGCGGTGAAGTTTAAGGAAGCTTCCAAAGACGGAAATCTTATTCCTCTTCATCGGTGCATCTTCTCGGACCAGCTTACTCCGGTCATTGCGTATAGGTGTTTGGTTAAGGAAGATGATCGGGAGGCGCCGAGCTTTCTCTACGAGTCGGTTGAGCCTGGCTTTCGGAGTTCAACTGTGGTAAGAGCAGTTCATTGCACATCTTTCCTTGAACATGTCCGTGTTACAACACAGTCCCTGTTGACCACTGTTCATCTGTTATTTAATTAGGGACGGTATAGCGTTGTTGGAGCCCAGCCAGCGATCGAAATTGTTGCTAAAGAAAATAAGGTAACCATTGTCGACCATGAAAGGGGGCATCTCACCGAGGAGTTGGTAGATGATCCAATGACGATTCCCAGGAGAATCTCTGAAACATGGAAACCTCAACTCATTGATGACCTTCCGGATGCATTTTGTGGTAAGATGACATCACTACAGCATTGAATATGGCACAGTGAAAACCGCTCTGCTCGCTTTAAGCTCGGTTTTACTTAAAACGGGCGAATAGTATCGTGTTTGAGCCGTAGTGAAGCATATTGGCGTGATTTGTGATCATCATATTTCATGATGATATCCGTATCTAATTACGTAATTTGCTTGAATTTGTGCTGATTGAGGTGATCCATGTTAGGTGGCTGGGTTGGTTATTTTTCGTATGATACTGTTCGCTACGTGGAGAAGAAAAAGCTGGCATTCTCCTCGGCGCCACAAGATGATAGAAACTTAGCTGACATTCACCTGGGCCTCTATGATGATGTCATTGTGTTTGATCATGTAGAGAAGGTATCATTAAATTTGTCTCTTACTTCAGTTGGCTGTTCATTACGGTGAAATACTTCTTTTTTTTTTTTTTGGTCGAAAAGTGAAATACTTCTTAAGAAGCACAAAATTTCATAGTGCTGAAATGATGCTTTGACATAATGCAACTGTTGCTTTGGTGTACTAGTCCATCCTGTTCATCAGACTTTTGATTGCCGCAAACATTTCACTACTCATGACTCAATGGTTCTTTCCTTCGACTAATTTAGAATTTAGAGTTCAAGTACTAGCTTATTCCTTAGTGATCCGTGATTAATTGGGAAGGAAGTGAAATAGTGGATGCATGCTTCTTAGAAAGGCCATAAAGAAGAAAGACAAGTAGTCACTAAGTCGCAAACATCGAGTTTCTTTTTCCTGTTGCCTTATTGTATCCAACTGGGCAGTAAAGGAATTGTTACTTCCAGTTCCCAATTAGGTTCCGTTATGCTAGAAATAACGTAGTCTCTTGAATGTTTCTCAGTGTACTTTCAGTGTGACAAGGGCTCTAATTTTGTTTATCTTAGAAAGCATATGCAATTCACTGGGTTCGGCTTGATCAACACTCTTCAGTTGAGAATGCTTACAATGATGGCATGAGACGTTTGGAGTTGTTGGTGAGCAGAGTTCAGGATATCACCCCGTAAGTCACTTTACCCTGTTTATACCAACCTGGTGGTTTTCATGAAAATCAGCATCTTTTAATATGATTGTCAAATGTCAGGCCTAGGCTATCTCCAGGTTCTGTGGATTTAAACACTAACCATTTCGGTCCTGCTTTAAACAAGTCAAACATGACTAGCGAAGCATATAAGGAGGCAGTGCTCCAGGCAAAAGAACACATTCTAGCTGGAGATATTTTCCAAATTGTACTAAGTCAACGTTTTGAACGCCGCACATTTGCGGACCCATTCGAAGTGTACAGGGCACTGAGAGTTGTGAATCCAAGTCCATATATGACGTATTTGCAAGTGCGTGTTTCCGGTAAATTATTTCATCTACAGTTAGTCTCCATTCTGCTTTCCTAATTGTCTGTGGTTGATTTACTGTTTTTTTTATACCAGGCTAGAGGGTGTATTATGGTTGCCTCAAGTCCTGAAATTCTTACTCGCGTAAAACAGGTGAAGTCCTTTTAGTTTCATTTGGGATCGCCAATTAAGATGGTTTGATTTTTGACTGGTCCTGCAATATTTTCCTGCCTTTTTTGGCATAGACTTATTGAATCTACTCTTCCTTTGATCTTAGTTTTAAGGGTATATTTTGTTCTTATGTGGAAACTTTTTATGGAAATGTGCAGAAGAAGGTTGTGAATCGCCCCTTAGCTGGAACTGTGAGAAGAGGAAAGACGCCTGAAGAAGATGAGATCTTAAAAGTCCAGCTGCTAAATGATGCAAAGCAACGGGCAGAACACATCATGCTGGTTGATTTGGGCCGAAATGACGTTGGCAAGGTCCGTACTTATATCTGAGATGCGGCGCTACTAGTACTATAATTATGTGGAGACTTGTGTTCTCACTGTTACTGAATTTCGTTTTTTGGTTGGACACTGTTACTGAATTGGCAGAACCATTTTACTTGCTCAACCTATTGTTCTGCATGTTCCAATTTTCTTCCAGTTTTTCCATTCTCTGTGAGGTTGACAAGAGAAAACCGGATATATGAATCTACTGGTGGATGGTAATATGTCAACGTCAATTGGCATGGTCTTTGTCAACATTTTCTCCTTATACCAGTACCGTTAATGTGTTCTCACTCTTCGGAATTCTTTTATAAATGGCGCCCGCGCCCCCCAAAAAAAAATAAAAAAAATTGAACTCACACTCATGTGCGTATGTAGTTAGTTTATTTGTGGGAATAAGGACTTCTGTTCCATTTTAATTTCGCTAGGAGATCACTCCTTTCCCTTAGGTTAAAGGCATTTTTTGGCTAATATAGGCACAATGTAGTTCCTACAAATTTCAGGCTAGAAAACGTTTGCAGCATCAGTTTCCAATTCTTTTAGCCCAAATAGATAATGTTCATCTGATGCCCGGTTTTCTTTTTCTGTTTTCCTGGCGCAGGTTTCAAAATATGGTTCAGTGAAGGTGGAAAGGCTAATGGATGTGGAACGGTACTCTCATGTAATGCATATCAGCTCCACGGTGAGTATCCACAGTTATGCTTGAGCGTGTTATCCAGAACACTCAAAAAGGGACTATGCAAGTAGATGATGATGGAAATAGCCGTGCATCATTATGAGGCAATGCATTCATTATCACGGAGAATCTAGACCTTTGGAATTGAGTGGAACTCGTGCTTGTGTCCTAATATGTCTTGACCAGAGTAGCATATCCTTCATGGCATATGCCCTCAGCTTGATACAATTGTCACAACCTTCTAAAATGACGGTGCATGCTACCCATAGTAAGTCTGTCGATCTATGTATTCTTTGTTTCTTGAATCCAAGGAAACAAGCATGAATACACAAATCTCAGCTTGCCGACTCCAAAACATTTACGGTCATAATTATTATGCAAAAGGATAAATGCTTATTCAAGACATGCAGGCTTATGGTCCACTAGTTCTGCTTTGTAAATTGCTCAGCATGTCAATGTTGGAAGTTGAGCTGTCAATCATGAAACTTTTCTGATTTCCTTAGTGTTCTCGATCTTTCAACACTGCAGCACTTGAATCTGGTGTACGATCACCAAGAATATTTGTTTCTAAATTTGCCACGTTGAATTAGTATGACTTACTTGAGCAAGTCATAATGACAGTTTTCGAGCGTTAACAATTCTGTACCATTCTTAGCCTACCTTGTTGGTTTATCCAGTCATATCATCTGCATAGTGATAGCAAAACTATAGGTGCCCCTTTAAACAGCACAACATTTTGATATTGCAGGTGACAGGTGAATTAGATGATCAGCTCACTTGTTGGGATGCCTTACAATCTGCGTTACCTGTTGGAACTGTCAGTGGAGCACCCAAGGTTGTGAAGAGAACTCTCTCTCTCTCTCTCTCTCTCTCTCCCTGTTCTGATCAAACATAGCTTCCCTGATGTAGGTGAAGGCAATGGAACTGATCGATCAGTTGGAGGTAACACGGCGCGGGCCATACAGCGGCGGATTCGGGGGCATCTCCTTTTTGGGAGACATGGACATCGCACTTGCTCTCAGGACGATCGTGTTCCCGACAGGAATGCGTTACGACACCATGTATTCGTACAAGGATGCCAACAAGAGGAGGGAATGGATTGCTTACCTCCAAGCCGGCGCCGGCATCGTCGCCGACAGTCACCCCGACGACGAGCACCAGGAGTGCCAGAACAAAGCCGCCGGCCTCGCCCGGGCCATCGACTTGGCCGAATCCGCCTTCGTCAACAAATGACATGATCTTCCCGAAGAAAAATCGCAGTGCCGGTGTTTGCTTGTTTGGCCTCCGGACATAGGCGGAGCTTAGATCGGACTTTGATGTAGTAGTTTGGCAATTCAACATCTGCGCAATAAGGAAACATTCTTCTTCTGTTCCTATTTTAAATGGAGTGCGAGGGTGATCGAGATCGACGATACTGATCATCACGAGAAAAATTAACAGTCAACGCTTAAAAGGAAGATGCCCGCAGAAAAAAAAAAAAAAAAAAAAAGAACGGCAAAGAATTTAATTATTTAATATGTCTTGCGTCAATCCCACGGCATTTCATTCAGCGGCCTAAACCAAGAAGACGACTCATTCCCCCGACCAGATCCGACCCGATCAGTCCCCCGAGCTCTCCCGATGGCGAGCCTGTGGCGGGCCGCGACGGGCTTCGCGGCGAAGCCCGAGGCCGACTACGACGGCGTCGAGTTCTGGTCCGAGCCGGAGCGCGCGGGTTGGCTCATGAAGCAAGGGGAGTACATCAAGACGTGGCGCCGGCGCTGGTTCGTCCTCAAGCAGGGCAGGCTCTTCTGGTTCAAGGACTCCGGCGTCACCCGCGCCTCCCGCCCCCGCGGCGTCGTCCCCGTGGCCTCCTGCCTCACCGTGAAGGGGGCGGAGGACATCCTCAACAAGCAGTACGCCTTCGAGCTGTCCACCCGGAGCGACACCATGTACTTCATCGCCGACTCCGAGAAGGAGAAGGAGGACTGGATCAACTCGATCGGGCGGTCCATCGTCCAGCACTCGCGGTCCGTCACCGATTCCGAGATCGTCGACTACGACAGCAAGCGATGAGGGCGGGCGATCGAGGTTAATTTTGGTAATTTCCCCCGTTTCCGTCAGATGCTTGTGCCTTGAAAAACTGTTACTTCTATCGCCCGATCGTCGATTGCGACCGCAACGGGCAGTGGAGCTTTGTGCGAGCGAGATCAATTTCGCTATAACTTGCGTTAATCTGGTACTTGTACATTGGGAATGGTTGTTTTTAGTGATTTGTGAGGTATGGCCTGATGTCTTTCGATTTGGTGGATGGTTCATGTTCATTTGTTCATCAGTATCAAGTGCTGTCCAGGGTCTGATCTATGTAATGACACGACATTTCTGGGTTTGTGCTAAACAGATCTACAAGAGTAGTAGTTCAAGCAGTTTGGTCTCCTATTCTGATGCAGAATGGAAGCTGACGACTTGCGTCTTAAAAAAGACCTCTATCCGATAGTTATATGTATCGCGAGTACATATGGTAGTCTATTTTGAGCAGCCTTATTCATCATCTTCATAACACGCACGTTTCGCTGAGTTGGACTGGAAACCAAATCGTGGTCAATCGGCAATAAACATGCGCGAATTCATTCTCATTCGAGAAGCAAAACATAGTGTTGTCTAATTATGGCTGAAAGAGGACCAGGAGTTCCTTCCATATGAGTTCGACTATACTTTGCTAATAAGCTTCGGATCTGTTGGAGCTCCAAGGTCAATAGCTTCTTTTGCTGCGGACGTAGCAGCTCCGCGACATTACTCCTATCAATGCACTCCTCCGGCATCCTGCAGAGGGGAATAACGGCTGTATAAAATGCAGAAACCAGGTATCCCTCAATTCTTGAAACCTGGGAAAAAATGTAAATTGAAGTACAAATTGGGGGAATTTGGTTAGGAGCCAAATTTTTTTTAGTAAACTATAAAGCCCTATATAAGCATGACTGTTTTAGTGCAAGTGCGGAGGTACGTGTAAAATGTAACATATGAGGTTCTTAGTGAGCTGTTTCAATGGCCTGTGATGGTGATAATTTCTTCATGTGGTCTTCAGTGCATTTGGTTCTGAATGTTGAAGCCTTTACCTCTATCTTCACATTACTAGAAAATTGAATTTCTTCCTCCCATGTATATCTGGGAATACGTATTGCCTTTTCCTGTCTAGACTGAAAAGGAATTTATTTCAGTCCCTGTGCTTGAGTGTACAGGCACACTCCTGTTTTGCTCGACTATGCTTTAAGTCGTTCGTTTCGGTCTGCCAAGGTTTTAACTTTTAGAGAAGTCATTGCTTTTGCATATTAACTATCCTTGTAAATCAGCTGCCAATGTTTTAACTTTTAGAGAAGACATTGCTTTTGCATATTACCTATCCTTGTAAACCAGCTGCATGGAGTCTGTCCCAAATCAAACATATAGTTGAGTTCCAGCTTCTCTGATGCTTATTATCTCTCTGGGTACTCCAACTGAGCAGGCAATTCCAATTCCAGAGACCATTACCAGCCAGTCTTGAACTGTGTTGTCTCTGCTATGGCCTGCACTGCTCTCTTTCCTGAAGTAGAATGGGATCAGTAATTTCTGGAACTCGTGCGGGCAAAGTTTCCTCAACAAAATTGCAGAGGTACATATTCTCTTTGAAGATCTCATCAGTGGGACTGATTCTGGTGAACGTTTCTAACAAGAGCATGCCATAACTAAAGACATCGTCTTCTCTAGAAACCACACTTCTCGTGCCATATTGCACGTCACTCAAAATTTCAAAATAGTGATGACAGAACCGTAAACGATTGAGCTAAAAGAAAATGGTGTCCACTCTATCATTATGAGTGTAAGATTCTTTTGAGAGGATACGTTTCATTTTTTGGGGAAAATTTCATTTTGGTACCCAAAGTGAGGCCTTTTTCTCAATTTGGTACCCAAAGTGGACATAGTCCCAAATTGGTACCCAAAGTGCCCATTCAGTCTCAATTTGGTACCCAAAGTGCCCATTCAGTCTCAATTTGGTACCCAAAGTGAACATAGTCCCAAATTGATACCCAAAGTGCCCATTTAGTCTCAATTTGGTACCCAAAGTGCCCATTCAGTCTCAATTTGGTACTGAGTTCGCGGCCGGTCAAATGCTCTTGGCCGGCAAAGAAATTTTTCTCGCACGGAACAGTATTTTTACTTTTTATTTTTATTTTTTCCCTTTTTCTGTTTTTTTTCTTTTCCTTTTCCTTTTCTTTTTTGTTTCCTTCTTCCCTCCGCCGGCCACAGCCATGGCCGGTGGAGGTCGCCGGCGTCGGCCCTCGCCGGCGTCGGGCGAGGGCGAGGGCCACCCTCGCTTGGGTCGGCCCTCGCCCAGACGAGCGAGGCCGGCCTCGCCGACGCCGGCGAGGGTGACCCTCGCCCTCGACGGAGCTCCGGCGAGGGTCACCCTCTCCGGCGTTGGGCGAGGGCGGCCCTCGCTGCGTCGGGCGAGGCCACCCTCGCCTGGGCGGGCGAGGGCCGACCCTACCCAGATCCGGCGAGGGCGAGGGTTGCCCTCGCCGGATCTGGCGAGGGTCACCCTCGCCGGCGCCGTGCCGGGGACGGGCGGCCCTCGCCCGGGCCGGCGAGGTCGCCCTCGTCCCGCGTCGGCGAGGGCCGACCCAAGCGAGGGTGGCCTCGCCCGACGCTGGTGAGGGCGACCCTCGCCAGCCTAGGCGAGGGCCGCCCTCGCCCGACGCCGGTGAGGGCCGACGCCGGCGACCTCCGCCGGCCATGGCTGTGGCCGGCGGAGGGAAACAAAAAAGAAAAGGAAAAGGAAAAGGAAAAGAAAAAAAACAGAAAAAGGGAAAAAAAATAAAAAAAAAGTAAAAAAAATACTGTTCCGGTAGCCGGAACAATAAATTTCTTGCCGGCCGGCGAGCATTTGACCGGCCGGCGAACTCAGGTACCAAATTGAGACTGAATGGGCACTTTGGGTACCAAATTGAGACTAAATGGGCACTTTGGGTATCAATTTGGGACTATTTCCATTTTGGGTACTAAATTGAGACTGAATTGGCACTTTGGGTACCAAATTGAGACTGAATGGGCACTTTGGATACCAATTTGGGACTATGTCCACTTTGGGTACCAAATTGAGAAAAAGGCCCCACTTTGGGTACCAAAATGAAATTTTCCCCATTTTTTGTGAAGGACGGGGGGTTTTATCTGGAGTAGCATAACCAACCGTTCCTCATAGACCAGCTGAGCTTATCTTTGAGCTGGTGTCAGGTGTGTTTTCAAGAACGATTTTGGGCAATCCAGAATCACCGAGATGTCCATCATCTAAGAGAACATTGCTTGGCTTTAGATCCCAATGAATTATTTGGCTGCGATAGTGGTTGTGAAGACAATTCAATGCAACAGCAATGTCAATTGCAATCTTTATCCTACTGAGGAGGCTCAAAGTTTTTGAAGGCCCATCTGCTTCGATTGGTTCTTGATAGCTGCGCAACCACTCTTCAAGGCTGCGATTGACCTTGAACGGGTTGACCAAAGCCTTAAACTCATTACCGTTATAATCAATGCCGGAGCAATACTGTCAGTATTTTCAAAAGTTTTCGGTGTCTAATATGCTTTAGAGCGTCGCATTCGGCCATGAAACTCTTGATTGCATCACGGTGAGTTAAATTCAGCACTTTGACAACAACCACCATTCCATTCTCGAGTATACCCTTGTAAACAGACCCAAAATTACCGATACCAATCCAATGAGTTGAAGAAGATCCATTAGTCGCTTTAAGGAGAATTCCGTAAGATAGATTCTGCCATGCACCGCCCATGGAGCTTGAAATAGGCTCTTTTCTTTTCTTCTTCAACCTACATGAGTACAAAAAATCAAGAAGAGCTATTCCCAGAAGCCCAAAAGCGATAGAGATGGAAAATATCAGTTTACGGACTAGCCCCATGCCCTTGGACTTTCTAGAGATGCACTTAGGGAGATGAAATAAAGGAATTCCTCCACAGAGCCTCTTGTTTCCACTGACAAATGCGGTACTTGGCATTCTTTAAAACTCCTTCAGTTGGTAGGGCACCTTCAAATTTGTTAAAAGAAAAGTCGCAAGTTCCAAATCAAATGTTTCCAAGAACCGTGAAATCTCACCAGACCAATTATTGCGAGAAAGATCAAGTACTTTGATGCCTCTTAATCGACTAATGGATCGAGGAATGGACCCTTGGAAATTCCTTCAATATTAATTTTACCAGTACATCGCCTTTTTCCCAGACTGCTTGGTATCTCACCATCTAACATGTTTCCTTACATATCCATATAACTTAAGCTCTTCATCTCTCCTATGTCCGCGGCAAGGACCCCGATCAGATGGTTAGGGGATAGTTCAAATAGAAGAGACATGTGACTACCGGGATTATGAAATTACTGAGATTGTTACTAGAGAGATCAAGCGGCATCAATCTTTGGCATTTATCTAGATGCAGAGGAATGCGCCCTCGCAAGTGATTTCCCTCAAGATACAGATAAATCAATTTGCTTAGAATTTGCATAAAAGATGGAATTACCCCGGACAGATTGTGGTTTGAGAGATTCAAATACGTAACGTTTTGCAAATTTTTTAAGTCAAATGGGATTGTACTTGAAAGATTGTTGACATCCACATGCAACTTTTCTAAGTTCACAATATTCCCAGTGCTCTCGGGATCTCACCGATTAAAGCATTCTTGCTCACTCACCCAGTCTATTTTCCATGACATTCAACTCTTTTAAGCTAGAGGCATTTGTTACAGAGAAAAGGAAGCTCAAGTCATGAGAAACCCCACTTCTGATTTGAAAGGAGCGAATCGAGAATCATTGACGGCTATGTAGATTTCTAAGAGAAGGTATGTACCCTGAAAGATTGCTGTCTAGGTTCGCGGCATTAAAAATTGAAAATGGGATCCGGAAGAGACCTCTACACTTTCTAAAATGAAGATTCCCAGAAATTAAAATGAAAACAAAAATCATGACCAATGGACATATGGATACAGTGGCCATTTTCCTACGTCTCCTTGTCTATGGCAGAGGAGGAGTAGTATCCCGATTAGTCGACTTTTCGATATTTTTGGTCTGTGCAGTGGACCGAAATGTCTTCAAAATTCCAAGTAATGACAGAAAATTTGTTCATTTCCTCCACTTGTTGAACTTGATTGTTGACACCTAAATTTTGGCGTATCATTTAGTCGTAATTTGTATAGAAAATTAGGGATTAAATTTTTAACCCCTAAACAAAAATATCTAGGTTGCATAACATATAGTTTAAATTCATTTTAGATTAATTGCATTTTGCATCGGACCGGCGGTGACGAACGAGCTTAAATTTCATCGAATGGGACTCGGCTCGCTTGGAATGCAAGGGCCGGGAATTACAAGTCAAACGGGCTCGGTTGTTTTAAT